TAAGTCGATTTTCGAAAATCTGACCATGCCAAACGAAAAAACATAATTTTTTCTATATAATGGCATATTCTTTTGAGAACTTTTCTAAATAGTTAAAATTTAACGAAGAATATAGACAAAATTTTAGTATCGAACGATTGCGAATTTTCATAATGTAAACTTATGGAGTTGGAGTAAAAAATTAAAAATGGTTTTAAAATAAAGCTTAAATGATTTCACAAATATTAAAAATTAGAAATAAATTCAGTTAAAGTCCTCTGAGATAATTACTGGTCCGTGATAAAAAAAAAATCACCCTGTATACAGAGCGTGCTTAAGGGGAATATTTGGCTCGATATTATGGTTCCTTGTTTTACTCATGGACAATTCTATGTTGCCTATTTTTGTGTTAGTTTTGTAAAAAACCTATATGCCTCGTCTACAATGTTACTAATACTAACAATAATGTAACTTTAATATCAATGTATATATATATTCTTAATTTAAATAAAACTTAATTTAAAACAATTATAATATGAAAAATACCACCTGAGTGATAAATAAGATTAAACCAACAACACCTAATTAACCTAATAAACTTTGCATCAAAATTACATATATACGACCTAGAAACTAAACTCTTTAAAATTAAAACTCTATAGTTATATTTATAATTATAATATTAAATCGGATGATATTTGCTCGTATATTCAACTGAATAACTTCTATAATTTCGGTATAAAATGCAGGACACTTTTTTTTTAACGGCTGTTTTGCAGTAAACGTCATAGGCGACCACGATCTGAGGGCTGATTGTTCACCCATGCGAATATAATATACCTATATTATAGAAATAGCAGTTTCAATTTGTTTTTTTAATTACAAAACTTTATACGCTTATAAAATGTCAAATATTAATAATAACATTCGTTTTATACAACATATTTTATTATTTATACACGTTTATTAAAATATATTGTTGTCATCTTACTAAAAAAAGGTATCTTGATAGTTAATACATGAAACGAGATAAAAGGATACACTTTCAGTTTTTAAATTTTCATAATTAATTTAGTGAATATTATGTTATAACTTGTATAAGATTTATTTAAATTGCAGTTAATGAAATAATCATAATTATAATTATCGATAATTTTTAATATTAATATAACACAAAATAAAATATAATAATAGTCAATTAATATGTAAATATAATGGTACCTAAATGTTTTCTATTAAATATTAATCAATATTAGTTAATATAAATAACATATATTTAAAATTTAGATATGTATTAAATGTTATTTATATAAAAAAGTACACATGAACAACCTTTTTGGATTTTTTTTTAATCATACCAAAAAATGTTTAAGCGTCTTATACTTTTAATACAAAAAATATACTTGATACCGCAATAAAACTTATCTTGATACAAAATACAAAACATAAACTAAAATGTATACAAAATACAGTGTTATCTTGGATTAACGTATTTGTGATAATGCCAACCCTGAGTATATAGTGTTAAGTATTGTGTTATATTATAGTTCTCGACTTTACAGTGACTGTGTTCTACCTGCACACGGGTGTGTGTTTACTTCTTTTTCTTTTCTTTTTTTTTAATAATCTTAATAGGGGGAAAATAATACAAACGTATGCATACGTCACGCCATCATATTATTATTGTTATACGTGTTGCGTGCGTCATTGATAAATTTTAATATTTATATACGCTAATGTTTTGTGAAATCGGGTGTTTCTGAAAACGGTTTTCACAAAAAAGACTCGTCCGGACAACTTGCAGCTGTATAATATTAATATAACATTATTTATACTACATTAGGTTAGATACGCGAGTCAACAAGATTGACGTATCATATATATATATATATATATGTATATATATAGATATATATATTTATTTATTATTATTAGTAGTAGTATTCACAGTTAATAACATGGCACATAGGTACTTACAAAAAAGGTATCTAAGTAGTACAATAATAAATCGAACTGAGAAAATAACCGCAATAAATTAACGAGATATACCTTATACGTAGTAACGTATAGGCCTAATAAATAAAATATTTTGCATTACACATGCAATCATTGTTAAGATTAACTTAAAATTATTATCATTACAATATACATAATTTATTAAAATAAGTTTTATTCACGCAAATGACTTAAAATACGAGTACGTATGTATGTATGTATGTATGTATGTGGTCGCAGATAGTATTCGCGTACTTGAGGGCTGAGATTTAAGTATAGTATACACAAGTCTAAGTATAGTTTCATTCAAAACCATATAAATTGCAACGATAAAGTCTATGTACAATATAACAATAGATATTACGAATAAATATACGAATAAGTACAGTGTAGTAGTGATAGTAATAAAAATAAAAAAATTAATATAGGTACACAAAAAAAAATATTAAAAAATGACATATTTTTTTGATTGAGTATATAATGTTAATATTTACGTCTTATATTATACGAGTACATAGGTATATAATAATTATAATAAAAGAATAATTACATTTTGCTCAGTCTATATCGAATAAATTGTATTTAATATATTATTTTATACTGTTGAAATCATTACCCCCCATATTATACAGAAGTACATTATTAAACTACATTACATATTATACAAAAACAGACAAAATACAATTGATCATTTCGTACAGTCTGTCCGAAATATTGTAAATTTGTTCGTCTTCGATTTCGATGGAACTTTTGAAATCATTGTTGTGCATATGATAATACGCATTTTTATCGTAGAAGTCGTCGTAATCGACTAGTTATATGTAAAAAAAAAAAAAAAACACAATTGTGTTATTTAAATTCTATATTTAACATATTATTATTACATGTTTAATAAACCTAGAGGAGATTAACATAATATGGTAATGATATTTATTTGGTAATTTTGAAATGAATAGCCTTGGTTTTTAGTTATTATTATTTAATTTGTTTATTACCATAGAGTATGTTTACTACGAATAATAAAGTATCTACCATATTTAAAAATAAATTATCGGGCAACAAAAATTAACTGTGATAGGGTTAAGGGTGGAATAGGTGAGACACGTTAAACACACAGATTTGTATGTAAGATGTATCACTATTTTCAAATACCGGGTAATTCAGCTAATACGATATTTTAAGTTAAAATGTCACAAAGAATTAATTCGTTTAAAATAATAATAAAATACAAGTATTTGATTCAGTCAAGGACATAGACAAAAAAAAATGAATATAATATTGTACTTGATTGATATATCAACCAAATTCAAAAATAATAATATTAAATATCAGGGCTTGAAACCGGTAATCGATTTTTGAGACCGGTAAACACTTTTGGGACTGGTAACTGCTCTCCGGTTCTCAAGTTTTAATTTTGAGAAGCTGTTATTGATTTATTACCGATAATCACAAAATTTAGTAAACGTATGTTGAAGGGATAATTATCGGTCCCTCCGAAAAAAAAACGCTGTATGCGAACAATCGACCCCTGACATAATTTTTTACACGGACGATTGGACACCGACTAATTTTTTATTGATTAGGATAAGACAATAAATTATTAGGATTTTCCTGATTAAACAAATTATCATTTAAAAAAAAAATTATGTTTATGAAGTATTTTAGTTAATATATCCGTTTTTAATTTCTTATTTATGAACTATAATCATAAAATAATAATAATATTCGAAAGTATTTTAAGTTAAAATCTTAAAATTTTTAATAGGAGATTAAAAAACTTGGTAGTTTTAATATTATACATTTTCAAAAGATGAACTTTTAAATTATTTGTGTGGTGTAAATATTAATAATATAAAACATTACATAACATTTTTTAATCATAAAATGTTATGTACGAGTATTTAATTTTTAAATTATTTTTACTATTTTCACTATTATTATTTTTTTAAGTATAATTCAAACTATATTATATTATTAAATTTCATTTTTTTGTTTCAAAAATAAGTATTTAACATGTGTTACCTGTTATTAAAAACAATTATCTATTATTATTTTATCATCTGATTATTTGTTAGTGAAACTTAGTGAAAACTTAAAACCTTTTTTTTTCGGAACCGGTTAATCTCAAAATCAATTAACGTTATATTAATGGGCTACGTTTTAGTATTAAAATGGTCTATTGACTATTGCACTGTATGGGTGCGATTAGTGCCTATACATTACGCTTTTCTTGTCAGTCTGTTAGTAATAATTGAATAATTTGGTTCCAAACAAGTCCCATTAAAAACACTTATAATATCTTTTTAACGTTTATATTGTATTAAAATATGATTTGATGCTTACAAACTAATATTTCACTATTTTTAAAAAATAATTACTCAAATTTGGATTCAGCAATAAAATCAAAATATTTAAGTAGGTACTTATTAAAGCCTTAAATGTAGAATATGATGATTTTTAAGTTACTTTACATATAATGTACATATAAATTTTTATTTGTTTGGAACCAATCTTACTTTATAATGATAATTATTACATAATAACGTCACACTAATCGCCTCTATTGAGTTTGAAATATATTAAACTGAAAAACCGGTTCCGAAGTGACTGGTAAATAATCTTGAAGATTTGAATTCCCTTTCCGATAACCCGGTTTTTAAATGTTATTTTGGTAACCGGTAATCGATTATCGCTATTTTAAACACCCTGAAAACCGGTTAACGGTTGCCAAAATTTGTCGGATAACCTATTTCTCCGGAAACGATTTCAAGCCTGTATTAAATTAACAAAAATGTCAAACGTCCGTGATATTTCCGTATGAAATCCTACGGAATAGGATTATGATTATGATTAATAATCATATGTAAAATAACATAATACCTATAATGATTTTCAAAAAAAAAAAAAAATTGTATTACCTTAACACGGTTAAGTTATATTATTAATATTAATTAATAGATCACAAATAACCGAAAAGGGGGACCAAATCTTCTCCCACGTGGAAGTTATAGTGTGTAAACAAATTATGTTATGTACCCAGTTTAAACAAATGGTGTATTAGTTCAAAATATTAGGTCAACGAAATGACAGTCGGGAATTGGGCCACATTTTATCTGCCTGCTTCGTGAACAATATTTGTGTACATTTTATTACCCGAGTATTGGACCACAAGTAAAAGGTATATTTTTAAAGGGTACCCGGGCCACAAATGTATAACACAAAAATACATAATTTTAAATATATTAAAATACATAATATAAAATACAATATAAAATTAGTCAAATAATTATTAATTTTTTTTTAAATAATGTGATACAAATTGCTATGCACAGTATTCAAAAGTGCGTCAACAATCAACATAAATAGATTACAACGAACATAAAAAATTTAAATCGTGAAAAAAATAATAACATGGTTTAAAATAGTGATGTTAAATAGAGGTTCACCTTTTGTCAAAACTAAAATGTATTAAAATATAGTGGCCCACTTACCGGATTCAATAATAAAAAATCGTTTAAAATAGTGACCCAATCACCGGGTCTATCTGTTATAAATTTAAAATTTGAGTGGACAATTACCATGTACCTTTTTCAAAAAAAGGTTCATTGTGGCACAATTCCCGGACGCCCCAACGAATATGTAAATTCTAAATGATCTGCGTGGTTTTTTATTATTAAACATTAAACTTAGGGCTAGGAATGTAATGACCCATAATATCCCAAAAATGTCCTAGAGAAAATGCTTTTATGCCCCAAAAATTCAAAAGAGTACACTTATAAACACACTAAACGATGAAAAAACCTAACATGATCAACAAATGTCGAATAACATTACTTATTCCTGTTCGAAAATACACGAAACGAATATTTTAAATCACAATGAGCATTGCTCAGCAAACTCTTGGAGGGAAATAACGCAAATAATTGCATTGAAATCTCAGCTAGCTCTATATTATAGTGTTTGAAAATTTCAAGTGATAAATATACATATAACGTTTCGAAATATTTCACGAAATAATTCATGTTAAGTGAAATATTTCAATTAGGTATTATTATTGTTATTATTATCTTATGTAAGTTCTGCACGAACCTGGTATCGTATTGTCCAAGATAAAACCAATGGATCCACCAATAAACATTCCCGAACACAAGTAGACGTAAAGGACTTCATTAACGATTTCGTATTTCGTTTTGATGAAATTCTCGTCTAGCGATGAAACGTACATAGGTACCACCTGCGAATGGTGAAGGGAATAAAACTCAATGGATTATCTGCGCACGAATATATGATATATTTTTAATTCGTAATATTTACCAATCCGAAAAATATGGACATGCCGAGTATATACATGTTCCGTATGGAATTGAGATTTATGAACTGTAGATTGGACAGCGCTGAAAGAAACAAACATATTGATGAAAATAAAATATACGATTATATTTTTAACGGAAATGTCATCGGTTTTAAAATAACGAGTCGTTTTTACACGCGCCAATTATAATTGTATTAATAGCACGATTTCGTGAGTATGACCAATAATTGGGAGAGAAAGTGATAAATGGCGAGGTGTTTGGATAACTATTTTGTTTTTCTTCGTAATTTAACGCATTGATATATATATTGATATTCTGACCGTGTTTTGGACACGTATATAGTAATTTAATACAGAAATATCATTTCGCTACGATTTATTGTTATTATTGTTATTAATTGAATCAACTTGCCTACGGCCGTGATTAATACGAGCAGCACAGAAGTCACAGCACCGAGTAACGGGTCCGGCAAAGTGAGAAACAGTGCGATTATTTTGGTGAACGGTGAGACGAGAATCATCAAACAGCCGGTGCACATGATCACATTTCTGCTGCACACCTGAAACACGATATAATAATAATATAATACCGTTACTAGGTATACTCATAATTGTTATTATAGTTGTTTGAAAATATTACTCAATAAAGAAAAAAAATGTAATATTATAAATAAGAAAAAAAATCCCTTAACATTATATATGATAAAACCAGTCGGTGGTACAATTGGTGTCAAACCATTTCCTCGTGAAGAAATTGCGTAATCTTCATAATATTCAAAATTGTGTACGCATTATGTACAAATAAAAAGAGATCAAATCCCTCAATCTCTCACTCATGTATATACCCCGAAAACAAACCAGAGGACGGAAATCACTGCGAAATAAAACTGGATTTGTTATAAGTATTACTTATTTTTGTTGTATGTATTATTATTATTATTGTCTTATTAGAAAACAAAAGTTCCTAACGAGCAGGCAAACAAAATACACCTACGTTATAGTAGTTGACATCGTCGTGAAATATTTTTTTAAAATATAATTTATCGATTTGTCTTATCACATTTACTTCACTTTTCTTAGATTTAACTAGATGAATTTTTTTTTTAGTTTTAGCAATTATCTTCTCCAAATCAATACACTATCCGTTATCTTATATAATTCATGTAGTTTTGAAATAGTCAAAATTTATAAGTTATAACTGTAATAATTATAACTTGTATTTTTAAAGGAATGTCTGTTACATTATATTGTATTTTATAATTTTCTTTTTCGTCCTAATTCAACATACGATCTCTGTGAATAAAAAACATACAAATTATATTATTATGACAATGTATGAATATTTCTATTAAATTGAAAAAACTTGTTTGTACAGTTAAATAAATAATACAATATCAATTCTGTAACATAATATACGAGACATAATATACACGTATATATACATATATACGTATATATATATATATACGTAACATAATATACATAATATAAATCGTACTGTACGATTTTATGACTAATCAATAAATTCGTAAAGTACTGTATCAATATATTATAGTTAATAGCTTTCCATTAGAATAATAATTATGAATATTAAAATATCCATAAACCGGAGGAGGGGGAATTTAGTTTAAATATTCAACTCTATAACATAAACGTATGAAACAATAAAATATTTGAATACAAAAATAATAAATAAAATGTATTAAAAGATATTAGATCAAAAAAAAATTATATAAATGCTCAGCCAAAACAAATTTGTGCATAATAATTTATTGAAATCAATAAAAATTATAATATTTCCTATGTATTTCTATAACTGTTTGCAGTATAATATTGTTTTAGTAACGATAATGACACTACATTATATCCAAGTTTGTATACAATGACTAAATTTCGAAGAAATAAACGTAAAATAACTTCGATAAAAAAATAAATACAAATTGTGAGAACGAAACATATATTATTATAGGTAAAAATGCGAAATAAAATAATTTTGTTTTTTAACGAGCTTCGTTCGATATTTAGCGTTCAATACCATCAGTAGACATCTTCAGATACTATGTGAAAAAGTAGACCGTCCATTGCATTCTAAAAAATTGACACATTTTCTTTATAATAACTATACACGAGTAAATACTGCTCCAATAAGAAAAAGAAGACCTAATACTTCTGACCAGCGTGCCACTGTAGTAGATGGGAAGTTAGGAAATCAGGATACATCGACTATTCAGTAATTTAATGTAAATAATATGTACGCGACGATTAATCATTACTAACGAAAAACGATTCTTAGCGAAGTTCGGTTGAACATTTATTTTGAATTATCGCGATTTTTAAGAATTTCCATAAAAATTTTAACTTGATAAAAAATTACTTAACTACCATCAAACATGTTTACTATTGTAATAAACACATTTGAATAAATAGAAATAGTTCAAAGATAAGAACGTTGTAGTATGCCCATGTACATTAGTATACAATTTTAGTAGCAGCAATGGTATTATTGAAGAGTGAGTGGTGGGTGAGGAAAGAATATTATGTTGTCCCGACAATTGTGGCGATTACACGACAGTGACAATAATAATACAATTTTATTCGAAAAAATAAATAATTTTCTAATTTTTTTTTCCCCCGAGGATATCATGTCTCTTCTGCACTGGGTCTATGCTACTCCAAAGTTACATGTCATCCTGGTTGAGAACCACTGCAGCTTAAATGAATACTCAATTTTTCAGCAACCTAAATATATATTTAATACACGGCGATCTCATATTTTTTTATATTTTTAGCGCCCCTAAATAATTAATTCCCAAAAGAGTTGCACCCTTCAGGTTAAGAAACACTAGGAAACACTCTTAAAAATGACGATTATAGTAAGACTCCTGGTAAAAAATTTGTTTACAAACTAAAAAAAATAAAAGTAAACAAATAAGCAGACATCATACTAAAATCTAGAATTAAGTACACGTCATAGCAAATACTTTCTCCTTAATACGCTCAGATTAAAAAAGAAAAAAGAACGATAAGATGACGAATTCATATCTGATGTCAGATTTTTTATCGCCCAGTGGTCAGTATAATATTATTGTAAACAACAATATTGCGTTTTGTATGCTCTTTTGCTCCTTACGAATTATTCCGGCTGAACGCGTATTATTGTACAACTATAATGGCATATATATCATTTAAGTACATAGTATTGTTTGAAATCCAAACACCTAATGTTTTGGATCACTACTGTCCGGATTACTACTACAATTTTAATAATAAAAAATAAACATTACTCGCTCCACTTAGAATCTAAAAAAATTACTTGCCCGCGTGATTCCGATGTTGCCCACGTTTTCGCCGGACGCGCTAATACCGGAACCCGTGCCCAGGAAACCGGCTAATATCAAATTGATACCCTGTACACCGATGCCCCGATTCACTGCGCTTACCGGTGGAGGTGTTAAATCTTAAAATCGAATCAGACGGATATTGTTTTTCGATTGATACTAATATTATAATACAAATTAATAGGTACAGCTAATAATTAGCATCCGTACTTACGGGCAAATTTGGAACACGTATAGTAATTTCCGACGGACTCGACAATGCTCGTAAGCAGTGCCGGTAACATAGCCAATATTATGTTCATTTGAAATATCGGCGGTCCCCATTGAACTGTAAAAAATAATAATAATAATAAATAAATAAAACCATAAACCAAATGTACAAGGGTTGTTAGAATTCCAGTTATAATATGTATTATATAGTTATACAATATAAAGAAAAAAGGAATTTAATGAAACAAATATTGAAGAGAAAAACGAAACTAATAGGACACTTGATTTTTAATTAGATATAACATTTCCAAAACAAACATTTTCGAATGAAAGTTCTTGGGGAGGGCGGCTGGAAGACGCCCAAGAACTTCATACTTTTAACTTGAAAATATCTGAAGTATCTTATGAATGTCCCTTAAAATTCACAGCTGAGGAATGTGGAAAACGACAAAGAGTTATGGTTATCACGACAAGGCTCTGTCTTTAGAGGATTATAATATTATATTGAACTGTATACACTATACAGTATATAATATAGCATAATATTTAATCGAAAATGTTAGTGTTTACAAAAAAAAAATACGTGAAGAGATTGAACACCGACGACGTGGTGGTCTGACAAAATATCTCCGGTAAAAATAAATAAATATTTCAATTCTACTAATCTACTATTATAAACATTTGATTCATTATAGTTACCTATTTTTAGTGACACATTAAATAATTTGTGTATACAAATTTACAAAAAAAAAAAAAATGATTATAAATTTATTGTATTAACTGATATGATTATTGTATAATATGTAATAGTCACTTCCCGCGTTCCAAATACAATGTTATCGATATAAAATACTCGTTTTTCTATCGTTAATTTACCTGTCGTCCACGATAAATGTTATAAAATATAATGTTATTATTTTTAACTATTGCGGAATATTATGAGATACCACGATAAAAGTGTATATAGTTTTCGACTTGCGTAGGCTCATCGGAGATATATTTTTTTTGATCAGAGATATTTTGACAGGAAAAATATTTAGCTGTACACATCTGGGTAGGCCACTAGTGTCCAGTACAGCACTTTAGTGTCTAATGTCTATCAATAAAAAAAAAATTCAATATTATAGAAAAGTGAACAATTTAATACTCGAAATCAATAAATTTCGGTTGTTATATTATTATAAGCGTTAGTAGTTTTATTAAATATTTTAAGCTAATATTACAAGGGTAGGGTAATCGAAAAACATGAGCGTTGTAGAATATTCCATATTTTGAATCCGTATTTGCCGGGTCCGTGGGTAATAAATGGTTTTTGAAGGTCATGTACACACACGCAATCCACATAAAACCTACACTGAACAATATCTAAAAAAGAAAAATTAATATCCAAATAAATAAAATAACACACACACACACAGTGTTTTATGGTAACAGAAGCTGCAATCTTACCGAAAACAGTGCGAATATTTTGAATCGTACAAGGATGAATCCTTTGACGGACGAATAAATCGGAAAGGAAATCGCCACTTTACGCAAGTATTGAGAAAATATCGTCAATAAACATAGCGTGCTATATAAGAATCGAAAAAAAAAACTCAATATAACATTGGTATAAATTGTTATTATTATTAAACAGTTTAAATGTATTAAATACATTTAAAAAATACTATAAACGAATAGTTTTTAGGAATATCATCAAAGTATTTATTCAAGTACAGGGATGAGAATATCATAATAATCATTAGAATATTGTTTAAAGATTCCACAGCTATTTTAATGTATCGTTAATATCGCCGATTTCAATTTATTGACAATAGTATTTAATGTGCACTGGTATTTCTATTTTAGAAATAGTGTTTTAATTCATAAAAAGTTATAATACACATGATAATATTTTTAATTGGCGATCCAGCGATTTATCCTGGAGAATTTCAAGTAAATTTTTCTTTGATTATTTTCTTAACCAATATCGAATAATATTGTTTAAATTGTATTTAAATACTATGAGTAAAGTAGTACAATAAGTATGACATTTGATATCCATTTTTAAAAAGATACTTAATCTATAAAGCGTAAAAATTTGAACTGGTATACCAACCAAGTTAGTAAAACGGTACTCATACGATTATTATAATGTGTATCGAAATGTTTTTTTAAACATATTTACTTTTCGAATTTGGTTTAAAAAGATGTTGGGAGGAGGATTGCTAAATAAAATAATATAATAATATTTCTAAATGGCTTGACTTATAAATATGGCATTCCAAATGGCTCAAGTCATATAATTGTATGACTTATGCCTTTTTGCCAGACAAAAAGTACATCGTAGTAAATCATGTTTTAATTTTCCTGAATAACTCGTGTTAAATATTCTAACCCATAGAATATAATGTACATACACTTATTCCACCTGATGATTTGGTCTGGCTACGGACATGTTTAAACCAAAAATAAAGGAAAACAAATTACATAATACAATATTATAAAAAAAAAAAATATGGTCCTGGGACCAAAATCAATTTGTCTCGCAATCATCGTTAATTGTTGCAGAATCATGATAAAAAAAACCGCTCTGTATAAGTATAGCTATTCTTTAATAGTGGAATAGTATCATATCGGTTTTGTGTAAATATATATATATATATATATTTTTCGATGTCCGATAACGTAAAGATTATAACATTATGTTATACGAATCTAATTATATTAAATATATATTACATGAGATAAAAAAATAAAGCCCATTAATTTTATAGTTCTTTAAAATTGTCATTTTTCATATTGTTTTCATACACATATTATTATATGATACATTCATTTAAAAAAACTTGTACTAGGCCGTGCTGTTAATATGCTATACTCATTAGAAGTATACCTAATAACTATTAAAAAAAAATACCAATAAAAATGTATTGTAAATAATATTATTATATTAAAAAAAAAAATTGGAAAATAATCGTTGACAAAATATTTCGAAATACTGATCGTATACCATAAAACTTAACCTAATCGTGGTTTACATAAAGTATTCTATTAACAGTGTTTGAATTTCAGGAAATTATAAAAAGGGGGATGTAACAGTGTAAAAGAAACGTGCTTAAATTCAAATTGAATTCACTTTATGCCCATTTATGTATATTGTATATATGCTCATAATGTCCATTCAAGGCCGGTGTTAGGGGTTAAGAAGGAGGGATTGATATTTCCGATAACTTAAAGATTTAGACTATTGAAGAGGCAATTCAATGATGCGTAATTTAAAACTAATAATTTCTACGTTTTTTTTTTTTTTGTTTTTGTATTTTATTACACAGTTATCCCAAAACTATTAAATCATATCATACTCATAAATATGTATTATTTATCAAAGGACAAATTAATGAGCAAAAACATTTTTTCAAGTCGGTAAATTTAAGTATTTGGAATCGGTGAATTTTTAATCCTACGTTTTTAGTAAACGCCGCAGATGTCATTATGATTAATTAAAAGGGATACTTTGAAATATTTTTAGAAGAGAGAGGCACTCCACACCCCGCGTCTCCCTCATCTAATTCAATCATTATTTATAACTTGACCTTTAACTTTTCAACAAAAGTAACCGCCCTGTAGATTTGGAAAATAATTATATCTAATAATATTATTGTTTTTTCTGCATATTGAAAACTCAAAATAAAACCGAGCTGATAATAATAATAATAAGTAATAACACAATATTATTAATTGTACAATACCACTTACAAGATAGCCGCCGTCCAATTGCCCGACATGAGGATCACTCCTTTCTGGATGACCAACAGGCCAATCAGGCACATGGTCGGCACCACGGTCAGCGGTGTGATGTATTTGATCGCCTTACCGATGACTCCTGAAAACGGAGAACACGATACTATTATTATTTATAATATTATAACACGCAAAGCCTGCATGGCATACCTTACTGGTATTGTTTGTTTGTTTTTTTCTTATTATTAGTTACACGTTTTTCTAGATCAGAGGCGAACAGAGTAAGGTCCAGCCCGCACTGTCCCAGAGGGTACGGTTAACTCCCGACAATTTTATTAACTTGTAACTACAAAATAAATTACAATTGTTCGCATTGTTTATGAACTTAATCATAAATCTGAACTTGAAACACATAAAAAATGAATTCCGACATTACGCTCAACATTTTGTTTTACCGCTAAATATACCTGACAATGGGTCTCGAATCAAATATTTTAGCATTTATATGAATCAACATGTTTTTATCCGCGTAAAACCGAACAAGTTTTTAATAATTTGAAACAACTGTAAATAACTAAACAAATTCTAGAATGTATCGAAAATAATTAATTAATCACTAAAACTCTCAGGTCTCTGATTATTTTAACAAAAAATTACAACACAAAATAAAAAAACAAAATCGATTTTAACAAAAACTATATTACCAACAATATTCTCGTTAATCAAGGATTATCACCTTAATGATAAGACTGATCTACTAATCTAATGCCCGCGATAACCATTTAAGAGAAGCAAAAGTACAGCCATTTTTACGAACGAATATGACGTTTAGACGTGTTAGACTTCAGAGCGAAAAACCAGACAAACAAATTTAAAGATTTAATTTGACTGATTTTAGTTTTGAAAACGTATTTTGATTGATTAACAGCTTAATATGTCTTTTTAATACCGATTTTTCCAGCTGTGATATCGATGAACAAAACTATAGTGTTTTTCGATTTATATATTTTCTTCTAACACAGATAACAATCGAAATATATAAAATCGTCTCCGTCAGTACCTATTAAACTTGTTAGCCAACCTAAATCTGTTTTCCAAACCCTTCAATTTTGCCTAGCTTTTCGTTCTGAATACAACATTTTTATTCTAATCATATTAGTCAGTCGACAGCAGTAAAGTACAAAGGTTATTATTATTGCCTTATCAAAAACTAACTAAAATCGTTACGTTTATTGTCAACGATACATTATTTAGAATAAAAAAATAAATTAACTATAAAGATAAGTATGAGTACATAACAAATTATAAAATAATAGATATGCCTCGTGTAGTCGTGTTTTATAACGAATCGATCGCTCTATATACTATATTAATAATTAAAAAATGTAATTAAATAATAAAAAATAAATATTGTAATAGGACAATATAAAACAAATTATTGAATTTAGACGAAAAAACCTATTCAATCGTATTCGGTCAACAAATAATAATACGCAGACAAAGAAAGCAGAGAGCAGTATTACAATATTATTATTATAATGTATAAGCCCAAGTATACAAACTGTGTATTGACTTTGATTCATCGTTATAATAACAGTATAATATTATGTTCAAAGTGTAATAGTTATAGATTATATTATTCAATTTTTAAAAGAATATTGGATACACGTATATATAATATAATATTATAATAGTTTATGTAATGTAAATATCATTAAAACAATTTTGTATTGTTGCTAAAAATCTCGGGTAAATTTCGATTGAATAAAATAAATTATAACATTTGATCAAAAAACCCCGGATTTAGGGAAGGTCAGGGGGAAGTTCTCCGTGTCCAATAATGTAAATGGCCCATTTCAGTGTCATCATTTATGTACCTACCTATGAAAAAATATGCTCATTTCAAATTTTTGTAATACAAAAATGTACAATCAAGTACATAAAGAGAATTGGTCAGTTTCCAAGTCTAACCCCGTGGTCCACTAGTACCTTAATCCGGCTTTTGACACGTGTACGTAGATACCTATACAATTATATTAAATTACACGAGTAGCGAGGAATGCATTGATTTTATTATGATAACAATATCATAACCGGGGACGGATTTTTCCCAAAAAATTACACTCTGTATATTCTTTAGCGATTAAACGACTAAAGCCAATGTAATAGTATTTTGTTAATCGGCCTACTGTTTATTACCTAATAAAAACTACAAACAATTAAAATACAATTTTTTACTAATCGAGTAACCTGCAGGCACTGAATATTTTTTTTTCTCCGTATAAAACGTATATAATGGTAATGTTCCCGTCTTAAATACCGTGGTCAATATCGAAGTATAAGTACCTATACGATTAATTCATTATATCAACCTGTCTGCATATTTTATAGTAGGTAGATACGCACTAGGTATACTATATGGAATGTCGGCGTTAGTTCTACTACATTTAAGAAAACAATGTAAAGACAAAAATAAATATTTGTACAAAATATACGGCAAATGAAAAATTATTGGGATTTTTAAATTGTTAATAATATTTCAAGGATTTATAGAGTTTATACAACCTACTTCTATCCTTTACATCACATATCTAATGTATTACTTATAAGGCCTTACGGCTTCCTGGATTTATACAACGACGGCATGTTAAACTTCTACACCATGATGAGTTACTCTTTTTTTTCCACTCTTGGAGTACGATCTATTCTGGATTATAGCTCAACAGTTTGGAACCCAGAAGTCTCTTCAATGCCCCTAGCAATGTTATGAACCAGTCATTGCCGATGTTTTAAATCTCAGTTCGCTCGAGGAAGGTGGCAAAAGGCGAATTAAAACTATTCGCCAAATTTACTATACACGAAGCAAGATTGATTTATCTCCTTAAGCTACAACTTACATGTTATTCTAAAGGCCCGTACTAGACATTCCGCTATAATCTAACTTACCGTAAAAACTTTTAATTTGACTTAACTCCCCGAAATTTAAGATTTTTTAAAATGCTACGTAATAATTTATATGGCTTAGATCAAATATCGGCATTTCTTAAAAACTATTTTTTTTCATTTGTTTAGATTCCCATCGTATTATTTAAACAAATTAAAATGATTAACAACAAATGACGATAGGCAAATTTATTTTATTTTGTTAATTTTCAAGGTCATCTTGGCCATGCGCAAAAAAAACACGACACACACCTTACCGTACGAAACTTCTGTAGTGCGAAGTATGTTAGGTATTTATACATATTTTTTTTATATTATTTTTATCATCCATAATCATTTTCCATTGGCTTTCACCTAAAGAAATAAAATGTGACGAAATCAATATTTCAAATTAGGTCAATTCTAAGTACATAGGTAACGAAGAATCTAGGTTTTTGATAGTTTCTTTTCATAAAACTCGTTTACAGTTACTAAAAATGCTCTGATTTTTCACTTGATGGTACTTGATATTTTAACTAAAATTGTTTCGAAATTTACGATTTATGGTTAATTTTTTTCCATTTTTTTTGGTTATTCATATTATGCTCCAATTTTTTCAATGAGTATTTTGAAACATTTATTGATATTTTCAAAAGTTCATCTCTCTATGCCTTTTTTTATTATTTAATTTTGTTGACTTCTGGGTTACCTATGTAACAAGAGAAAAAACAAGACTATTATACTACATTAATATACTATCTACTGAGAATCGTTTTTAATTTCCAATTATTTATTTTTGCGTACAGTATGTAAACGAAATTACCCTATGTATCCTATAGATTTCCAACTACCCGTCAGAAACAGTAGTCTACTTGTGAACATAAGAAACTTTTTGAATATTTACCTATCCCACCCCCTCCCCAATAAATCCTAAAATAAATCCTGGTTGCCCTACTGGTTTTTTATATGAAATAAATTACAAAAATACAAAAATTACGACTACGGTGTTGTTGATATTACAAAACGTTAACATATTATAAGAAATTAGTACTTATATACGCAAAAATGTGGCGACAAATTACACATTCAAATATAATAGCATTGGGAGGAAAAGACTTTTGTTTACGAAATTTTAAACAATTTTCCATTGTTATTACTTGTAACACGTATAGCTGTATATATATATCATTATATAACCTCATTATTATTATTTAGAATAATTTTTTTTTCAATTTAAAATTGTACACCGTATCGATATTGTATTACACATCATAGTATTGTCGAGGCTAAAATTTAATAAATGACAACAATAAAAATAAAAATAAAAAAATTATAAGCAATATGACACGAAAATTATAATATTCCTATTATAGTTATGTATAATATATAAATAATTATGCATAGAAAACGTACGATCGCATTTGCACCCCTCCCTCGGAGTAATAGCTTACTGACCCTACCAGTCTGACGGAAGGGAGTACAAAGTAAAAAAAAATATTAATACTGCTCACGGAAAGACCAAAATTATTATATATATATGATAATTTAATTTATATATACTACATGCAACGTTAAATCAAATAAAATTACAGTTGACTTAGAAATCAGCAAATATCAAAGAACAAAACAAAAACGATCTACAGATGAACTGCTGCAAATTTTGATAAATATTTCAAATAAAAGACCGTCAGACAAAAATTCCGCATTTTTGAGGTGGCTACTGCGTGAATAGATTGGAACATTTGCCTGAACAAAAGGTGTTTTTTAAAAACGAAAACAACAATATTTTTTTTTTATAGAAAAGATATTGGAAATTTCGAAAAATGTTTCTAACAGAGTACCGTCTTCAGATTAAAAATATGCATTTTTTATATTTTATTTTATGAAGTGAAGAAATGTTTGTTAATAACCGTTTTAGTTATTACTATTACTATAAGTAACCTCTAACCTATATTATATTAGATTATACTTAATAGTTATTTTATACTTACCACTGTAACCCAAAAACATCTGAACAAGGCCGATAACGATTATGGCGCCTTGGACTGACCGGACCCGGTGTTGCCATTCTAGGGTTCTGGCGTCTGTGCCCATTGAGAACAGATCCACGTCGCTGGGACACTGCCAACCGGGTAGGCTGAACATGGACTGCAGACAGGTCATGTACACGAATCCGCTGTTCTGCACGATCGGAATCCTATATTATAATACAATAGGTAGGTAGGAAAAATCGAAAGGTTATACGTGGATATAAAATATTATAATTTAGGCATAGAAATAGGTAACGCAATTTTCTGGAACTATTGCTCATACCGGACACCGACGAGAGTCTGAAACAGGGTACCAATACCGGCCATCATGACGGACGTGGACAACAGGTACGCTTGAGCCGGGTCTTCTGGCAAAATGCACAGTTTCGGCGCCAGAACGTTAACCACCAAAATTATACCGGTTACGGTCATAACCAAGTTCTGCGACAAATAAAAAAATACATAATTAATGCTACAAACATAGGATATAATATATCTACTGCGTAGATCTTCGACATTACGGACATACAGAATATAATACATCTTGCAAGATCGTATTTACATAATAATTGCCGTCCTATATAGGCCCTTTTCCAGGGGTGGCACCAGGAAAGCTCTAAGACCTTTTTTTTGTTAAAAACAACTTTCAAAAAAGAAATTATACTTTCGACTATTACAGACACGTACAAGTGTATAGTTAGTGGTATTTACATCTATACTATGAAGTATAAATAAACAATAAAATATCAAATATGCTTTTCGTTGTACGATTTTCTGAAAAATATTACTTAACCCCCTCCCCCCAACCAAGTGTCTGGAATCATAATGTATTTTTATTTACATTTAAGCCGATGCAACCCAAAAATTAACAAAAAGACGGTGATTACCAATTGAACACGGTCGTTATCGGCCGACCTTTTTGACGACCCGCCTGAGCACGATAAAAAAAATAAATATTGTCTACAACGTTGTCAGATTTTCACTAGTACGTGTGTTGTGATGGTTATAACATATTAGTCGAAAAATAATTTGCTATCGATCGATGGGTTATCACGGAAGTTGAAAATAACCGGGATAGATAGGGAAATGGTGATGTACAAAAATTGATTGTACAGCAACAATCTATTCTGGGCAAGAGAAAAATACACTTGGTTATTATAGTATTACAAGAAACTCAGACTGAAACTATCAAGAAAATTCAAAAATTCATAAAAACTTAGTGTAATCGAAAACCAAAAAAATGAACTTTGCTATAAAGGCTTATCGGGAGTACTCTTAAATTTAAAAATGCTGATGATCTACTTAAATATTTATTAAAAGTTGGAAATAAGTATTTAGAAAAATAAATTAAAATTTTAACTTTTTTTCATATATGAGTGGTATTTTTATTAATTTTTTTAATATATATTTGGTATTTAGGGGAAAAAATTTTAATTATACTATATATTAACTTAACTGACCCAGCAAACGCTATCATAATATGTAATTAAAAACCAATAAAAGATTTTTATTCCTAAATATTGATATTCAAATATATTTTATTTTTCAATAATAATTAGATTTCGGATTTATATTCTTTTATAATCCATAAAAAAGCGCTTAAAAACACTAAAAAAATCCCTAAAAAAAAACTTTAAAAATTTAAAAAAGTAAATTTTTAATTTTAATTTAAATTTCCTACCACTACAAAAATGATTTCTTTCAATTAAAATCGTATGTATTATAAAAAAAATTACTTTCTATTAATTATTTTTGTAGTGTTATAAAACTGTATTTATAAATTAAATCTATTAGAGCGAGACTATTATACCCCTCTATTATTTTTGCGTTTTTGTATATTTGTTAAGTGTTTTTTTGTGGGTTTTAAGAACATATAAATTCAGTCTCTAATAATAATATTTTATGATATAAAGTGGCAATGTCGCATCTATTTTCATGGTTAATTGTGTTGCTTTTTGGGTTTCTATTGTTTAATTGCAACCATCAGGTTCCAGCCCAAAAAGAAAACCAATGGATCGATATTGTGTAGTCAAATTTTTTTCTTATTTATATTTTTTTTTTTTTTTTTTTTTTAGAAAAACTGTTTGGAACCTAGACATTTTTCCAATAATTAGAGTATCGCCGGTTGAAAAGCCAGCGTCTTTTGAGGTGGGAATGATATTAATACGATTTGGCGCGATAATATTGGTAACCGAAAAAATATTTTTCCAAGAAAATAAAACACATCCTGCTATATAAAACTGAATAACTTATCTCCACTACAATAAAAATCTAAAATCAAACAATAATATTGAAAGATAATTTTGTACATTAGGTACACTAATACAATAAATTATAATTATGTTATATTTTGTTAGAGTAGTACAATTAATTATTGTTATACGAAACAAAACGACTACACGGGACCCCAAATGTCGTTCTCTAGTCTCTCGTTATTTTACGGAATTTTAAATGCCAACCAAACATTTTAGTGAAAAATTTCGAGTTTCCCGGGACGGTCACGAACAACTACGCTCGTTATTACTGGATGCGAAAACTCATTGGTAGGGAATTAAATTAGAGGACTTCTAGAATTCCGCATATTTATTTTACGCAGTCGTGAAATGAAGCCTGCAGTTTGAAATAAATTCGTTTTATGTTACAACAAAGCCTCAAAACATCTATAATTTCATGTTGTATACATTTAGGTTTTGCTTTTTGAGATATTTGTAGTTTTATTTTATGCTTTTTCGGACAATCTTTTTACAATTTCTAAAAATGTAACGTTTATCAAAAAGAAAAATTATTAACTATATCTTAAATTAATAGATTAAAAATGTTATTTTTTTTTTTTGGTGTCAGAAGAAGAAATATCGAACTCAATATATTTAAAAATCAATCAATCAATTGAATGTACTAATATTTACTTAATTTTATCAATAAAAATCAAAATTAAAAATTTCATTTAAACAAAAAGGTTTTTTTTCTTCATTTAATTATGGTATAGTATATAATTCAGTTAAGTAATTGTTTTTCTTATTTTAGATTTTTTTTAAATAAATAATATTTTTTAATTAATTACTAGAAAAAAATGTCTAGAACCTATTTTTAGTGCATATTTTAGAGTTTTTTTTACATAAGTGCTCGCATATTTCTTTTATTTTTTTTTAAGCTACGCATATCCTATTTCCTAGTAATAATGTATACGAAAGTGGAATTCGCTCACCAATAGGCACAATCGTAGGCACATTTCGAGAAATACATACCCGGACGAAATATTCTCCTTCATTATAGGTCAGCACGAGTTCAATCGTCTTAACTATACCCTGTAAAATCTCTTCGAAAAACCATTTAACACACAATTTATAAAAACAATATATCGTCAATAATATTAAGAACGTATCAAATATAGTCAAAACTTTTTTCTTTTTCGATACACTTTCTATTAACTTTTGCCGTATAATATATTCTGGTGCAAATTTTCTATCAGTTAGGTACCTATACTATTATACAGCGGTAGATCGTAAATATCTGAGGAGTAGACGATATTTACGTAGAGACGTATTTGCACATTTTGAACCCGGGGTACTTTGCTTTAACGTCCATTTACAACACTAATTTTGGCGACGAGCAAAATATAAGATCATCGTGTCTTATGACGTCCTCTTGGAATGTGGCACTCGTAGCAATTGCTCCTATTACCCCTCCCTCCTAAATACGTTCCTGGATGGATCACCTTTCCCTTGGAGTTTTAATTACTTTATTTAGTATACGATTGGGTTATGGATTAAAACCACCGAAATTTACATATTTTCCGTACTGTCAACAAAGATTATGACAAGGATTAAACCCCGTGACCTCTGGTTAATTTCTAAACTCACTCCCCTCTCAAAACTGGGATATAACTACCACCACTTACCGTGTTTACGGTAAAGATATAACATAATTACCATTTAAAATCAACCAGTAAAGGCGTAGCTAGAAATATTTTTCTGGATAGGCCAGATAAAATAATAAATCTAAATATTTGAATAGGAAAAACTACTAATGCAAATTTTAAAATTGTGTTAATTTTTGGAGAAAAGTAAATAGATAGGCCCTGGCCTACCCACTGGCTATGTCACTGATGACTACACTTAAGTACGTTTCGTATGGGATATATTACAAATCCGTGTATACTCAGGGCCGGCGGGAGGCACGTACGACCCGTGTAACCGCACAGGGTGACAAATTTTTTTTGGAATTTCAGGGGCGGCATCGTTTTCAAATAAAAATGATGCATATTATAATCTTTTAATTAGTACTGCGTTATATTATATTATGTAGTACTATATAAGTACCTAATAATAAACAATATCATAATATGGACTAGTCGCTGGCATTGTAGCAAATCCGCTCGATTGTCTTTACGGTTTCTAGTAAGTAAACATGAGCCGAATCAAATCACGATAAAGTCGAATAAAGGCGCTTAAACCGTTTCGAGATTATATCGGAGAAATTTAATATGCTTTATTTGAAATATCAGAAAACACAGATTTAGATTCAATGGTTAGACACGAAGCTAAATATTTATGTAATTGCATAAAAACGTTTAAATTTATTTGTTCTTTTGTCATTTGGTAGTCACTTAATCATATAAATCCAATCAGTAAATTAATGCAAAAGCCAAATTTTGACATATCTTTAACATTAGGCATTTCAGAAACTTTATTGAAATATTAAAAAGAACTAAAATCAGAAGAATCTTTTGAGAAGATTATTATCAACAGCACTTACAACGAAAATGGAAGTAGTCTTACGAGACTTAAACTTAACAAACTTTTGAGAAAAAAATAATTCGATACTGTTATTTTTATTTGACCGGAAAATTTGAATTTAAAAAAGTTATTAATTTGAAGTTTAAGTATAACAAGCAAATGTAACAATGTAAATAAATAAATTGATTATTTCTATTTTAAATTCTGAGCGGAGTGAAGAAGCTTACGGTTTTACAAAGAATTGTTTTCTGTAGACAACTTTTCGACCAGCGATTTTACTCCGATTTACAATGATAGCACATTTTTTGAAAGGAAATCTAACTGAGAAGGTACTTTGAGAGAGCCATTTTTAGATTTTCTCAGCAAACGTGAAAAACCGGAAAAATCAGGATCCATTTTAATTTTGGAATTGAAATAATTAGAATTTCACCATAATACGACACATTTATTGTTGACAAAACAGCACTATCAATTGAACTCCGCTCAAAATAGTATTTTCGTTAACAATAGTTTATCGTTGTTTACAAGTGTACATTAAATTACTTTTAACAGTGGCCACCCCCGCAACTAACCTCATTATTTTGGACGTCTTTTATTATTATTATTATTATTAAATAAAGGTATTGCACCTTGATTCAACCTACTTTATAATTCATTTTTTGGAAGACAAAATTTCACCGTTTAGATGTTGATCTCCTACATTATAACCCAGTTTTTAATTAATTGTGTTAAATTTGCATAAATAACCATGCACTAATTATATTTACAACAATTTATTGTAAGGGGCGGCATTTTTCTTAGTTGCATAGGGCAGCAAAATACATAGCGCCGACCCTGTGCGTCCTGCTATACAGATTGGTCGTACGCGTGTACCGGCTAATACCACCACTCACACGAACTTTTCAAACCCGTTTGCAGATTGTCCGCCGGCTTTTGATTTATTTATTTGATGTCTGTGTGTAAACAGTACCTACCTGTATAGTCAACAGGACCGTCATAAACGCGGGCGGATTTTCGTTCACCCCGCACACGAGACTTTTCCGGAGTTTCTTCCGTTCCATGTTTTTAATTTCGTCCAAAAAGTCGACCCGTTCTTGCAGATGATCCGGCGTCACGTTCTCCGCCAATTCGATCCGGTCCATCGCGACGTAGGCAGTGTAGGTACCCGCCTACCAATATAATATAGTGGCGACCAGACGCTTTTTTTTTTTTCAAATATATTTCACATCTACACACACGCACGCACACATATACACACACACACACACACACACACAACTGAAGCCGTGTCTCCGATTGACGATTCTCGGGATGTACGACACTGCTGACTACGACTACCTACCAACACGGCTGTTCGATACACACAAAAATATTAATACCATTCGTCGTTGTACGGGACGTTACTAATCGCATTGGTTATTATTATTATTGCAAAATCCCCTACTACTATTACTGGTTACTACTCCCCTGATCACTATTATAATAATATAGGTATACATAATCATACCTACTCGGTCATAATTGGACTCGAACACATTATCGGTTTTTTCTAATGAACAGCGTTTTTTATCCGAATTAATTACACCGAAATGCATCAGAAACGTCTTATCAAGCAGCCTGTCATTGTTCTCGTAGTCGCGAGACGGTGATCTTTGCCCGGCGTGGTTTTCACTGATACCCACTCATACCCAACGCGAGCATTTCGTTCGTATAATATTACGATGTTCGTCCCGTCGCGCTATTTATTTTTTATCCAATCGATTCGGCTTCGCAGCATAATATTGAATTCGTCCACACTACTCGGTGTTGATGATTCAGGTTCGACAAGCCAACCAACTGGGTAGGTTAGGTTACACGGGCGCAACTAGAGCCTAAATATTGGGGGCGAGGGGGGGGTGGTGCTGAAATTATGTAACGAAAAATAAACCGTGGGGGCTACGCACGCCACGCCACGGAACGCCATTACTCAGTTATTCGTGAATCACAATAACCATTCCAAAATGAAACATAACCGTTATACTTACGCATAGTTAAAACATTTTAATCTTTTTACAAAACGGCGAAGTACACGCATCGAGCGAACACGGGCGCTCGACTGAGTAACGAGTACCTGGACAGTCACGAGATATTTTAAATTAACCTCACAACCGGGCCGATAAAAGTTTATATTTAACTCACGAAGGTAACAATAATATAATAGTGTTATCAGTCCGTCGCAGCACGTATCTATGTGTATAGTGCTTTTTGATGTGACCGTAGATAATAAATAATGAATAGATGGGCATAGTTAAAGCATGTATTATCTATGGATGTGACCCATTGTCTAAAAATAGCTCTCGAGCCAACGGTTTCTCCGTTACAATATCCGATAAAATACATCATATTCATTGACACGTCGACTGCCCCAACGAAAAAAGTATTATCTCATTTTTAATAAAATTATTTTTCAAACAAACATACAGCTGTTTTCGATGGAAATCAAGGTTACAGTAAATTACGCAATTATTAAATATCTAATCTCTGATGGATGTTTTGAGACATGACCGTTTTCGTGGACGATAGCGAAAACATTCCATTACTATATAGCCAGTAATAACTGGAAATACTATCATTTTCGTTGGGGGCAGTCGATATTATATGACATTTGAACAAAATAGTTCTAAATAAAACTTTTTTTTTTTTTCATTATAAAAGCATATTTACAATCTATACAGAAAATAATATACGTGGCTTGTTCAAAAAGTTCCAGAACTTTAGAGCAGTAAGATTGATATCGCCGAGTTTTGTGACTCTCCTTTAGTCATGATGCCATCAATGTTTTTGTCAAATATTTTTTTTCGCATTTGACGATTTTGTAATAAATCCAAAAAGAAAACCTTTTTTTAGGGGAGCGGGAGAATTTTTCCTTCCATTATGTTCAACAAAATATCGTTTGACAAAAGAATGCAACGTGTTTCGTATGACTTTCCAACAAATTGTAACAGAAAAACTGCAGATGCGCCGAGTAAGTTTTTCTCGAGAATGTGGAGGAAGGTCCTCAAGTTCAAGTTTTACTGGAACTTTCTGGTGTGGTAAATGACAATAAAAACTGTTTGACAATTTATCATAATATTAATCATTACCTGTATCATTATGTTATCATCAAAATGAAAAAAAAATTTCCGACCAACTCCCCCTCCCTCTCCCCCAAAAAAGATCTTTTGGATTTAATACAAAATCGCCAAATCCGAAAAAAATATTTCAAGAAAACTTTGGTGACATCAAAACAAAGAAAGTTATAGAGATTCTACAAATACAGATGTACTCCAATAAAGTCACAGAACCCAGTGATATCAATCTTACAACTCCGTTAGTGCCTAATTCCAACAGTCCTGGAACTTTTTGTACACACCTTGTATAAACAAAAAACAATTATAATATAATTATTTAATATAATTTAATAATTTAATATAATTATTCAAAAATACATCCAATTATGAATGGGGGGGGCATGATGGGGGCACACCATCTGGCTACTCTACTGTGATATGGGTGAATTTATAAACATTTTAAATCAGTATTTTTTGTTAAAATTGTTTACTATTATTTCAAATTGAACTAAAATATAACACTTCTAAAATATATAAAACCTGAAATAGTAAAGTTTAAAAAATAGAAATATTAAATTACGTAAAACAAACATATTATATCAAAAGAGGAAAAATATTGATGTACTTATTAATTAAAAACAAAATTATTTAGAAGGACCTTGACCTAAATTTAAACCAGCTGGTCCTAAAAGGTTACCAGCAGGTCCTGGAAGTCCATGTTGTTCTTTATATGATTTTAAAATTTGTTCAAAAGCATTCAAATCTACATCAACTGGTTTAAAATCTTCCACATCTGAAAAATTATCGTCTTCGCTGTCCATACTTTGAACAGTAGGGTCTATTCGAACAGTTTTCTGCAAAGACAAATAAAAAAAAAAATAAGTTGTTTATGAGTTAATTTAAATTACATACTTTTGGCTTATCATTATCATTTATAGATTTTGTAATGAAACTGCTTCCCATAGATGTAGTTTGTAACTCTTTATCCATTTCAGCCATGAGAATAGACATACCAGGAATAGTTTGATTTCCTAATTTTAAATCACAATATTAAAAAAATAACAAATTAATTTTATGTTGATTAATGCATTGGTACCAAATCAAAGACTTTTTTATTTTTATTTTTTTTTGCTGATTTAACTGACAGTAAAGAAAAAACAGGGCTCTGTTTGCACAATACTCACTGTTGCCATTCAAAAAGATTTTAGAACAATTAGTTATCAACTAAATGTTTAATATTCATGCCAATAGTAATTTCATGTTTAAAAATAAAAAAAAAAACTAATATATACTTAATAGTGGATCCAAGTTAAGATAAGAGGAGGAGGGGTCGATTTTTAAAATACATATCAGCAAACATCTATGATGAGTTCAATGATGAATCAATCTAGGAGTATAATACAGCTAAGAGTATATCGGTGGGAGGGGGTGAGTGAATGGGGGGAGCAATCGTCCATATCGCTTTCTTCATCCTTGCCTAATACCTATAATAATTGTTATTTATACTTTATATATATATATATATATATATGCCCTCTACTATCACTAAAGAATATTTTTATATTTTGCATTTTCTAAAATTCATAACACATCATACATTTTACTTCTTAGAGTATGATATTGATTTTCATTTGTAATTTTACGTGATAAAGACAATGAAATAAAAATAAATATTAATAGATACATTTTTAAGTACTTATCCAACTTATTATATTACAAATATATTAAATATTTTGATAATCTAAAGGTCACAAATAAATTGTACATGTCATGTGACATTACGATAAGCAAAATCACAATATGTATTGAGTTTAAATGTGATAAATTATTATTTGTATTGTATACTGAGCAAAAATAAATTTTTTGACCATTTAGAGAATTGAGTCAAAACAAATATTGCTAATAGTCTCTTGTAAGACATACTGCATAATAATCTAATAGGTTTGAATTTTATTATTTTTTTTTTTTTTTAAGTATTTAACCCATTTTTGAATTTTTGTTAGACTGACATTTTTGCTTATGAGTTATAAGGGTAATATATATACTACTAAAAAACTTGGTCAACACACAGTAACAAAAATTGAAAAATACTGATGGATTAATTATTAATGTGTGACTTTATAATGTTGAAATTTGCATTGCAATGATATTCATAATTAGTTACCTAAACACTGTTAAATGTATTCTTAACATTATAAAATAGAATTTTGTATTTATTTTAAATTTTACATGTGTTAAAAATATTTTTATTTTAATCTGATACTTTAAAAAAATGTACTAAAACTTGAGATTGACTTTAAAGTTTTAGTGAATGTATATATACAGGGATCACCAATTAGCGGTCTGCGGTACGGATCCGAACCGCAAACACTTTTTTTACAGACTCTTATCTGCGGACTAGTTTTTAAATTTGTATAATATAAATATGAAAACTATAATAATGTGGCATATATAATTTACATTGCACAATTTTTATAAAATTTGTATTTATTAACGTGTGTAAAAGTCATTAAAACTGTTTGGAAAGTTTATAATTTTCAAAATGGACCTCTATAGAAATTAAATGGTGACCCCTGATGTATAACATTTAAACATAATGTATGAAAATTGTATACATATGAAAATTCCTTACCATACTCTGAGTCACCATAGTCACTGCCATATGAATCCATATCAGAACTGTCAGATTCATCCCAATTGTCATCAGGTATTTTAAAATCTAAAATGAATAAACTTTAAACATGGTTATCATTATATTAATGAATTAAATCAAGTGATACCTATAATATTTCGGAGTGCAGCTTCATATTTTTCGGGTTCAAACGTCACACCATTTTTATCATTACTTTTAGTTTTCTTTTCCTTGTATCTAGTTTCTACCACTTCTTTGTCATCATTTGTCGGACGCATTACATCTGGTCCACAAACTAATAAGTTAGATAATTTGTCTTCGGGTTTATCATCATCATCATCATCATTATCATCAGAAGAATCGTCACTATTTATACATTAAAATTACAGACGTATTAATATTGCTAATTTTATTAAAAACTTTCTAAGCATTATCATATTGATGTCTAATAGTTTTGTATCCAAGCTTATATGCAAGAATGTACTTACCTCAAATGATTTTTAGAAAAATCTGCTCCATTGATATCAGATGCTTGATTCAAAAAACTTCTAATTTTATCAGCAAAAGATGAAGCCATATTTAATGAAGAAGTTTGATCAGAATTACTTAATCCAAACTTTTGTTCAAGAATATGGTCTAAATCGGATGGTGATACATCTAACCACTTTTCATCATCAGCTGGTTTGAGATCAGTTACATCATTTTTCAGTTGTTTTAATTCACCTTCAGTAATACCATCTAAAATAGTTTTAATTCTTTGACTTATTGATGGCGCTGACAAATACTCATCAACATTTGATAAGTAATACTCCTTAGCTTGGTCTTCTAATAATTTATATCCATTTGAACCTTTAAATAAATTCTACAAAAAGTAAGCAAATTATTAGTTTAAAAAAAATTTAAATTTGTTTGTCCAATAATAAAATTATATAATTTATAGGTTATTTGTAAAAATACATATAAATAAAGTAGAATTGAACTAAAAACAATAAAATAATAATAGGTAACATAGAAATAAGGGAGAAATAATTGGTGTCATAACATAACTTATTATAAATGTTTTAATTTTATGGCTAGATAATATTGGTAGTTAAAGAAAACTAAACAGAATTATTAAATAGAACATTATAATATTATTGTCTCCTACAGCCTAAGGTAGTCTTTAAAATGGATTAAAATTTCCCTTGGTTAAAAATTTAAAATCAATTTCATATTTATATTTAGTACAACTTATCAACTTCAATGTGATAAAATCATTACATTTCTACAGCCACTTATGACTGCATAATTGTAATATGTGTGAAATTATTTTTGGAAAAATGCTTTAATAACAATTAATAAAAGTATCTTTTAACTCTTTAGTTAAAATTGTTCTTAATTGTTTGTTTATACCTTAAAACCTGTTACTATTTGACCTTCTAAAGTATTCTAAGTTATGCAGTTTTACTGTAAATAGTAAATGTTTAATTTGTATTAATAAACTGAAATTTCACATTGAATTAAATGGAAAACAATGTTAATTAATTTGAATACCTTAAAATATCCTTTATTATCCAATGAAGTTTTATATTGATGCCACCGCTTGTCATAAGTTAAATCATTGGTAGTTGATTTTGCTTGGCTGGCTAGTATTTCAAATCCACAAGCCTTAACAAAATATCAACAATACAATTATAATTTTTAACAATTTTTAAAATACATATTTTTATTAAAAAAAAAAAAAACTAAACATACATTTCAGCTAGTTTTTGTCCAGTTTAAATTTACAAGGAAAGGATATGAAATTTAGTTTCTAAATTACTATAATTATTAACAAAAATTATACTAGTATTTTAATTAAAAATAGAGAGTATATTAAGATTAATACAAATTTCACTTAGTTTATATGTTAAATTTGTAGCTGTTGTACTAAGTTAAATCTAAATGTTCACTAAAGAATATAATTGAGAGAGAAGCTTAACATGTATAAAGTAAATAAATATATAAATAAAAAATGTATGTATAAAAAATAAAATAAATTAATTAATGAATGCATTGCCTGGAGTATTATGATAAATTACCAGTAATAAGTACCAGTAACAAGACAGGTTTTAAATTAAAAATTTATCATCAAGTATATCAATCAAAATGTAAAATGTCTTTTTAAATTTTATTTCAGAAATGTGTTCTTAATATCTTATTTAAAAATGTCTATTTGTTTATATATATAAACTTAAATATAACTGTAATGAATTTCATATAAGTAAGACAAATAGAAATTTTAAAATAAGATATAAAGAATACATTTCTGAGATAAAATTAAAAAAGACTGCCCCAAATTCAAATTTTGCTAAACATGTTTTAAAAAATAACCATGATATAAGTTTAAATATTAATATAGAATTAGAAATAATAAATACCCAAAATAACATTTACAATAATTAAGTTTTAGAAGAATCACAAATACACAATAAAATGAAGAAAAATAATTTTAATAATATTTTAAAAATAATATCTTATAACAATACATTTTAGATAATAAATAATTTATATTTCTAAATATATCTATGTATAATAATAACTACTTTTAAATCATTTCTCCTATTAATATAAATTATTTCTATATTCTATGTACTCTTCATTAAATTTTTTATATTCAGTCGTGTTTTACACTTTGACTGTGATATCTATACCTGATGATGAATTTTTAATTAGTAACTGGTCATATAATACAATTATTATAATACTCCATTAATTCATATATTTTTTTTTTATACATACAATTTTTATTTATATATTTATTTCCTTTATTTATTTACAAGTATTAACCATTTTTATAATTTTGTTTTTACTTTATTATTTTACAACATTTTTAATTCTGACTGAAAAATTGTTTTATTAAAATATTACTATATTTATTTAACAATCTAGGAATTTTGAATAATATTTCAATTCGAACCTAAACCACAGTACTTATACATATACACATATACACAGAATATATTTCAATGTTATAGATTTTTTATAATTTATTAATAGAATAAAAATTGAATGTATTTACTATTTTAATTCCTGTGATTTGAGCTTTGTATTGAGGGTCAGACGTTTCAACTAAATTCCAACCAGTTCTTCTATCTGAGTTGAATTTTTGTTGAACAAGCATTGCATATAAACATTTAGTCATAGTTACTGAACACATTACTCTTTCTTTAGGAGGAAAATTTCTAAAAACAAACAACAATTATATTATTAGAAATAAGAAGGTATAGGTACAAAAATTAAAATTAAATCATTACTTCATCACATGGCAAGCTCTAACATCCAATGAATCTCTATGACAAAAAGCTAAAACAGCTGGTGCTATTAAACTAGGTTGGTTTTTTAATATATATGCTACACCTACAGGTATATAAGCATGACAATGGTGAAGAGTTTCTTTAATTTTTTCTGGATACCTGACAAGTAAAACAATGTAAATTTAAGTAAATTGTACATAAGATTTGAATTATAATTATTACCCATGCAGACGAGATGATATAGCAGAATTTACACTTTGAGCAGCTATAGTGGCAGTAGAATACTTTGCAATCTGTTCTAATGCTTGAGGAATAGCAATTGTTTTTTTACTATTTCCACTGGACAATGGAATAATATGTATGTCACCTTCACTTATATAAACCTTATAAAATAATTCATTGAAATGTATAAATTTTATAATCATAAAAAAACTAGTAATTTGGTAAACAGTGACCTAGCGAGTATCCACTAGACGAATGTGTGGTGATTGGAAGAACAAAGAGAAAAATATCATAACAAAGAGTACATATACATACATTATGAAACCAAAATCAATCAGATCCACATTTTGTGTATCATCTTTTGGAACTTTCGCTTGCTTAACTCGCTTGGTCAATTAATTAAGCATAATTACCCTTTGGTCACAGTTTTCAGGATTGGCCCATTTAGGTAAATGATCTGCAGCTTCAATCAATAGGAATTCACCATCTGAATCTATAATACTAAATTTTAAGTGTTAACATTGAAAAATCAAAAAATAACAACTCACGTACCGAGCAATGATTTCAGGATATTCCTTTGTAATCTCTTTGAGCAAATAAACAATGAACCATTCGTCTTCTATGCTATCCCCATAATGTGTTACTCCATACAAATGAGGTGGTAAAATACCTGGAAAAGCATAATTATTAAGAGGGTGTCACAGTAACATTTGTTTTCTCTGTCTATCAAATTAGAAGTATAACAAAAATATATCTTTGTACTTTCAATAGTAGGTACCAACTCAGAATCTCATTGACCTAAAACAAAAATTATATCACCAAATTACAGACAAAAAATGTTACCATTTTTTCAAGGGAGAATTTTTTGATATCTATTTCCCAGAAAATATATTCATACTTCAAACTTAAAATATGAATGTATTTAACATATAAACATTATAATGTATGTTATATTATTGTTTAGAAAATATGATAATAGAAAATTGTATACCTAATTAATATATCAAAAAAATCATAGTTAATGTATTCATTTTTAATCAGTAAAATAATTTTAGTTTAAAGTGTATTAGAACAAGAGTACCATTGGAACTCCAAAAACACATTTTTACTATGTCACTTTTAGGAAGACTGAATGCTACAGTGAATATCCAAATAGAAATTCATTCAGATAAATAAACAATTACCTAGTATATTTATAGAATATTGATTATACCTATTCAATAGCGTGCCCAGGAATTTTCAATGTGAGGGGATGTAGCGAATAAGCCCAATCCTAAAAAAAGCCAATTTCTAATCAATACATGAAGCTTTTCCTTATGTAACTTGGCTGAAATATTATGTGCATTTCAATATTAGACTATTAAATATAAGTACATTTTTTGTATTATTAAGCCGATGGGGGGAAATATAACCAATAACCCCTTCCCTCCTGCGCACGCCACTATACCTATTTAATCACTGATGATGATAAGTAGTATACATTACCAACAGAATTGTCAGGAAAGGACTGTTGCAGTTCCTCTGAAGGAAAAAACCGTGGAATCAAATTGAACTGATCCTTGTGCCAGATATACTCATCAGAGAGTCGATTGGCCAATTCTAACACTTTTGTATTCAAGTGTTTTATATATTCTTCAAATTCTTCTTGGCCTCTATTGTTGTCCGATTTGACAAACAAAAAGTACTCCACAAAATCTTCATCTCTAACTGTTTCCAATGCACTCATTGTTAAAAATTCAATATACCTTACAAATACAAGTAGACGTAGGAACGTACAATCCCCTAGACTTTGAACTATATTAAAGATATACCCGTCCAACCTTGAATTTTAAGTTGTATGGTTGTATTGATTATTTAAAACAATTTGAACTTTTATATCGTGTATTCACTGTTCGTATCTTAAATCCTACTTCCTGGTAACAAATAATGTAAACAATAAATTGTAATCACTAGAAATGTGGGCGAATCATACGGCATTTTGGTTATTATCAAAAATGTATAAAATACCATGGTATACCATATTCAGTTTTACTATCTACAATCGACGAGTTTGCCACAAATCCGGTGAATATTTTTAATGGTGCGGTGCTGTTTCATGCATTTATTCGATAAATATATTTAATTAGAATACCTATATTGTATTACAATAATTAAAGATTTTGGTTCTTCGGTGTTTATTATATTTATTCATAAGTGTAATATTCTTATAATTTATAATAAAAATAAATTACACATTTTACATACCTGCTTCCTCGTTAGGTATCATCTTATCAGCGATGTACAGCAAATAAATATTTATTAACCAGTTTCCTTTTATAATTTTCGTCGTTACTACTTACCCCCAATTAGTTAGAACCTGGACAATATCTGCCCAATCGTTTAGTACACACCAGCCATTAAAATATTTAATTTTTTGACTGAACAACTGTCAAATTTCATCTAATTTTACATTCTGAGCGGAACAAGATCTATTGATTTTATTATGGTATGATGTACATTTTTTTTTTTTAGCAACTTTTCTACCAGAAAACTGAGAGCCCAGGAGTAGCCAATTCGCTGAACTGCTGAACTGGGACCACGAACTAGGTACTTTAACGCTACCGGTGATTTTATGTCAAGTGCTTCCGTTGAAAATTGCACTCGTTATAACCCAGATACCTAGTTCAGTATTCTGTTGCGGCGGCAGTTCAGCAAATCTGCCGCTTTGCTCTCAAATCTGTAAAATATGACCACAAATTATGAAACTTTGTAAATGACAAATGTAATAAGTTCTACCGCACCTATTTAAATAGACTGTTAGTTTTATGTCAAGTTAAAAATTGCACTCGTTAAAACTAATTCAGTATTTTGTTGAATTGCGGCGGCAGCTTAACAAATCTGCTGATCTGCTCTCAAATCCGTAAAACTTTTCTAGAAATTATGAAGTTTTGTATACCTACTTACGTGATGAATTCTATCGTATTTAAATAACGTGTTAGTTTCGAGTACTACCTGCTATTGAGCTAAATTTGCCCGCAGTATAGTAGTTCAGTAAATGAGACGGACCCCACAAAGCTCTGAATAAAAAATGAGAAGAGCCCTTTTTGTTGAATGTCGAATCTAGTTGGTGAGTAAGAAAGTCATTTCTGAATTTTTCAAGCAGTTTTCATAATAAATGGGGATAATATCGCCTACTTAAGTAAATGATAAATTAATAAATAAATGAAATATAGGGTTGCCAACCGGCCGGCATTTCACTTCGATTGACTTAAAACGCCGGTTGACGGTATGAACCTATTCGGCTTACGGACCTATAAAAAGCCAGTATTTCGATCCGATCGAGTTTTGACGAGAAATCGATACACATATATTTTATCGTTTTTGTTTAAGTGTATATTTGTCAATAAACCGTATTGTCGTGTATTGTAAATAATTACTTAATGATATAATATAATAGTATACTTAATATACTATGGTACGTGCCTTTGCCGTTATCGTATATAATAGAGGATTCATACTGTTCAGTCTTTTGAAGAAATTAAAAATATCTTTGAATATATACTTTTGAAAATGTATAATTTATTTTACTATTTTAATTTTAAAATTTTTAAAATTTTTTTTTTGTATTAAAATTACCTGTATCTATGTTTACTTTTAATGAAAATTAATTATTAAATAAAAATCCATAGAAAATGATGACCTTTTTTTGGCGGATCTAGGTCAATTGGTCACCGGACAATTGGTCCCCATAAAAAACCATTGTATGCCGACAATCGGTCCCGGGGAAATTTTTTTCCTGACACATTAAATATTTTTGCGTTGTTATTACGTTTGATAAATGTATAATATTAATATAATTTAAACCATAATATGAGAAAAAATAATTAATGTTTAACATTGAAACTTAGACTAGACAATTAATTTAAAAGTTTATTGTTTGAAAAATTAATATTAAAAGTATTACAAATCAATAAAATACATTTTCATTGTTTTTAGTCAAAGATATCATTGATGTTGAATTATTATTTGTATAGATTCAATAAACATATAAATACTTGGATGTTGAATCTGGACAATAATACAACATATTATGTTGCAATTTATTGTTGAATGATTCCAATATGTTGTTAGTTATCCTATTCAAAAGTGTGAAAAAAAATTCCCTCGGGACCAATTATTGTCCTCGTATAAAATTATTAAAATTATGACGGGGGCCAATTGTCCACATACCACGGTTTTTCGCGGGGACTAATTGAACGTTTCCCTTTTTTGGCATATCTTAAATTGAAACAGAATTGCACCGGGAAAAACTCACCAGCCAACGGCGTTAACGAGTTCGTACTATGACCATAACCATAGATAAGAAATATAAACATTATCAACGATCCTATAATCATTATATACTATCTAATAATCTCTATATCTATAAACATAGTACTATAAATGATAACGAACAAAAATAAATAAATAATAATCGATAAATTACACGTGATGTTGATAGTTCATACATGTATTTTAAAATATAATCGTATACGTGAAATTCACCTTCTGGTTTCTATGCAACTTCTCAATAATTAAGGTAAAAATTTATACAGAGAACATAATTGCTATTCTTAGTTCTTAGTTAAATATTGTTTAGCTTATATTATTTTAATTGATAATTAGTATAATCTATAATAGGTAACATTAATAATTGTACCTACATAAAAGTTGTTATAATCAAAATTGTCCACTTTGTTTCACAAAATTACCATATTAACTGATATATAAGTATTCTATATAGATGGGGAAAGTGCACCAACGCCGAATAATAAAAGAAACGAAAAATAAATTAGCAGCTAAGGTATCAAAAGCAACAAATGTATTGTTACCGGAAAATTCTGGGTAATATAATATATTTTACTAATAATTAGTATTTTTACGTATTTATTGATTTATTTAAATACAATTACATTAATTGAGTTATTTTAAAAGTTAAATGAATTTAATTTTTCTTAAGATATATTATTGCCGAACCTGGAGAAAAAACAACAAAAATCTCTCAAACTCAGATTTCAAATTTAGTTGATGTTACTAGTGCAACGAAACATTTTGATTTAAATCTTGATTTCGGTCCATATGAGTATGTGTTGATTCGTATTAAATGTATTTCGTTTATTACATTTTAAAATGTATTTTTTTTTTAGTATTGATTACTCGTTAAATGGTCGTCAGTTGTTGATTGGTGGACGAAAAGGTCATGTTGCTGCTATGGATTGGATAACAAAACATTTGATGTGTGAAATTAATGTTATGGAAGAAGTTTATGATGTTAAGTAAGTTCATAACAAATAATTAACACTGTATCTATTACATAGCCAGTATCATGCTATACGCCAGACTGTAGTCAGTAAAACCAATACAATTAGAATCATCATTATCTAGTACTATAAAACAAAATTGTCCAGCATTTATTGGTTTTATAGATGTAAATTTTTAAAACATTTGAGCTATTTATAGACAATTATAATTTTGCTAGTTCTATACATAATATTTATTCAATAGGTACTCTGTGGATAAAATAGACCGAATTCAAAAATTCCTTATTAAACGTGTATAACCTAACTCCGCTCAAAAAAGTTTTTCGTTAACAATGATTAATCATTGCATACATAAAAACTATAAATTACCCTCTACATTATACTTTCCCAATTTCTCACCTACAACAGTGGCTCACACATCGTGCAAAGTGTCGGTCTTTTTTTTTTAAGTTGTTGACACTGGTCGGGTGTATAGACCCAGTGAATAATTAAATATTTGATGATTTTAAATAATGAATTAAATACATTATTATTACAAGTAATAAACAATCAAAATATTTCATTTCAGGTGGCTTCACAATGAAAATCTTTTTTCAGTGGCACAAAAAAAGTGGGTGTATATGTATGATAATCAAGGAATAGAAGTACATTGTTTAAAGAATTTGAATAATGTCTTACATCAGGAGTTTCTACCATATCATTTTCTTTTGTGTACAGCTGTAAGTTTTCATATTTTAATTTTAATATATTTAATGTTTTTTTTTTTTTTCAATATTTTATTTTATTTATATTTATTCAATTGATATTTTATCCTTAATTATCAATAATTACATACATTTTAAATTTTCATTTATTATAGAGTGAAGAAGGATTTCTGTCGTGGTTAGACGTTTCAATGGGAAAAATGGTTACACAGTTTAATGCTAAAATGGGTCGATTGAGCATTATGGCTCAAAACCCAAATAATGCACTGATCTGTTTAGGACATACAAAAGGTTATTCAGTTTTATTTCTTTCAAAACTGTATCTGATAAAATGAACAGTTTATGAACTTTGAAATTTAGGTGTTGTATCAATGTGGAGTCCAAATCTACGAGAACCTGTTGCTAAAATACTGTGTCATGGAAATATGATTACTTCATTAGCAATAAATTCAAACGGAATGTAATAAAACTTGTTAACGTTTTCATTTCAACATTACTCTTAAATATTTATACCATAAAATCTTTTGTTACGTTTTAGGTATATGGCTACATCTGGCATGGATAGAAGTATTAAAGTTTGGGATGCCCGTAAATTAAATGGCCCATTACAAGATTACAAAGTAAGAACTAGTCCAAGAAGTATGGTATTCAGTCAAACTGGATGTTTAGCAGTAGCCATCAATAATGTAATTGATGTAAGTATGCCACTTGATATATAATATTTATTAGAAGACAATAAAAATAAAACTGATAATTTAGGTTTATGAAGAATGTTGTACAAAAACTGTGAAACATGCTTATCTCAGACATAATATCGCAAGAACAATTAATAATTTAGCTTTTTGTCCATTTGAAGATGTTCTTGGCGCTGGTCACGATGGTGGTTTTTCTAGTTTACTTATACCAGGTTTGGTTCATTTTGAAATAATTATTTTACTCTATTTATTTAATACAATATTATTGATTTTTAGGATCTGGTGAACCTAATTTTGATGCATTGGAACGAAATCCATTCCAAACGAAGAAACAACGGAAAGAAGCTGAAGTGAAAATGCTTTTAGAAAAGGTTGTCATTTAAAATATTTCAAATATTTAGTTATATTTTAATAATCAAAATTATTTTATTTCAGATTCCAGCTGAAATGATTACATTGGAGTCTACTGTTGATGAAGTTGATGTTGATTCATTGCAGACTAAATTGCAGGCTAGAAATTCACTCCTGGTAATTGAATAATTACAAAATACAATAAAATTTGTACAAAATAACAAATATTATTATTAAATGCATTGAATTCTTTTTTATTTTTATGTAGACTGTAAAACCATTAAAGATAAATATTAAAGTAAGAAACAAAATTAAGAAAAAGACACTCCCTAATCCATCTAAAATAAAACAAAAAATATTAGAAGAGAAAACTAAGGTAAATCTATTGTTTTATTTTAATTATATTTCACGCGCAAAATATTAACATTGGATATTTTTCTTCTAGGAATTTGTTAGAGCACTGAATGCATGTCCAACAGAGAACATTGATGATACCAAATCTACAAAGAAAACATCATTAAGTGTTTTTGATAGATTTCAGAGTAAAAAGAATAAAAGGAAATAGTAATATAAATATAATTTTATTTGTTGTAAACAATTATTATTTAAACATATTATATTCAAATTTCTTAAGTTTTTAAGACACTTTAATTGTAATTGATCAGAAGTAAATGTTTAATTTAAAACAACAATGCAATTTATATATCAAGATGTCTGAATTGACGTCTTAATTTCTCGTGTTTGTTCCTTTTCTCTTTATGGTTTTTCCATGGTTTTGATGAAGCTTGTTGAGCTGGACTATAAATATAAAAAAATTAAAATACACTACTTGTACAAGTTTTTTCTCCGACATACTTATTAACACTGCCCATTATATCCATTTTTTTCATGCCTTTACTGTGTGCAACCATTGTGGTTTTATGAAAAAATGTATTATCTAAATCTGATCCAGACGCGACATTAGGCTAAAAAATACAGAATATGTATTTATATACATATATATTTTTTTAATCAATAAGAAAAAAACCTTGAGAAGGGTGTTTTCAAATGGAGTAAATGTTTTTATTGCACGGTTTTCATCAGGTGGTGGAAATGAATGGAATTTTGTTTGATCAACTCCAGGTGGTGCAATACAAAACAATAGCCGCCCTTGAACATAATGCTTGAGAATTACACGGGCAGCTCTTGAACCATCTGGTTGACCATTTGCAGTCATATATCCTCTACTACCTAAAATTAGTTGTAACAAAACAAAATAAATATTGGAACATAAATTTTGTTAAGGCTAAAATTTAGATTTAAATTATTACATGCATAAGCATTTAGAAATTCATCTGCAGTGGGTGGTCGGTTTGGGTCTTCGCCCTCCAATGGTTTTGTTACCATTATGCTATATTGATCTTCTAATATATGTCTTGGTATTTGCGAACAGATTAGATTTACAGGGGGTCTGTGGTTTCTCATTTGATCAATGGGAAGAATACCATTTACAATAAGATCAGCTTTAGTAAACACAAAACTAGGCATTACTAAACCGGGACAATCACACAGCATCAATTCTTTGTCAACATAAATAGTCTAAAAAGTATTTAATGTTATTAATTATTTATGACAAAAGAAAAATAAATACAATTCTTAAAATGTATTAATATTTATTATTTGATAAAAATGAATGATGTTAATTAACATAAGTTCACATTAAATACCTGAAAATGTTTTGTTTTGCCAGGGGTAGAAGAAACGGACACTTTTTTATTGACAAGAAGTGTATTAATTGTTGAACTTTTACCTACATTAGGATAACCTACTAATCCTACTGTAACCAATTCATCTGACAAACGTTTACGATTTCCATGAATAGTTTTAAAAAAAGTAATTAATTCTTCCTTTGATAATAACTTTGGAGAATTTTTATTAAATATAGTACATTCGTCTGAAAATAAAAGAACTTCAATAATTTTAATAAAATAATAAAATAAAAATATTTCACCTTCATTATCTCCGATTACTTCTTCTTCATCTGTTTCAAAATCTGCACTGTCCCACTCCTCATCATCAGCATCAATTTCTTCATCACTTGTTTCATCAGTCTAATTATAATACACATTTTATACTTAATACAAATTTATATTAATAAAAATTTCTATTACTAACAGTTTCTTCAACTTCTTGATTAAGTTCATTGCCTTCTTCAATAGTTTCTTCACTTTTTTTAGCTGAATAAAATGCTACTGTTGTAGCTCTAGAATCAAAATATCTTGCCCAGTATTTACGCTGTGAAGCAGTTAACAAATCAGACTTGTTTAACAACAACACATTAGTTTTGATTTTATCCACTTCTTTTGAATATTTCTCTAAATCATCACAATAGAACAGTAATGGATTTCGAGCATCTACAATTTGTACTAAAACATCACTTCTCTCAACAACTCTCCATAACTGTCTCCAAAAATCTAAGTTTTTTTCATAAGGTGTTAACACCAAACCTTCCGCTTCTTGGAGCTCAGCTAATTTGCGACGCCAATCCAAGAAATTTTGTCTTTCTCTTGAATCTAACTCTTCAGTAGTAGTATCTGTATCCCATTTTGGTCTATAAAAGTAAATATAAAATAAATGTATTATATTAACATCATAGATATTATACTACCTTCTTGGAATTTTAATAAAATGTTTAAATTGTAAGTGAGACTTTTCAATTTTTGATCGTTCATCGTCTGTCAAAGTACCAACCATTCGACTTTCAGGAACAAATTCTACATTTAACTTCTCAGCCTAAGTACATTATAATGTATTTGATTTCAAATGCATAAAAATAGATGTATATAAAAATAATTTAATGAAGCTTACTGTAAATTCTGTTCCTGCCAATTCAGCTGTGGACAAAAACTCTTCAAAAGAACTTTGTTCTGTGACAGATTGTAAATTAAGTCTGCCCCAATCATATCCATCTGCCAAATCGGACGTGTGAAGCTGTTATTAAACAGAACAATTATTTTGTACAATCCATAATAAATTTTATACTAAATGAAAAAAAATGGGCAAATAATTAAGAATAGGTAACTCAATAGTGTCTACATACAAATGAGTCATTGTTCAACGTCCTGTTGCTACGACCAAACCTGTCTTTGATTAGCGCCCGACCAAAATTGTGATTGCTTCCGCCTTTCTTCTTACCTCCCATTGCAGATTCTGAGACTGAAATATTAGTACTTTATGCTTTTACAGACAAGTGTAGTTGTCAACATATACATTTCAGTAGATAAAATAAACTTCGCAATTCAGTATTCACATTAAGCTTTTGTTATCATTTATCAGCTATATTTTTTTCATAAAAACATGATTAAAGGTATATGTGCACAAAATACAGTGATAAATGATAACAAAGAATATGAACAACATGTGGATTATGGAATAGGACATGGGTACATAATTTTGCCGCCGAATTTCATGATTGGTATCTTAAACCACTAGTTCGATGCTTAAACCACTGTCCGTGGGTTAAAAAAAAGTTAATTTTGGTTAATAATCTATGACGTCTTTTTTCTATTAAGATAACTAAGGTACCTATATCTTAATTCGTGATCTAAGTTTATATTAAATGTTAATGTTATTGAATATAAATAGTAAATAATTTAAAAAATATAAACAGATTGACCGGCCAATAACTGCAGTTCAATGCATAAAAAGAAAAGAAATCGGTGAATTCTTTGATTTTTGATTTTGCCTTCGACATAATTTTGATATTTTGGGTAAGTAATTAATGCCTAATTTTATTATAAAATTGTATTATTTTATTCTTAAAGTGTGTTCCGGAATTAAATGATTCGTTCTTTAACATTAAATTAATTTGTGTTCTATGCATCATAATTCATAAACTATTTGTCGGTGTGTCGTATTGACATTTTAATATTTAGCGCCCACCTAGTTTTCCATTTAAAAATGTGTTCAAGTACACATTATATAATTATAAGTCAATACATATACAATAATAATAACACACACATACATCAAAAGAATTTTCCAAAATCATATTATTCTTGTCATCAAATTTTATAATATAACTTTAGATATCACTCAAGGGTTTAAATACACTACCTATAATTTATAAATATCATTTGAGATATTCAATTGTTTTTAAAAATAGTGTCCTTTCTTTGTGGTGTTGACTATTGAACATTAATCTTGCTCCTTTTATCAGTCTTCAATTATTACATTTTTAAACTTTGAATTATAATAAAAAGGTAATTTTATTTTATGGAAATTCATTGGATATAAGAAAAATAATATTAGATTGTTGCTATTTGTTTTTAAATTTGTATCCAAATTAAATTAATCAGTTTTTAGTCACAATTCAAAACAATTAGATACTTTTTGTGTTCCATTTGAGAATTTAAAACAATTAAGGTATGATTGCTATAAATTGATATAGTTACTTACTTAAGAATTTAGTACCTATATATAAGTATATCTAATAGGTATTCGTTATTTTTAATAATATTGATCTATTTTCATATATTGGTGTTTTTATATATAAATATAAACAATAGTCTCCTATTATTATAAGTAGTAAGCTTTTAGCGAACATTTTTCTCTAATTATTTTAATTATCTACATACTATTTTATATTCATCATTAGCAAGCGAAGAAAATATTTTGGGGGTAAAGGAGGTTTAAAGTTGTATACTATCATACTTGTATAATAAAGAAGTTTACATATTTTCAATTGTAGGACTATTTATTTTTAATTCAAAAGTGTCAATATTTTATAACATTCACTTTTAGCCTTTTAGGTACCTATTACTAGATTTTACATTTAATATTTTTTTAGTGATTTTAGCATAAATGATAACGTAATTCATACTGTAGTATAAAATTAAAATATAACCAAAATTGTATTTATCTTCCTCATTGACAGAAATCACTTTTAAGACTTAAAAATCTACTTTCATCATAATTTACATGAAATTTTGGAGGGGTTGAACTTCTACATTTCCCCTTCTTGTAACTCCCCTGATCATTTAAATAATTTAAAACAATTAAATTACTATGTTTATTTATGGTTTTTATTATTTAGGTACTCATACAGTGTAGGATCATTCTACTATCAGTTGAATACTCATGACAAGAATGGCTTACAACGATAAACATAAACAATTTTTACATTATTTCATGCATGAAAGAATGGTAGCTCAAAAAGATGCTCAAAATATAAACAACATTTTGTTTCCAAATACGGATCTTAGCAACACTATTAGTTTTATAAACAGTAAAATTGCTCCCCTTGAATTCAAAATCAACAAAGTTGTATGTGAACAAAATGGAGACAATATGTATGTATTTATTGCTACGTTTGTTGAAGACTTCAATGCTAAACAAGATCCAACAAAAGTAATTTTTAGCGAGCTTGTTAAATCTATTATTGATGCCGATGGATCTATACAGTATGATGAATTAATGTTGAAGTTCAATAACCAATTATTAACAGATAATATGATTGATAACTTTTTTACCAACAAATATTTAATTACTGATGAAAACAAAAGTATCTTCCTGTCTCCTTTAGCCATTAGTGAACTAGAAGGATATTTAGCTGAAAACTATCAAAACAAAAGATGTACAAGTTGTATGGGCTTTGTTGGACATGGATTAAAATGTCATTCATGTGAACAATTTGCACATGGGCATTGTCTAACAGCATATTTCAAAAGGTTAGGTAATAATAAGTGTCCAAAGTGTTCTAAAAATATACATGTTGATTGGGAACCTATAACTATCTTTAATGAATTACAATGAAAAATGTAAAATTAATATAAATTTTGATAACATATTCAGTGTAATTTTTTTTCAAATTTTATAACTACATACCTTAAAAACTTATTCTTGTTTAATGATTAAATTTTAACTATTTATTACATAATATGTATATGTTTTTTTATTAATTTATCTTTTTTTTTTTATTTTATGACAACCATGTGTTAGATTGACATAAAAGATGAGCAGTTAAAACACTTAGCTTGCTGTCTGAACTTTTTACCACAGTTAACTACTAATTACTTTATGACATTGTACAAATTTAGTATATATTTTCTTTGTTACAACCTCAAATTTTAAAAATATTTTATGGATGAAAAATGGGTAAGAAAAACCATAAAGTCTTATTAGGTTAAGTAAATAAATTACAAAATAAAATTCTGTGTATTACCTGTCATAAAAATACTTGCTGGTGACAGGATGAGTATATTGCCAGTTTTATTCAACTACAAAAATCTTTGAAAAAAGTAATCTTACAATCTAGTAAAGATTATCTTTAATGCTTTTGTTAACACCTTATATTTTTAATAATTTAAAGGATTCCAAGTATGAAAATTAATAAATAATAAAATGTTTTATTTTATTATTTATTAAATATAAAAATAATAATTCAGTAAAGCAGTAGGAATTTTTTTATTTCAATCGAAACAAATAACCTTATTACAAACTAAATAATTATTAAAATAAGTTAATGATATTATGTATTTAACAACAATAAAATAGGTAGACTATAGATTATAATAATTAGTTGGTGCATTTTATTTTTGAGATACCAACATTTTTTTAAAATTAATTATTGTTAACAAATACCTACCACAAACCAAAAAAATTAGATCATTTAATGCAAATATATATTAAAATAAATATAACTACATATTTATAGTTAATTCTTCTTTTTTTTCAATGAGAATTTTGGAAATTTATGCAGTTGATTGTTTGTTGTTTGATGACCTTGATAAAATTAAAATTATGTAAATGAGTGTCACAATTTTTTTATCTTTAAACTATAATAAAATATCTTACATTGAATAATTTAGTTGAGGCGATTTTGATGGTGGGAAAGGAGCATTTTCTTCATGAATCATTGCTTTTCTAAAGAAATCTGTTTTTCTTTTCTTATGTTTCTAAATTAATAAAAATAAAATTTGTAAATGTATAGGTTTTATAAATATATATATATATATACTTACTCCAATAGAGATTAAACAATCATCTCCACTGCTTGATGATGTACTATCTTCGAAATATGATGGTTTAGTATCACCATGCATATCTAGTTCTGTGTACAGTTGTTTTAACTGCTCATTAACTAATAGTGGCTAAAGTGAAAAAATATGGTACAAATGTCAAACAGTTCTTATAAATAATGTATGCATATTTGTGTATAATTATAATGATATGTATTTAATTTACTTGAGAAAGTGTGTTTAATGTGTTTATATCCTTTTGCAACACTTCATCTATGTTCTTACATTCTATTTGGTATCGATAAATTAAATCTGGGGTAGATACAACATCTTCCATCCAAAATGGTTGCTAAAATTTATTTAATATTTATTATTCCTTGGTCTTTGTTTTTAAATAATTTAAAATATAGAGCAGTTTTACCTTTTTAATAAACTGATGAGTCCAAGAATATTCCTGAAACTTTTTAATAATTTAAAAATTAATATAAGTAAATACCAGCAGGAAATTCTATGGGTATTATTATTAAATAATAGCATAATATTGGCTAATATATTAGAATGAATTTTCTACAAACCTCTTTTTCACTACTGTCTGTTTTGTCTCGTAAACTTGAAGAGTAAACACTACTGTCTTCATGTACCCATCCACTACTAAAAACAAAGTATAACCATTTAGTTTTTCTTTTATATAAACATATAAATTTGATTATACCTAGACTTAAAACTCCCAATTTCTTTTTTACATTCTGAATCAGAACTTGTAATGAATTCGTCTTGGTTTACCTGCAAAATCATGTGTGTTCTTTTAGATCATGGTAATAAGAAAAACATCATTATATATTTATTTTTAAAAATATAAATATTTTATTAGGTTTTAATTTTTCTTTTATAAATCTCAATTGTATTAAACAATCAACCAAAATTCTGAGAAGAGTTGAAGAGTAAAATTGTATTAGTTACCAATATATATTTGTTCATTATATGTAGTTTTACTTCCTATTTATTTAAGTATACTTGTAAAATTGGGACGGAATAAGATGATCAGGTGGCCAATTGGCTTTTGTCTTATTCAATCAGATTCCCATTGTATCTATATCACCACCATTAATAAGCCTCTCGATTAGCTCTACTTCTCAGTGCATAATGTTTACTATAAAGCATATAACCTATTTAGAACCATGTCATTTTTGTAATACAATTAAAATACAAAAATATTCTTAGGTATTAAAGTGTCTCTGCATTCCTGATATTGTAGTATGCGACTTAAAAAACCTCATAATTAATATTGAACATGCTAATTGTAAAATATTTATATTATGATTCTCTGAATGTAATTTAATTTCACTTATAAATTTAAAAATATAATAATTACATATTTATACTTTTTGAATAGAATAATGTATTTTTGTAATAAGACGATTAGGTACCTGATGAAATTTATTTGATATTGCAATTGGAGTTTTGTTTTGTTCCATTTGATTTTCATATTGAATATCCTGACTTGGTTGTGGTAAAAGTAACTAAAAAATAAAATTGGATAATTTGAATATAATCTACATTTACCTATCATGCAATTACAAAAAAGCATGGTTTCTCAATCTATTATCTAGAATAATTATTATACTCATTGCATCTTGTAAGTAAATAAATATTATTTGTATAAATCATTTTTGAAATAAATAAATACAATATATTGTGCAAAATTTTAGTGAAAATTTATATATTATTTTAATATTATTATTATATCAAAATATAGAAATTATTGTAACCTACCATTTTAGTAACTATATTGTAATTAATAAAAATTTCATACTTTAATTAGAAGTCAAGTAATTAATTATTTTATATTTATTTAAATTATTTTTTTTTAAATGGTTTTTTGGGTTCCAATTTTCAAACCATTTATTAATTGATAATTTTAGAGCTTTTTAAATTGTATTAATTTATATTACTTTTTTTAAATTGATGTTGACAAGTCAACAAGTCATACAATTTAGAAAACTTAAATATAATGAAAGCACTATTGACTACTAGGAAACACATAAATTTACAGAACAAGACCGACAATTTTTGCCCTGGTGAAGCACACAAATTATTAAACTAATTCAAACCTGATTATGATAATGTAAATATGGTTGTACAATATGAGAATTTTGAGGAATATGATTAATTACAGGTATTGTAGCATATAATGGCATAGGTTGTAATTGACTGGATAATGGTTCTGTAAAACACATATTACAGATATTTTAATTATAATAAAATATTTTTATTATTTATATTAATCTACAAGTTATAATTATTATAATTATTTTGACATGTAAAAAGGTATACACACTCTTTCTTCTCTATTTTGCACTTTTGTACCTATTTATTAGACTCTACATAAATACTATATGCAAGTATATTAAAAGTAAATAAAACCTCGATAATTTAATAATTAATTAAAATTATTATATTTTTATACTATACCTTGATTTTGATGGTATGGATCCATTAAACCACATGTATTTTCATATTCGTTGTGTTTTACTGGCATTACATTATCACCATATGGTATATTATATGAAAGTACTTGGTTTGGTAAAGTTGGTGGTCTTGGTAAATCAAACCTAGATTTTAAAACGATTATATAGTTAATAATTGTGTTATAGTTAATAAAATAAATCACTGACGTTGTTTGTGAATCTCGTGTAATCTGACAAGGAGGCCAAATTTTTGTTTTTGTAATGACAGGAATACTAGCTGTATTGTCTTCACTCTTTTGTGTTTCAGTGATTACATCAGTTACATTATTATTGTTTACAGCATGTTTTCTTTTAGTTAGCTTGTGCGGTTTATTTTCATATAAACTTGAATTGCAACGTTTTAGTCCATGAGGTGTATCGGGCTAAATAAAATATACATATTTAAAATTTTCAAAATTAACTTGTTTAGATATTATTTACATTATCTATAGTTCCATCTGGCAAATGTTTTTTACAAGATTTTATTTTGTTTGCATTATTTTTATGCTGTTTGACAAGGTCATCTTCCATTTTTTTAGTGTGACTGGAATCAAAAAAAAAAATGGTATTTATAAAATAAATGATACAAATTTTTAATCATATTATTTTAGATTCCGAGCATAGCGAGTGAACTATTAGTTTTACAATGCTGTTTATTTCTTATTCTTTCTTTATTCTATTCAGTGAACACGTTATTTCCTATAAAACTTGCTCCGATTGTTACGTGTAGCAACTTTTCTGAAAGCTCAAGTTGTCTAGATGGTATTTTAAAGAGGTAATTTTTTTTTGATTTTTGACACCATTTTTAAATAAAAGCACTTAAGTGGGAAAAACTTAGTTAAACATACAATTTCACGATTGCATTATTTTATGAAAATCCGGACGTTTTTTTTCTACCAGGAAAAATGATTTAATCGAAAAATTACTAGACACCATTTTTGTTGCCTTTTTGATTTACTTTCTTAAGGTATCATCACCAAAACTTTTGAGCCACTTTTGAGCTTTTAATGAATTTTAATTTTCGGTAGATTTTTGCTGTAATTTGGTTATAAAGACACGCAGAGACTTGAAACTTAGTAATAATACTTATATTGTACTTACCCAGACGTGGTAAAATTAACAAAATCATCGAACGATTTTTTTTTAATAAGCGTTTTGAAATCAAATTCAAACGAAAACCACCAAAAAAATAGGGCACTTCAAATTATATATTACCGAACTGCACTCGGAATCATCTTTTATCAAGCCATGGTTTATCATTGCTTAAAGATATAAACGAAATAATCTTATGTATCCTACCTTCCCAACTTCTCACCTATAACAGTAGTCGCTCCCATCCCAGTATCAGTTCTCTTTTTTTTTATTGTTTTTAATTTAACACTATTTCAAATTTGTATCATATACTAAATTGTTAAAATAGATACTTTTAAAATAGTTTACCGCAGTAACATTTTCTGTGTAAGTGGTTGTTGATGATTATGATTTAAATTTTGTTCTGAATAATAGCCTGTAGACATTTGATTTTCATTAATACTTGAATAGGGTGTTACATTTTGATGCAAGGGACATAATTCTTTTTTAACATTATCTGTATCTCTGAAAAACAATTAAAAATGTATATAATTAATGAACTATATAAGTTTGTTTTTGTAACTAACATGTCAATAGGAGTAACTTCATCTTCTGTGGTAATTTCTGTAGAATAAATTTCAGTTTTCATATCTTCTGATGAACTTGACTTGAGATTACTTTTGAAAAATCTAAACATATTATATAGTTAAACCCAGTAAAATTCTAAAATTTAATAATGATTACAAAATTTAATTTGAGCTGTGTAGGTACCTTGGTGCAAATAAAGCAGACGGAATTAAGTCATTAGGTATTCTTTAGTTTCAAAATTAGAATTTAATAAAAATTAACAAAATAGGTATATATAGTTCTTGTTTTGGCTTCTTTGTTTTTAATTTAATATCGTGCATTTTTTTACTGGGAACCCTAGTTGCACCAATGGTAGTAAAATATGTTTATTTTTAAGGAACTACTGCTCTATATATTATTTGGCTATTTAATAGTTGAATGAATGTTAGATGTATTTTAAAAATTAGTAACTACATAAAGCTGCCACTACAAATACTTAGAGATGATTATGATTGAACAATAATTATTTTTATAATTACCTGCACTTATTGTTTAGTTAAAACTACAGAAATAAAAATTGTTCAGTAATAAAACACATAATATTTGGTTGAAAGGAACAGCAATCAAATAAAAATTGTATTTTAAAATAAATTGAAAATACCTTTGAATATTGTCGTTATAATTAAGTTGAGTATAACTTGGTGATGTTCCAGAACTCGATTTTCTTTCATAGTTATGATGTGGAGATATTTCTCCTAACATCACTGAGTTGTGGTCCTTTAAACATAATATATTATTATTTTAAAATAACTCTCTATATCTATTGTGTTATTGAAACATACAGAAAAACTACCACACGTTTCAGGTTGTACTTCGACTTTCAGAGAAATACAAGCTGATGGATCTATACCATCTACTAAGGAATTCATAAATAATGCCATATCTTTGAATTTCTGTGATATTTGTTGCTTTACATTAGTTTTTAAATCTGTTGTTTGATTCTTTTGGTGTGGAATTTCAATAACTTTATTTATATTCTATAATAAAATATAAACAAAGAAATTTACATTTAAAGTTAAATTGGTAATATTGAGAGAAAAGCTATTAATACATCCTATACCTAACCTATCTATTACACATTTTAATCTAAATAATTGATAATAGATTACCTTATTCAGTGTTTTGTTAATATCTTCATTTAATTCAAGTTTCTTTTTATTTTCCAATACATTTGCCTCAGATGTAACGTTATCAACTGGAATAGTTACGTCAGGATTAATAGGACCCTTAAATCATAATTTATTAGTCATCTATAAACCAAAATTTCACAACTATTTTTTAATTACTTGGATCACTTGATGTTTCCCGATAACAAACTCTACAATTCCAGACCATGGATTTACAAAATTTGACCATTCTGTTTGTACTAATGCAAAATCACCATTTTGACACTTAAACCAGTATGGTTTTCCTTTAAATGGAACACTTTTAGACTTAATCACTATAAAAAAAATTAATAAATGTATATTGGTAACAGTTAAAACAGGTAAAAATAAGTTTATAAGATAAATGTTTGAATTACTATTCTCATGAATTTCTTTGATAGTTGTTAGGTCATCTTTATTGTAATAGTTGAAAATTGATGTACCTATGATATTTTGTGGTAAATACCCAAGATACGAAATTATTAATTGATCAACATAGCACCATTCAAATAATGTATTGTACTTAGTAATAAAAATCAGTGGATTTTCTTTTTTCTCCTCAGGATCTATGCATACAAAATAAATATTTAATGTGTTGAATTTATTTTTAGATATATATAAATTTTAACTTACAAGTGTATGCAGAGTGAATAAGCTGTGCTTTAATGATTAGTATTAATTGAGGTTGTGATACTTGGATAGTTTTTATCAGAGTCGGTGACACTGAAGAATCTGATAAATCTTTAAATGTTATTGTAAGCTTGCACACTTGGTAGAGATATTTTTTTGGAGATATTGAATATCCAGTATTTAAACATTTATATTTTCGCATGTTGCAGTAAAATCCATCGTTGTTCTTGGATTTTAAAAAAGTCACATTTGATGAATCATCTAAAAGTATTGATTAAATAAGTTATTTTGTTTTAAATCATATTAGTATTTAAAAATTTATATGTTTTGAGTATTCTTCCTACTAACTAAATTGTGTTGAGTTAAAATTAAAAAAAAAAAATTAATTTAAACAAAATTATAAAACTATTTTTTATATTTTTTATATCTATATTCGAAACAAAAAAAAACATTTTACATTAAAATCATAAAAAACATAATCTACTTCTCAGGGTTAAATCTTTATACCATGACTACTACCATGTACTATCAATATTATATTATACCAATAACTATATCTTATATTAAAGTTATTAAAGTAGGTAGTTAGACTTAATATAAGTAACCATTTATGTTTAATCATACCTTGTCTAGAAATCACACAAGGATCTTTTAAAATGGATGTCACATAATTAGTAAATGCTATACTATCTTTAGGGTGAATAAAATCAGTAAATGGTCTTCTTTTCCACATGTCTTTTGGATAACCCATACTTTTATGAATACTACTAGATGTATTAATAATTAGTCCGTCATTCATGGATACAATAGCACCAAATGATTCTTCAGGAACTTCATCAGACTCAATAATTTCTTCCAATTGCATTTGTTTTTCATTTAATTCTATTTTTGAAGCCATATCTATCAACATTAAACAAATTTAATAGTCTTATTTTTTGTATAAATACAGTACCTACTTAAATAATAAACATATTGCAAGATAGTATGTATCTAATTTTCGTTTTATTATTATTTTTTTTTTAAATATGAAATAAAGAGAAAAAAATAGTTAACTATAATTCATATTGATATATGTACTTGAAATTGTAGATTTATCACAGGGATTTGAAGATAAATCATTAATGTGTATATAATCACAATATGGTTCATATAAAGTTGTTAGTTGAAGAAAAGATGCATTATTTTGATCATGATTTTCCCTATTGGTGTTATTTAAATTACTAGCTTCGTCTAAATCCATTTTAAATGCAGAAGATGGCTTTTTTAATTCTGAAAATTATATAAAAGTACATATTTTGTTAAAAATTAATTAATTTTAAGTACTAATAATTTAATTTACATACTATCATTATCGTTAAATAATTGGTCCAGTTGTGGTTCAAATGTAGTTAAATTTATTTGCTCTGATTTTGAATTATTATTATTTGATTCTTGATTATTACTAGTTTCCAAGCTAGATACATTTCTTAATAAAATTTCATTTTTCTTCTCAGAAGATTTTGAATGCAAAGTTGAAATTGTTTTCCTAAAGGTAAAAAAAAGACATATTCTTAAATATTACACATTTTAAATAATTTACAATTGAGTTTTTGTAAACTGAAAATAAAATAATCTATAAGAAACCTGGTACGTATTTCTATAAATATCAATTACAAAGTTATAAATAAATGTAGGTAACTAACATAAAATAACTATAATATTACTGATACTATAATATTACTTTTAAGTTACCTACTAAAATGTAATGTTTTAATATATTTTCATTTCAATTTATTACATTGTATACCTAACCTAAAGTTAATTTTTTATGTTAAAGTGAAAATATAATAAGAAACGGTAAGAAAGTTTGAGGTTTAAAAATATTTTTTTCTAGACATCGTATTGAGCTGTTTGACATTTTTTTTTAAATAGGTATACCTAATTGTTATCTAAGTTTTAGTAGGTAGGTCTACCTACCTACCTAGACAGGTACCTATTATTTTTGTATGATAATATCAAATTCAAAACCAATTAGTTTTCTTTCCATTACTTACCCATTCTGAGTTGTTTCTAATGTAGTTGACATTCTCTCTTCAAAACAGCTGTCTCCACTAGATGCACTTTGGCTGTGACATGATTTAACACTGTGATTAATCAAGTTTATAGGTATTAAATTAGGTTACTGTCCATACATTTATGAGTATTTCTTAATATTAAAACAATTTAAATGCCTAATATTGTGGAAAGAGATTTCTTTTCTTGAAAGGCATTTTTTATGAACATATTATAAGAAAATTCAAGGAACACAACCAATATATAGGTATAGGTATTTCATATTATATTAATATAATTGTAGAAGGAGTAAAATTGCAATCTGAGAAATCATCATCATCTGTCATATCCATTTCCGAAAATGAAATTAATTTTATACCTTCATCTTAAAATACTTATAAATACTTAAGTAAATAACACAAATAAGTAGTTATAATTTAAATATTTTACTTACCTATATTTTGATTGAGTTGATGTACACGAGTAACCCGAATCATCTCCAGCTTGAGCTTGTTTTACAGTGGATGATTTACTTTCTTCCATATTTGTAAAGACCTACATAAACATTTAAACGTATATTTTATTTTTTTTTTTGCAAACAATTAATTATAATATGAACATAGGTAGGTAATAATTCTTTATGTGACACGATTTCAAAAATATATACCTATATGTTTACCTTAAAAAGTTGTATTCTAATATTTTGTTCAATAAACATATCTAATTAATATACCTATTACACCAATAATAAATGAATAGATATGATCAGCATTTTTTAGAAACATTTTCAATTCGATAAATGGTGAGGATTGGTACTTCGCATTATGTGTGGGCAACTGTTGTAGGTAGGTGAACATTTAGAAAAGTAGGATATATGGGGTAGGTAGGTAAAAAAAGTGTGTAAGTTCGTAAAGTAAGTGAAGTTCGTCGATCATAATTTGCAAAAATATAAATTTAAAACTATATTGATTTATTACTATAAAATACCTAAATCACAATTTTGCTGTGTTTTTTAACTAACATTTTCATATATTTTTAAGAAGTTAAAACATCTGTGTCAACATAAAACCAAATAAAACTTGATCATTTCAAATAGCTATAAATAACTCGAAAAAATGTCAAAATGTTATGAAAATTGTACTACATCTACTGTCTAAAAAAGGCTAATATAAATATTCTGTGAAAATTGATAAGGCCACTACGGTTATTTTTAACTGAATTACAGCTAAAACACCAAACCGAAGATAACAGAAACCGCGTGGTCTATAAATTCAAAACAAATTTTTAGAGAAAAATTAAATTTTTATTATCACCCCTCAACACTACAAAAGAATGGCTTCATATTACTAACATTTTCATAATAACTACTTTGTAATAGACATATTATTATAAAAATTGTTGTCTCATATTCACGATTCATGTGTACATAGGTTGTATATGCAATGGTTCTTCCTTGGACGCATACGAGAGTAATAATTATAAAACATGCCTCGAAACCTTCGGTTAGATAATTAGCTTTACTGACTGGATGGCTAAGGGAGAATATTACGTCGCTAATTATAACAATAAATGTTATTATATTATATTTATTACATAAATAATTAATGTCATTATTAAAATGCCGCGCGCTGTGTTCTACCACGTAAATGAAAAAATTTTAATAAGTGAACAAATAAAAATGGTAAGATAAGATAATGGGGACGGGTGCAGCCACTGGTGTAAGTAGAAAGTTGGGAAGGTAGGATATAGACGGGAATTTAATTTATATTTGTAAGCAACGATAAACCATTGCTTACGAAAAAACGATTCTGAACGGAGTTCAGTTGATAGAAAATAATTAAACAGGCATATATTTTCTTTAAGAAAATTAATTTAATGTTGTTCTGATTCTCCCAGTTTTACTACGATTTTCCCTAATTTTATCCGGTTTTTTGCATTTGATGAGAAAACTCTTGAGAAAATCGAAAAATGGCTTCTTTAAAGTACCTCCCCACGCCGATTTTCTTTCAGAAAAGGTGCTACACGTAGAAATCCGAACAAGATTTCTGGTAGAAAAGTTGCGCACAAATAAAAAAAAATTAACATCTTTATAAAACTATAAGCTTCTTCGCCCCATTTAGAATTTAAAAGGTAATTTTTCTCTAAATATATCACTCCATTACACAAAATGGAATTGTAACATAAAACAAATTGTATATTAACAGAGATATTAACATCGCGTGGGAAGCACGGTGATACATTCTTTATAAGTACAGACGTCTATATATCTATATTCTACAATTCTTCTTTATAAGTACAAGGACTCTGGGGAATATATATAGATAGCTTATAGATAGAATATAGATAGCTACACCACTGGTTGTATATGATGGATGTAAAACTAGGTAGATAGATGGTCTTATTAAAAGAGCGTAGAAGACTAAGGCCCGTTCTCACCAACGTAAACGTTGATTTTAAACGGTCTATAAGATAATCGACCAATTATGGTCAGTTTTCACTTATCAGCTATAAATTCAGTTTAAGAATCAGATAAATGCCTTTTTTTTTACATTGGTGAGAATGGCCCCGAGTGTATGTAGGTAGTTACCCGTATTTATTTTTATATTTTTAAGCTAGGTAATACGATAATAATCAATAATAGTAGGTAACTGTTATTATTTCTGAATTTTAGGTTTAAGAATATATATATTCACATAAATACTATTTACATCTATTACTTATTTACCTATTAAGCAATCAGTAAAGAAAGCATTAGAAATGTCTACGTGGTAACAGTTAGCTAATATAAATTAGGGCTGGCAGTATTTTCGGCATACGGTTTTTCGGTTAGTGTCCATCACTATGCTTTTATTTACTTAAACAGATTTAAAGATCAAAGGGTCTAGATTAGTTAAATAAACGGTAATTAATTATTCAAACTATTTTTAAAAAAAAACCTATTTTTAATAAAAGAAAGTACATGATCATAAACCACAATGGCTAAATTTAATGCAAAGCTAATAATAATTTATTTTACGGGGATCTCAGTGTATAACAATTTAAACAATATAAAAAATTAAGAATAGGTACCTACCAAGTTATTTAACAATGTTATGTCATAACATTACGTAATAATATAGATATTACGTGGACTAGCTATAACTTTTAATAAAGGTAATCATTGTATTATTTTACTGAAACGCAGCTTTGTTATTTACCTAATAATTTTTATGATTCCAAATTAGTTCATAATAATATTCAAGATATATTAATATCACTTTGAATGAAGACAAAGTTGATCTTTGGATAAAGAAATGACAGTATGAAAATGAGCACGTTTGGACAGCAATCTTTGTTGGAGTGAAGAAGCCATATTATAAAATAACTTGTACCAAAAAAAAACACGAAACTTATGTAATATTTGTACTTCCTCATCCATTCTAATTTAAAAACAATAACCATTCTACTGTTTAAAAAAAACAACAAAATAATCAAAATATAAAATATAGGTAGGTACCTTGGTACTTACTTAAGAATTGTATTGTAAAAAACTTTCATAAATAAAAAATAAAATCAATTTATATTCGATTTATAAGAATATCTCTCAAGTTAACTTTATCCAAAATGCTACAAGAAAGCTTCTATAATTAAAGAATTTAATGAAATGGTCTTCTGACTCTTCTGGTCACAAAATTGTTCACAGACAGAATAAATAAACGGGTATACCATTATTGTAGGACAGTTAGGAAGATAAAATACATTGGGTTATTTAATATCTGTATACAACAATAAATCATTGCTAACGAAAAACGATTCTGAGCTCACTCTAAGTTCGGTTTATCATATTTTGATGATTATTTGAAATTGAAAATTATATTAATTTGTAACTACAAAATAAATTACAATTGTTCAGGGCCGTGTTAAAAGGAGGCAATGGAGGCATTTTCCATGGGGCGTCAAATATTTTTAAAACTATATGAGGTATCCGGCTCAATATAAAACTCGAATTTAAATTAACAATATCACTATTATTATGTCGCTTATTGTTATTTATTTTGTCTTCAAACTCTTTGCTTATAGATTACAGAGTAATAATGAATAATGTATGGTAATTAGAAGAACATAAGTACAATCTTACTAGAACGTAATACGTACCGTTTACCTATGAATGAAAATTCAGAAGTAAAGAAAATATTGATTGATGGAGGTAAAATGTTAAAATGTTAATATTTAATGTGAATTTAATAAAATAGTGAAAAATTAAACAATTTGGGGATTAATCCCCAAATCATCTCCACGTAAGACCTATAAAAAAGGACGTTTAAAAATGTATGTCCACCGGCGCTAAATGGCTTAACACGGTCCTGTAATTGTTCGTGTTTTTTCGTAATTTATATGGAACTAAATAAGTTATATCCACATAAATCGGAAAATTGTATGCGAAATAATGCCATGCTTTTTTACAGGAATTGGTAAATATCGGATAATTGGATAAATTATCAAAATTATCGATAATTATTAATTTAAAGAAAAAAAAAATGTATAAGGTATTAAGGTGTTAAAATATGTAATACTATGTATAGAATCAAAAATCATATTGTTTATTGTTATAATAAAATAAACATATAATAACTATAAATATAAATAAATAATAATATAGTTTTAATTTAATTTGGGTCTACCATTGTTGTAAGTATTATGTGGGCGTTTCCAGATGCCTTCCATACGTTTCCCAAGTACATCGAGTCGCAGTTTCTTTGTATTGTATTTTCCGGCTGCGTTGCTTCACGAAGTATTTTTTTTTCCATGAACCCACAATGCACTATTTCTAGTACATCAAAAGACCAAAAGTCTTATTAATAAGATTATTATATTTTAAATTTCACTTAAAGAGGAACACAACGAATTGTCTGGATCTGAATCCGCCAATTTATTTAATATTGAATTTTTTTTACGCGAATAAAAACTTCGTTGTTAGGTATGTTTGATTTTTCTCTTATCAATTTGTTTTAATTTTTCTTGGTTTAAGTTTCCAACTAATAGAGAGTTCTTATTGAATATTTTGAGTGAATTATTATTAGCAATTAAATTAGCGTGTCACTACAATTGTGGTCACACCCGGTTGTTTTTAATTTTACGTCTCAAAATTTTTATATACTTTTTTTTCGGCTTTTTCAACCTAGTCGATTTTTCTTATTATTCTTGTGATTTATCAAACCGGACTGGTAGAGTTTCTGAGATGATCACGTTGGCAACAAATTCAAAAGTGTCTGAACCGATAGTTATTTTGAGAATGTTTCATTGTTTTCACAACAACTGACTATATTGTCCGCACAGCGTCAACTGGTTGTATGGTCGGAGAAGCATATACTTGATAGGTACGAAGAAGAGAGGACATTGGAAGAAGATAAACATGTTTTTAATTGACTGTTTCATTTTTATAAATACAAATTCAATATAGTATAGCTGAGTTTATATTCACTAAAATGTAAATTAAAGTGAACAACACATTTTCAATTAGATGGATTAACCCACCCAAATGTGTATCCACTAATGATTTTTCAAGGTCCAAAGTGGCCTAGCCCACATTAAAAATTAATCGACTTTAAGTTAGCTAATATCTTATACATGGTTTAAAATACACGGATTTAGGTACTTACTATTGATAGGAAAACCGGTGGTTATCATAACTGAACACTTTCAAAAAAAGTCATCGTTCAATTCCACACACTTTTAATTATATCAATACCGTAAACATTCAGAATTCATCATTTATACTTCCAATAATATAAATAACATTAATAGAAGAATAATATTGGTAAACTACATCGTATTTATTTATTTAACGTGAAAAATATATAGTACAGAGATAATTTGTGATGAATACTATATTATAATATGTTGATACATCTGTAACGTGTAAGCAACGCTTGTAGTTAGGGTAGAGAGCCTGAATTCAGCTAATGATTAATACAATGCACCTCTAGAGAAAGAGAAAGAATAATAAAAAAATAATACATAAATACTGATAATAGTAGTATAGTAATAGTACCTAACATATCTATCAATAATGTATATATTTATTAGTTACTTATAAGTGTACACACATTTTATGATAAGGAAGGAAAACATCATATAAATAAAGTTAAATAGATACGATTAGTTTACGACTGTCGGTCAAAAGTGTGCGATGAACCCTCCGTGAATTTACCTACCTAATACTAAACAATGTGTAAGGAAATGACTTATGAAAAGTGTGCGGTTATCATACTTCGCACGACGGGTGATCCACTGTTGTAGGTGAAAAGTTGGGAAGGTAAGATATAGAAGGGAATTTAATGTACATCCGTACGCAACGATTAAACTTTACTAGCAATAAACAATTCTGAGCGGAGTTCGGTTATACACGTTTTGAAAAGACGTAATATTTACGATTTTCATCAACATTTTTTTATAAAAAAAAATTCTACATTACACTCGATTGTTTTTTTTTTTTTTTTGACCACAAAGTACGACTTATAATGATTTTCCTGTTAAATGTTCAAGCACATGGTCTAACATTCATTATATCCACAGATCACACACCGAATAAATATTATGTAAACAATTCCCAAAATTAAAATGTCTATAATAAATAGCTTACAAATGGTTAAAATATTTTGAAAATTTTCCCTCGTTTAGAAAAGACAATGATCAGTTTTCTGTTTAAATGTCGAGTCTCAACAAATATTAATTTTCACTGAATCACCACAAAAAAACGAAATCGGAAATAATACAATTCGTAAATTTTCCTTGTTTTTCTAAAACCGCTTGGAAAATCTCAACAAAAAGACCCGCTTAAAGTACCACCAGAATAAAATGTCGTCTCGGAAAAGGCGATGCTCTAGAGAACCGGAGAACAATTTCCGGGTAGTTTTTCGTAGAAAAACGAAAAAAAATAAACATCATATGTGTAAGACCGGTAACATTCCTCGCTCCGCTAAGAATCTCTAAAATAAAAATCCATCTTACCGGCGAACGAACGAAACCAATAGTCGTGATGGGCAGCCGGACGCTGCAGTGGCCGCCGGGCCGGGTCCGCGTTTTCGCGGGTCCGCGCGACGACTTCCTCTCGCTTCGATTTACCGCGCCGAGGGTACAGGAATACGAGCAAATATCGTCGGTAATATTGTGACTGTAGTTCACAATTATTATTATTTTCGTACGGGCGATTTCCAATGGATATTAATTATACGGGCGCGTGATTTTGGCGAAAACAAAACCGAACAAATCGGATAAAACTACCCGGGATACGGTGGATGACCGCAGACGATGATCGCAGGTTTGCTCGGATTAACGACCAATGACGGTATAATAATCGGCTGCAGTGGCGGCGGCGACTGAGCGGCGAGCGCGACGATCCGGCGTCGGAAGGAAAATCTCCGGTCGTCGTCGGTGGCGGCGGAACAGGGGTCGAGATTGTCGGAAAACGATCTCGGTCACACGCATTGGGTAACACAGTCACACGCCGTGCCGTGTGACCGGCGGTACACGCCGAATGCGTCAGCACGTGGCCCGCGATCGTTCCGCCTTCCGCGGCCAATTCGGAGTCACGTAGCTTGCCGCGTGATGAGTTTCGCGTGCGAGTCCGCGGTAATCGTAACGCCGCCGCCGCACACTGCAGCATTACGCGCGTGCCGCCGACGATGTCACGTGTTGGTCGTGGCCATGAGGCCGCCGCCGATATTGGCTCCGTGAAACGTGCGCCCCCCGATACCTACGTGGTCTGGTGTTGTGGCAGTGCGTGCATATACGATTTGTTTTTATTTCGTTTTTGGTAAATATACGCGCGTAACCGGGATCCCGTGTCCGGACGACATCGAAACGGCAAAATCCGATACGCGATATTGAAACAAGGCCGCGCGCCGCAACACCATGTACAGGGGCGTCTCCAGACCACAACCATCGGGGGGGGGGACGCGAAATATTTAAATTCAATATTAATGATTGATAAGAAAAAAAAGACGGACATACTTTACACGGTGGGTGGTGGACCATTGTTATAGATGAGAAGTTGGGAAGGTTGAATATTGAGGGAAATTTAATATATACCTGTGCCGAAGCAAATTTAAGCATTGCCAACAAAATACAATTCTGAGCGGAGCTCGGTTAATAGTTTCACGTCCATATAACGATAATGGTCCACTCCTCTCTCCCCGAGCCAAACTTAAAAGTGCAATATCTCGTCGACGGATCGACAGTAATCGTATTTTTCAACGCCAAAATCTATTTTAACCAATACTCTGCTCTTCTCGATCAGGTTTGAAAATCAAAAATAGCTAGGTAGTCATGGTGGTTTCACCCCTCGAAAACAAAGACGACAAAAAAAATGTAAATGCAAAATTGTAGAGCCGCGTATGTTGTACGAAACAAATTGCGAAAATAATCAACACCGACGGAAAAACACCGTTAGCAAACTATATTTCAATTTATAATTTTATAAATTATAGATTTATTTATATATACAACTATAACTATCGTATAAGAACAAATAGCCCAGTTTTAAAAAAAAAAAATATAATATAATATCGCATCAACCTCGAAGACGTCGTTTTAAATGTTCACGAAGAGACCAAATTAGCGAATTAGTTTTTTTTTTATACATTAATTCAAAACAATTTCGCAGAGTATGTCGTACTATAAGCAATTTTTTTTATCTGGAAATTCATTCCGACACTCCTACACAGAACTCGACATAGTACGGTAAAACTATGAATATCGTAATAATCGTGAAATTTTCAAAATAATATGTTTGACCAAACTTTGCTCAGAATCGATGTTCGTTAACCGTGATTTGTCGTTTAAATTAAATTATACATTTTACATGTTCTACCTTGCTGACTTCCCGCCCACAATACAGTGACACATCCACCAACAGTATCAACATTTTTTTATTAAAATTGCGACGTCAAAAAGCGTAGAAAAAAAAGTGTTATCATCTTATTGTAGAATCGAGGTCTTCAATATTTTAATCGCTATTATCGTCTCCCGAAATCGAATAACTGTATTATTATTACATTCAACACACCTGCAATTCTTTTTGCAGACCGAAAACTTGCCACCTGACGACGTTTTAAACAAATATTGTCAGTCGTGATGGTGACCGCTTTCTTGTTTACCGACCGGCCCTATAAAAGCGCTCGTCTCTCACCATTTCAGTTACTTCTGGATTTTTGATTTTTTTTTAGTGTTTTTTTGTTTTATATTTTTTTTTCTCGTTGCAAAATAATAACATTTGCTTTCGTACCATCAAGACATGGCATCAATGGTGAGTACCGACTAATAAACAACGCAGAATAAAAATTTTAAGAATAAAAATTTTAAACGCCAGGTTTTATTAACACAGGGATTCGTGAGTATGATCAATTCGATCATTTACAACTTGAACTCAGCAAACTACAACGCCGGGTCCCGGAAAGCAAGGACACTACCGGTGACCACCATAAGGGCATCTAATCGATATCGCTACAGCGATTCACGTTCGAGTAAGAACGATTAGCTAAACGATAGTAAAAATCGAGAGCGGATATTTTTTAGCGCGATCAATGATCGTAATTTCACGTGTATTACATCCCGTTTAGGCTTTGGCACGTCCGACACACGCAAAGTTATACGCGAACCTTTGCGCAGACATAATTAGCAACGGCTTCGTCGGCGCGCGTCCTGGATCTGGACAGGAGTTTCAGACCGCACTGCTACTGATATGCTACGACAAAATGAAACAGTCTTGGGAGACTACGGCGGTACCGACACAAAAACTATAATATTAAATTCCGATTCCCGTATATAGTAATATATTATGTTATAAATACGCAATGATTATGTTTTAGGCGACGCAATTCAAGGAGAAACGCGTGTCGGATCGTCAAATCAACTATTTCTCAACAAACTGCGTGTACGTTTTCAATATCAAAAAATATAATAATAAATAAATTTAATTTGGTATTATTTACGTGTTCTGTCGTTTTATAGATTTATCGGTGAACTCTATAAACTCGGCGTCTATCCCGCAGTTATTGTATGGTCGTTCATAAACAAATTGGTGAATAGACACAATTGTGATGTACAAGTCCGATGCTTGTGCGCTCTCTTGACGTCGGTGGCACCGAAATTGTCCGAGGTAAAATACGCATTTTTAAAAAAACAAATTTAATTAAATAACATCATAAATTGTGCACTCGACATTAATGCGTACTTTATAATTAATGACCCATAGACCTACACTATGACGACCGCCATGTCGTTGAAAATGAAAAAAACTATAGACGAAATCAGGCAAACATACTGGACCAACCGGATTCGTGAACGTATGATTATTAATAATTAATTTTTGAAAATTCTCTCCCGAATCGATCACAAAATATATATATGGAAATACAAATGTCGAATTTGTTTTACAGTTGAAATGAAAATTCTAAATTTTTGAGACATTTTTGTTTTAGCTATCGATCCGTACAACACGAAGGTTTAAAACGTTTATAACTTTTTTTTCTTCTTTTTACTTTTGAATTAAAGTTGGTAATTTCGATTTGAATTTTTGATTATTTGTACATTCTTCGTTTGAACAGGATTTCAAAGCCATTTTGGTTCTAGGAGAAACCGTATACGAAATAATTGCATTTTTTTTTTAAATTGATATTTTATAATATCATAACAGGTCTAGACAAGTCGGCCAAGCAAAAACTACTCGTCAATAGAGAATGTTCTTTCGAACCGTCCGATGACAATTTACAAACCGCAGAGTTAATAATACACGCTGATCCGTTGGAAATACTTTTGAAGATGACCAACAAAATACACACCGAAGAATCCTATGTAAGTTAAAATACGTTTTTATAATCGTACGCATGGCAGTGTCGGACTACCGTAAAAATGATTTTAATCTGTCGGTTCCAAAAGGCTATATATTATATACATTTTATAAAATTGTGCAGGACATTGAACAATTGTTAACGCCATTTGTAATCTCGTCGTTGGAGCGTGATCAGGTGAGCCTGATTATTTCGCTGAATCATGCGGCGTTCGATAACGGAGACGAGAAAATGCGTACCGTTGCCGGCGTATTATTGGCCGACCTCGTAAACGCGGGGCGGCTAACGAAATATAACGTTGTCAAAGGGTACTCTATTTAAACAATATCATTATTTTTGTATCTGTTTTGTAGTCAACTAACTTCGATCTCGATATACAAAAACTTAATTCAGGTTTCACGTAATGCTTAAGGCCAAAAAGGTCAACGAGCAATATCCTGATGTACCGGATTTGATACAAGAAATTAGAAAAGCGTTCGAGGACCGTTTAATTGAAGCAAATACGATAAAAGAAACTTTTTACGGAGCTAATGGGATCTTCCAGTGGTTCGACTGCAGTTCAAACAAAGAATTGATTAACGCTGAATTTTCGGAACTTCTGGTAAATTTCGGAAGCAAAATTCATTTCAAAGAACGTCATGTAAGTTAAAATATATTCAATGTTTTACGTTACATCTTTACCGTGCATATTTAATCGATCCGTGTTTAACAATGCAAACATTAGTTCCTATTCTTTTTAGTATATATTATGTAACGCTAAACTCATTTTCATTAAAAATCCACCTGCGTCATTTTGCAGCTATACAATTATACAATTTCCAAAATGTTACACGATATCGTACGTCTAGTGAAGCCAGTTTTACTTTGCATGTTAAAGCACGGCCATGTAAACATGATCGTGTCAATGAATTATACGGCAATCCATAGTCAAGAAAAAACCATCCGCGTTAACGCCAGAAATTTGTTGGCTAGACTCGTATTGGCGGGAAGGTTACGAAAAACATCAATCATTAAAGAGTACCTACAAACAATATTATTTTTGTATCGATTGCCCCGTCAAAACTAACTCTGATCTAAACATCCAAATATCTGTTACAGGTTCTGCGAGATACTCATCGACGACGCATCCAGTGAATACTTCACTAACATACCCGAATTACTAGCCACTATACGCACAGCGTTTAAAAATGAATTGTAATCTTAAATTTTTTTTATACAGAAGCAAAAGTTTGATTTATTTAGTTATTCTTAATAATATGGTTAATTATGTAAACTTGATTGATTTTTTTTTTTTTTACAATATTCCTAATTATGTATTGGTAATTCTATTTGTATTTTATAACAAAACCACAATCTTATAATATTTTCTATCTATGTGAAATATCATGATAATGTACAAATATATATATTAGTTTTACACTAAATTTAATACTCCAACAAACATAAGGATAAGGATATACAAAAATGAGATTCAATAAACAAAAATTAATTATAGTTAAAATTAAAAAATTATATTTATTATATAAAAAATATTTTTTTTTAAAGATAAATAAATAAAATTAGTACCTTCTCGATTACTAAAATGACAACGATTAGTTTCCTTTTTATACTATACTATGCTATGAGATTGATAGGAAATGGTATAATAATATTCATCACTTATGAAAAATTACATTTTAAACATTCATTTATCTTTGTTATTAGTCTTATGAGTTAAAATCTGTATAATGTTTTCAATTCTCAATATTTATTTTATTATAGTTATAAAATGATATCATTTTATCATAATATAGACATTGTATATTATTTATTTATATAAAAAATAAATATGTAATCAAATAATTATTTAAAAATAATTTACATTAAATTAATTATAAAATTTAATATTTAAAAATAATTACTATTCTGGATTTTGAATATTTAATAATTCAGAGTCTTGAACATTAAGGAAATCTGGCAATGGACAGTATATATTAGAACAAGAGTTTTCAATAAAATAATCACCACCCAATTCTGCATACATTTCAGGTGTTAATAAATATTTATGAAAATCCTTTTTGTTAGCAAATTTTTTGGCACCAAACCAAGAATCTAGCAATGGGGAATCAGACAGTTTTACATTTATACTTGATTCTAATGGTTGCATTTCCCTAAGCTCCCTATAAACTCTTTGCTGAAAACCAGGTAATTGAGTTGGACCACCAGTTAAAAATACATTCTCAGTTAAATCTTTGGCTATATCTGCATTATACTTTTTCAATATGAATTCTACTGTATCACTTATTCCACCTTGTCCACAGCCAATTATTGATGGTTGGAAAAGTACTTCTGCACACCTCATACGTTCTATACCAAAATGTAATTGATGAGCTTCTTTGGGATTTTGTTCCTCACTAGTATTAGAGCTAACAAATGATGGATCATAAAACCGTAAAATATCTTCAAGTTCAGTTATTTTTTCTTGTTCCTCTTCACTGTCAGTGTCTCCACCTTCCTAAAATTATTATGAATTAAAATTATAACTAATCATAATGATTAATATATTCTGCTTCGCATATTTCTAGAGAAAATTTTACACAAAAACTATTAAATAACATCATATATATCTATGGTAAATGGTAAAAATGTCAGACTTTTTCTCAATTTCATATCTAGATAAGTAAACAGAAGAAAAAAATATTTGTATGTCATTACTCTTATACCATATCACATTTATGTGAAACCCCAACCACTGTTATATCTAAGGTAATGAAGGGGCTAATAAGGTCATTACATTTTTTTAAATATATTTCATAAGTACAGTAAACTTACTTTATTAATAACTTTGTAAACATCCCAGTCTTCGTCTCTACTACCAAAGTCATCATCTCGTTTATCTTTTCTTGCTAATTGACTAATTAATCGCATTCGTTCTAAAGATGCAGCAGTTCCTCTTTTAGCCATATCTTGTCTACGTTGTCTTCTAACAGCCTTTTTATCAATTATGTCTTGCCTTTTTTTATATATATCTTTAAGCCAGGTTTTTGAAATTGGTTCCTCTTTTGGTAATTGAATTTTATTTTTAAAAAATCTTAATTTAGGTTCCTCAATAGCATGTTCTTCAACGGTTGAAGCATGATGAGAAGCAGCAATTTTTGATTTTGTTCTATCAATTCTGGTTTGAAGATCAGTTATTAATTTTTTTAGATCTTTTTCGTTTTTTAATCCATGAGAACGCAGAACCTCCTACAAACATATTACACAATGAGATCTCAAGTTGATACAAAATTATTCTAATCGAATTAAAATTTGCATAATTATTTACTTTGACTTCTTCAATCGGGTCTCCATCTTCAATCATCTCTCGAATCATTAATAATTGATAAAGTTGTTCTTCATCTTCTGCTAACTAAAACAAATTTTCAAATTTTAAATAATAAAAATAAATTAAATAAAACAGATAATATCACTTTTTCATCTCTTTTTCTAGCATTCATCTCCACTAATTTTTTAGCCATTTCTCTTCTTTTATCTCGCTGTTGATCCGGAGTTAAAACAACAGCCATAGAATATGGAAGTTGTATTCTTTTCACGTTATGATCATAATACTCACCATCAGACCATTGTTTTAATGCATCAGTATAATGAACTGCTAAGAACCCATGTTCATATAATAGCTCCTAAACAATTATTTTAAAGTGTTTAATTATAATTGAAAAATATGTTGCATATTGTTGTGAAATACCTCTGCTCGGCTAAGGGTAATAGCATTGTAATGTGCTGGATATTTAAGTTGTAAAAGTTTGTGTAAATAATAAGTAATGTGAAAACCGCCAACATCAATTCTACGGCTATTTAATAGATCAGGAGTACCATTGATTATAGGTATAATATGAGTTGTATGATGACCACAATTAATGACAAGTCCAGTTTTTTTGTCAAAACAATTATGCAGATAACTGAAAAGACCATCTATACCATAACATATACCAGGAACATGGTAGCATTCAAATAATAACTCTGACATCACTAAAAAATAATAACATAATTTAATCCTAAAAATAAGTACAAAAAAATAAATATATTTACACATCCGAGAACAATTAGGATTAGCAACAGGTTCGGTTATTATAATAGGATGGTTTACTTTTCCATCACTATCAATGCCCAAATGTGAAAAAGTGTAATCAAAAATTTGTTCTTGAACATTGAATTGTGTAACTATATTACGATCAAATTGTGACTTCAATTGGAACCGAACTGCTTCTATATTTGCTATGTCATTTCCTATTAATGTTTCGCCATCCTAAAAATGCATTTTAAATAAAATATAGAATTTTTTGGATAGGTACCTATAAATATTGAAAATTATTACTTTTTTCCCTCGTTCCTTTCTTGGACGAGCTAAAATGTTTTTAAATGTAAGATTTGGTACATCAGAAGTTGCCCACCCAGCTTTACAAGTAAATGAACCTAATAAAACATATTTTGAATTTTTTTAAAAAAAATATAAATAAATTCAGTCATCAAAATTATAAACCTGGTACAGCTATATACCTATTATAAGTACCTACATACGTTCCAATTTTCTATTATAAATATTATATTTACCATTATCTATAATAATGGGAGTTTTTGAATTGCGTAGTTCTTGAGTGTAACCATAATATTTGTCTGGAACGTGTTTAAGATCTTTGAGTTTAATAACTTCTTCACACATTTTATATATTTATTTTAGAAACATTTATGTAGGTATACTTTTGATTTTACTATAAAATACCGAGGGGGTGGTGGGTGCATTAAAAATCCGGAAAATATTATTTTCCCGGAATGTTGTTTGCATGAAATGATAAAAACCAATGGTTCCTAGTTTGACATGCGACTTGCTTCGATTGCCAACTCGAATGTGAACTCATGTCGGACTAATCGAAAATAAACCTCGATTAGTTGAGCAAAAACTACGTTGAGTAGAAATGTAACAGTAGGGAACTGTAAAACTAGAAATGTATATAGTGTCTTAGTAACAGGAAAACAAATTGGACGTGAAAATGCTTACTTTACGAAATAAAAAACATATTTTAGAAACCAATTATTATGTTTCTGTGTTATGTGTCCCATAAAATAGTATATACACATGTGATTAAAAAAAGGAAGTAACACCGGTGACCGGTTTGATTTGATAACACAATTAATTGATATTTGATGACTAACTTAAAAACAAAAACAATTTCGTATTTGGCAAAGAAAAATTAGTACACGATTATATGAGCGTCTAAGGATCCTTGGGACAACCAGGCCAAAATCTAAGAGACAATAAACAAAAGAAGTGATAATACTGATAATGGTGCGTGATATTGCCCAATGATTGAGTGATAGCAAAAAGCCTTAAGTATAGAAATAATTAAAACAGTAAGCATTATCATTTTTTGTCGCAGAATAATGTAGTGTACCAGGTACCTATACTTATACAGAATATTAAGCTAATTATTTTTTTTAACACAAGGATGTTAAAAATCTCTCAAACAAATGTTATAATATAGTTACTGTCTATTTCATCTATTCTGTGGTCATAAGGACTAAATTCATAGACCTATAAACTATAGATCTATGACTAAATTACACTCATGATATACTCTATAACAGTGGTCACCAACCTTTTTGACCATTAAATCCATAACTGCAAATTATTCGGAAGATTTAAGTTTATAGTGTTTATACTACAAGTCTCAGGTCCTCATTCAGATGTTTTGAATGTAAAGTTTTTTTTTTCATAAATAATGTTACAATAAAAAAAAAAAAAAAATAAATTTATTTATAAATAATAATAAAATATTATTTTATTTATAACAAAACAATAAGTTTTCACATATTTCTGTGGCCGCTAATATTTTCTCGTGGACCACTGGTTGGCGAACGCTGCTCTATAAAATTTAATCAGTGATTTAATAACTATTTCTTTAGATCTTATCCTATAGATCAATCACATTTAGAGGAAAGATAATTTGTTTTTAAATAATTTCAGTTATTGTCATTTGCAGTGATAGGGAAAAGGATTGAAATGGGAATCAAACAGAAACCTAATTTTGTTTTCTATTCAATACCGACACAAGCAAAATTGTACAGGTCATAGTAATAACATAGTTGTACTTAGAAATCAATACCTGTTAAATAAAATATTTTAATTATTAACTACAGGTATATACATACATAATAAAAGAGTTAAATTTATTTATTATTAATATTAAAAATCAGAATACGTTACATATACAGTGGAACCTCGATAACTCGAACCTCTATAAGTCGAATTTTCGATAACTCGAAGGAATACCTTGGCCCCTGGCTTCCAATATATGATATGTGTGAGTTATCGAGGTTTTCCATAAGTCGAATTTTCGATAACTCAAATTTTTTTTTCGCCCCCAACCGATTCGAGTTATCGAGGTTCCACTGTATTTCAAAATAATTAATTTCTTAAAAGAATAAATATTAGAAGTTTAATTAATTTAACTAAATTAAAAATTTAACTTAAAGAGATTTTTATTTTGTTCATTCTGTAAAACGAATCCTTTCTTCTTTAGTAAATAACATTGTGATACTAAATCTGGCATATCTTCAATGTTCACCCAAGCATGTTCATCTCGATTACTGCACTCCACCAATAACTATAGACAAATTAATGCATTAAAAATATTAAACTTGTCATTTATATGAAAAACATAGTTTAATACACTTACACTCATAATTTGTTTCAATTTAGAAGAAGGATCTAGTTGTGATAATAATGTATACTGAAATTAAAATTTAAAAATTTTCATCTAGTATTTTATGAAAATTTAATTAAAAACATAACCTCTAACCATATCAGATCTGCATTCTTTAAATTCAAGGGCAACTGCTTCTTCTATTTCTGTACTTATAACATTTTCATTTATTATTTTCTCTATTTCTTGTTGGAAGTCTTTCATTTGTATTGATAAATTGTTTAATCTAAAAAACATTTATATTCATAATATTAACAAACATTATATTATATATTACCATGTTGCAAAAATTTAAATTACCGATCAGTACTTTTAATAATATTTTCATTGTCTTGTTTGATATCGTTCAATAATAATACACATTCTGAGGAAACTTTTTCAAATGTTTCTAAAAGTTTCACAGAACTTAGAGATTGATAACAAGGGTAACCTATAATAAATAATAATAATTAAATTAAGTTAAGGGACTTCAAAATACACAATGAATTATTCTATTATTACTAAGAGGTTTTGTATTCTCCACCAAATGAGTAAGGCCATTAATGACATTTTGCTTAAGTTTAAGCATTTCTTGAGGCTCGACTGAATGTACTGGATTTTTAACAAAGTTGACATATTGGTCTAATTTGCTAACCCTTAAAGCCATTAATCTCACTTGGTCTTTTAATTTAGCCAGTACATCCAAGAGTGAATAAGAGTCAGTCATAATTGTTGTCTTTTCCAAAACACCAATTTGAGATCTAGCCCCAGTGTCTGATGAGCTAGAAGCCTATACACAAACAACAAATAATTACATTTAAGGTTACTTGTGACATCTATGTTACATAATATGCAGCAATCATAATAATATATGTTAAAATTAAACATTGTAATTATCGGGAAAACTTACTGCATTGTGGTCACTTGAAAAAGAATGGTCCATATTGGTTTGATATTTTAAATTTTAGGTAGTTTAATAAATTGTATGACTTTAAAATATAGATTAAAATTTCTATTATAGAAAAACTCCAAACTGTTTAAGTATTTAATCTCTTTCTTATGTGTTTACTGTTTAACTGTCTAAACAAAATAAAATAGAGGGAATCAAAATATCGTTACAACTGATAATAACAAGAATTATTGATAACCTTGCTACCCAGTTTGATCGATTGTAAAAAATCTTTTTATCTTTTTATTTTTTGTGGAATCTATGTATTATTATTATGTGAACAAATATAAATACATAAATTACAATATGAACGTTTCTAATAATAATTATAAAAATATACCTATGCAATTATATATAACACGATTATTTTTAAATAAACAGGTTTCAATAATTGTAAAAAAAAAACAAATAAAAATAAATGTCAAAAATGTATAAAATTCAAAATAAGTATTGAGTAGATAGGTAAGTAGGTACGTAATAATTATAAATAGATAATAATTTCAAACATATAAGGGTAATAGAAAAAGTAAAAGTTATAAAAACAGAAAGAAACGAAGTAGAAAAAAAAAATAGGTATTGTTGCATAAATATCTACCAAAATCAAAATATAAAAATCACACTCGATGTTAGAGTTTCTAACTTTTTTGAATTTGACATACTATTTTAGCGAGTGGTAGAATTTCAATATTTTTCTGAGAGGTGTCGTGAAAAATCATACCTGTGTATTTCATAAGTAGCTTGCAGGTAGGCTATAGACTTTTAGCTTTTAGACTATAGGCTATTTTAAACGAAATAATATCGACGGCTGGGAAGGGGATGGAGAGTCCCGTAAATCCGCCTCAGCTATTGGTGTAGTTTGATTTTTAATCATTGAAAATGTATAAAATACACTTATATTACTATAATATTGTTTATTTATTCTAAAATATACATGACTGACGTTTGTTAGCGACAATGGTATATTGTATAATCATAGATTTTTATATAAAGCCTAGGAATTTTATACAATGCCAAATATCGTTGGCAATCTATACAAAATTTAAAGTTTCTCAGAATCTAAAAGCACACATTGCATACATTTTTCCGTTTTTTCCTAAAAATGTTTAAGAAAATTATAACAAAAATAAAAACAAAATTAATTTCTCCAATGCATCAATCAACTTGTATTGAGACAAAACTTGCCGCCATGCAGAAACCATCCCCAAAGATAATCATCGGAATGAGATTTCTGGTGGAAAATTTGTTCACAGACACACAATAAATACTTTTGGTTAATCAGTTTATGTGAGAGTTCACGTAGGACCTTTAATTGAAAATAAAACCCGATTTATTAGTAAAACTACCTACAACGGGTTAGGGGAAAGAAAAACGTTATTTTATCGATTAGTTTATTAATTTAATTACCTACCCAAGTAACACATTTGAATGCCGAGTGTACCATACCGAACGAAATTACAGGGAGAGTACCAATGTTAGCAAATTTCTTCGGGCACAAAATGTAAGCCAGTACGTTTTTAAATTGAAAACCGAGATGGAAATAAAATATTTCGTCACGATCGTAGTCGTCTGCCGTCGCCGGTCGTTTATCAGTAATTTATTGTTCCCCGAGTGGTATTGTCCCGTCATTGCTTAGGGGCGTCGCCCGGTGGACAAATGCGTACAAAATAATAACCAAACCGGGGATCCCTGTTTAGTCGTTATCTCACCGCAGTCACCGGCAATTTATATTTTACCATAATACTGTTGTATTTGTTTCAGGTTTGCGAGTGGCCAGTGGTGTCCACTAGATGTTGCCGTTCTACCTCGACACCATCATTGATTTTATAATATAAAATTTACTATATACCTACTACTACCTTTATATATATATATATATATTTATATATGCACGAGTAGGTATGTAATAAAAATCAATAGCAGTTTCTAACGAGGGGCGCGGTTCTGGAACAGAGGGACTTGCGCGGTTTAATCTTCACTCGCCAGTTGTTGCTCAGTTGGGTATAGTATTATTGTAAAAGTGGCCTATTCAATATTCCAATCCGTTTACATAAATACTGATGAAATTTATTAAACACGTTGAACGTTAAAAAATTAGAGTGCCCTGTGCCTGTGACGACAAGAAAAACATCTACCTATTAAAATTATTTATCGGATTCCCGGAGCATCAAATTGTATACACCATGAGTGACGGTAAGTGAGAGTTGCAGTGTAAACTTCATTTCTACATAATTATTAATTGGCCAACATTTAAATAATAGTGGTATTCAAGAATTAAATATGTTAAGATCTAATTAAGTTCACTAAATTATTGAACCAATATATTAAATCCACTGTACAAGATAAATAGTTTCCAATTAACTTGTTGGTAACTATTTTTACATTTCAGACTCAAAAAGTATGTCGTTTGATTCGCATGATACAGTTTTAGAAGCATTAAGATTGGGAAACCATGAATTGTTGTTTGCATTATATACAGTAAGCAATTTTTAATATTTTTCTTTAAAGCTATAATTCCTATTTTTTATGTGAGAATATATTATAGGAGCTCACTAAAACTACTACAGGAAATATGATTTATTCTCCATTCAGTATTCATGTTATTATGTTTATGGCTAGTGTTGGTGCAGATTCAAAAACATTTGACGAAATGATAGCCACAATATACTTAAACAAATCTAATTATTCACTAGAAGCTTATAGTGATTTATTGGAAGATATAGCAGTAAAGTATATAATATATTTGAAAATGTTTTCCTAATTTGTTTTCATGCATTTTGAAAACCATTAGAAAATCATTATTTCTTAAAGGCAATACATTTAGTTTATAATAAAATTAATTTTAGAAATAAATGAAATACTCTTAAATAATATTTCAGAATGAAAGTGATTATATAAAACTGGCCACTGGTATGTTTGTTGATACATCTTTTGATGTAAAACAAAGTTTTGTAAAATGCACTACAGAATATTTATACTCGGCTATGGAAAAGTTGAATTTTAAGAATGACCCAGAAACACAACGCCAACACATAAATAGTTGGGTGTTAAACAAGACCAATAATAAAATTGAAGAATTATTTGCCAAAGGTTGTTAATATTTTAATATAATATAGTATGATTATTAAATATAATACTAATTTTAAATTGATGTATACTGGTTACAGATTCCATCAATAAGGAAATTGCTTCTGTATTGGCAAATGCAATACATTTTAAATGTGATTGGGAAAATAAATTTAGTAGTGTTGAAGATGAATCTTTTTATTTAACTCCAAGTAATGAAGTAAAAGTCAAAATGATGAATTTAAAACATGAATTTCTATATTACCATGATACTGAATTGAAATGTGCAGTTCTTGAAATTCCATTCAAAGTAAAAATTGGTTTTAAAATTTAATTTTCATATTTTTATTAATTTGAATGATAAAAAAATTGATATTTTTTTTAGAACCATACTTTTAAAATGATGATTTTATTGCCCGACGCCAAAGATGGTTTGAAGGATCTTGAAGCTAATTTTTCAAAAATACAGTTTAACGAAATTTTAAACAATTTAAATTGTTACACTGTTAGTGTAAAATTACCACGTTTCAAACTGGAACAATCTTTTGAACTGAAAGATATTTTATCAAATGTTAGTGGGTGTATCCAACAATTTAAAATTAACAATTTTAAAGTTAAAATTATGATATACTTGTAGCTTGGATGTTCTACAATGTTTACACAAGAGGCAAACTTTTCTAATATTATTGATGAAGGTAAATTGTATGTGAATAGTATTGTTCATAAATCATTTGTTGAAGTTGATGAAGAAGGATCAGAAGATTCAACTACTGGTAATCAAATTCATGCCATTCAATATTTACTATAATAAATGTTTAATATTCATGTGTATAACACATATACAATTTTATTAAATATGTCTATTCAATTTATTTCCCTAAGTTGAAAATCGATAATCGATTTTAAGTTATACATTTGTACTTTTGTATAATTAAAAATTTTCAAATTTACTTAGGTTTATTAATTTCCATAGTGAAATGATAATGGGACATTTTTTTTTTTTTTAGTGGGGGAGTAAAATATTTGGGGTATTATACAAGGGGAAAGTATTTGTTTTATTACAAAGAAATGATGAAAAAAAAGTTAAATTATTTTAAATCTTATAAAGTAAGGAAATAAGTTTTTTTTTTTACTTTAAACATTAAAAAATAATAATTAACAGTAGGTAAGAATTTATATTTAAATGAAATATTAATAACATGGTAACTTATCATCAAAATTATGTGATGTTACTTATTTATTATATTAAACTATGTGTTATATATAATAATAATTAGTAATTTATGGATTTTCTTACAGGATCTCTTGACATCTATAGAAATTTCTATACACCCACACAGGAAGTTTTGTTTTACGCTGATCATCCTTTTATCATGATGATATTATCTCATACAGGTGATGTTCTATTCTTGGGGCGTCTAACAAATCCATGAATTTTTAAATTATACCTTTTTAAATGTAATTGATGTGCCATATTTATTTAATTTAATCATATTTGTATGCTTAAGTTGACATTTTATTCAAATATTCAATATTGTCTAGAACTTTAATGGTTAAAAATGAGTTTCTCTTTTTAGAAAAAATACTAGAATTGTTTTCATTTTAAATAAAAGAATGAGTATTTATTTAATTTTTATGTTTTTTTTTAAAACGTGTTTTAAAAGTGTTTAGTGCTTAATTCTAAAAGAAAATATATGTTAGTCACTTCTTAATATCGATCTTTTCTTGAAAAAGAAACTCTATTTTTACACTTTGTGACATATAAAAATATATTGCAATGTGGTCACTTGTTCATGAAATGGTAATGAATCTCAAGCAAGTGTGTATTCTTGCCTAACTTACATTAAAATAATAAAATTTAGTCAGTTGAATGCTCAAACAAAAACCAATATAAATAATAGTTAATAATGATTAGATGTCTTGAATTTCCCAGTATTCACATTATGATGTATAACAGTATCACACTGTGGTGGTATCATCATTCTATGTATAAAATATAATATCTATATTTTGTGTACATATATAACTGTACAGTCCGCAATTTTATGCCACTGTGATAATACAATAATGTATTCTATATTTTTATTTTTAGATTTGGAATGTAACAAAGAATGTATTGGTTTTACTAAGATGTTTTTAATTTTTTTTTTCTCTACACCGTGTACAAAAATTTGATCATAAATCTTGCTCAGATATATATATGTGGCACAATTTCTAAAAGAACTTCTACCAGAAATATTGCTCCGATGTATCAAGTGTAGCACCATTTCTGAAATGAAATCTGCATAGTACCTTAAGAAGTTCAATTTTCCCAATAAATGGAAAAACCTGGAAAATGTACGAAATATATTAGTAAAATATTATGGCCTTTTTTTTCTGTGTACAACTTTTTTACCAGCCATTTCGCTCCAATTTAAAATGATAGCACTTCTTCTGAACGGAAATCTGACTGGGAAGGTACTTTAAGTAGGTAATTTTTTGATATTGTAATCGGTACAATATTAAAGAAAATATATAATGTGTATGTAATTATTTTACCATAATATGCCATATATATTGTTGACAAAGCCTTACTATTAACTGAACTGAGCTCAGGATCGTTTTTTCGTTAGCATTACATTACCCATAACAGTGGCTGCACCCTACTCCATTATCCTAGGACGTCTTTTTTAAATCTATTTTTTTTTTTTTAAATATTGATTGGGACCCATACTAAAATTTTTATAAATTGGTCCTAGGGTACCTCTAAAAATTTGGAGGTCTGGGACATATACCTTAATGCCCCACTTAAAATCCAGCCCTGGTTGAGCGCAGTAAATGTTTTATTCCAGAATCAACATACTACAAAATATTTTTGTACTTAAAAAAGTGTGATAAAGTTGTTTCTTTTTATGAAATAAACAACTCCTTGTGAAAAGATCCATTCCACAAAGTTACTATGACATAATAGGTCAAAGTTCGAAGGTACAAGAATAGTGGTAGGTATACAAAAATATTAACTAATTTCATTAAGAATAAAATTAAGATATCTTGTTTATTATTATTATATATATAATTTGGGACGAGCTAAAATAGATTTCAATTATTAAAACTAATTACCTAGACCAAAATTAGACTTGGTAATGAGAAAGAAGAGCATCTAGAAACAGATAAAAACCTATAGATTGGTATACATTATTCTGATAATTTGGAAGATATTAAGAAAAAATACAAGAGAGTATCGACAGTGATATATTTATATGTAGATTCATATGAAATAGAAATACATCAAACAAATATGAAGAAACTTAAAACTTAGTTAAAATTTTAAATTAGTTTGTTAAAACATAATTTTATTTCAAATATTATTTCAGACAACTTGAAATATCACTAGGTATACATTTTATTTTGATATGGCCCATATCAGTTTTTATAAGTTATAAGTATCCCAACAGCACCAGGACTATTATTTATATGTAAAATCATGAAATCAACTTATACTTGTATCTATATAAACAAACAAAAAAAAAAAAATGTCAGGAAGAGTTCTAATTTGTCTTAATAAACTATATGTACACTTAAATTATAAATAAATCAATACTTATAATATAACACCTATTATTATTAAAAAATACAAATTGTTGTTAAATCTACTTAAGTTAAAAAATGTACAAACTAATTAGTTAATTACTTCTACATAATATATATTAGGTATAACATAATATAGGTACATAAAATAAATTAACTATTATTGATTACTTATCTTATACTTGTAAAAGTATAAAATTGAATTTTTGAAGACTTTAAGTACCTAGTATAATTTCAAATGATAATGCTGATAATCAATATTTAAATGGGTATTCTATCAGAAAATGTTTTCAAGTCTTTCATTAATGTCTATACAATAATTCTATTAGATATGAGACAGTCTTGTTTGGATTATATATTCTTTAGAAATAAAAAGTAGTGTATACTTTTATTAGGAAGGTGTTCTACAAACATAACTGACTACCACAATTCTATCATTTGAAATTTAAAGTAAAGAACCGATTGTATTAAACAAAATCTTTAAAAATGAATTATGAGTTGAGTTTATTTGTTCAGTTGTTATGGCATTAACATTTGTGCTAATATTGTCTTTGATAAAGTAATGAAATTTGTAAATTTATCAACATCATTAAAGTGATAAATTCAAAAAACAAACTAATACAGTGGAAAACAGCTGGGCTACTTTTTGTTATTTATATAGTTATACCATAAACAAGAACTACTCTTATAAGTTATTAAACATCAAAATAATTTCAAGTTAGTCTCTTATTATGAAAAATATAAAAATAAATTCACAGTAATTTTAAGAATTGCAAAAACAAATTATTTGTAAAATAAATTTAATATAGTAGATACCCTTTAATTTATGTTTAAACCAAAACATACTTGGAATGTAATGAGATTATGGATATGAAAAACGCTAAAATTAATGATATTAAGAATATAAAGATAAATGATATAGTTATAAATATTTGTAATGAACCACTTTTGGTTGCTGATATTTTCAACAGTTTTTTTTTTACTAATTTAGGCAGAAATTTATTTAATAGAATTAAAAAATCTACTAGGTATGACACATAAAGAGAAAGCTTTTTTCAGTTTCGTTTAATAATCTATTCACTGAGATTATTATGGAATCGAATGTATACAAATTATTAAGCCATTAATAACTTGAAAGATGAAACCAGTGCTGGTTTTGATCAGTGGTACTTAATAAATATACTGTAATGATGTTTACTGTTATCAGGTCCTCGTTACCTTTTCCACGAAACAACAGTTAATTAAACAAATAGGTATACAAACAGTGTACCTAAATAATTGGTCAGCAGTGTTTCTATGTTATTTTCATACAAACGGTCATCACCATGGCGACTGATGTAATAATTTTATTATCCGCTGATTTGAAACTTAAAACCCAAGCTATTATTACAGTAAGATATTTATAATTTATAAATAATATTATGTTCGTATATAAATAGACGAGGGTATCCATGCAATTGTTCTTATTTCAATATTATTGTTTTTCATGATAGCAATGGTGCATGGAGACTTCAAAAGCCAGTGTAATTATATATGATAACACCCAACCGTTCCACTACCAGTGGTGTATTTTCATTTAAAATCCAAAATAAATATAAATGCAATGTGATTATTTCACACATTTTTCAAAAATAATATCTCAATTATGGGGTCTTATAAACTGAAAAGAAACTTGCTAAAATTTGTAAGCGGATTTGTTGATAAATCTGTACATACTTTAAAAAAAAAGACATACAAGTATTCAATCATTTTAAATTGAACTAAATAAACGTTATTGGTACATCTTATAAAATTTAATTAATTAGGTAGTTAAAGTTAAATATAATATAATAAGACAACTAGAAAAAAAATGTATATTATATAAATATATATATTATATTAAGTGAGTCGGCTCAATCCTGATTTCATCATTGTTTTTAACTCGGCAATATACATATTATGGTAAAAAAAAATTAAAAAATTTGCATTTACCAGTAACTAGATTTGTTCCATAGGTAGGTATACTAAAAAAATTATTTTCCTGGTTGTTTAGATGAATTGTTTGAAAAACTAATTACTTTTCTTTTCATTTATATGGTTTTTCGCTTTTATTGTCTTTTCATTTACATCTGACAAATTTGAAGTGTAAATAGCTAGATTAGCTTTTTTTTGTAGCATCTGCTAATGAATCTTAAATGTTAAAATATACCTACAACAATAAAATAGATTTATATAGGTACCTAATATTTACAAGTTTTTTGAGTTTAAAAAGATGAATTATAGAATAAAAAAGTTGATGAGTAGAATTGTCTTAAAAAAAATCTAAACACAAGTAGCTATCAATGTAAATTTATTATATTGATGAAAATAATTAATCCACTTTGTTATAGACATTATAGATGTACATCATTTTGATGTAAAATCTAATTAGTAGTAATGAGTATTTACATTTAAAAATACATTTTGTTGATAGTTGTATTTACTAGAGGGTTGAATTCTCTTCCCCCCTCATGCTTGAGTTAATAACAATTTGCAACCCATCAATATACTACTAAGGTAATGTGACCCTAGCCTGAGAACAAGGAGGATTTGAAATGATTATTGGTAATTTATGTTATGATGCCGGATTTTCAGTTAGAGTATAATCAAACGTATCCACACATTTTTTTTTTTTATAAACATTTTCATTTGTTTATCTGCCATAGTTTTAATGTCTGGTAATAAACTAAGAAGGAACATTTTTTTTGATCTTTTTCTATTGAACTAGATTTTCATCTTGGTTTTCAGTATTGCTTTTGTTATGAGATACGAAAATAGATACAAAAAAAGGTTTGAAGTAAATAAAGGAACACTTGAAATTATTAGTGACTTTTATTTATTGAGATTTGTGTAGCCAAGTGAGTCATTTTAATAAAATAATAAATTAAGTATAAAATGTATAAGTGTTAGTACTCATATAAATACTACTTAGACTAGAGAGCACCGCTCTATGCAGCACTAATGAATCTAACAAGTCCTTTAGAAAGACACACGTTTGGGTACTAAAAGCGGTTCTTCCCAGGTCTTTATAGTTTTATTGCTTTTATTATGGGCAGCTATTATGATACAAGTTCTTGGAAATGACTAACAAGCATCACAATAACATAAATCTAACTTCTATGCTTAAATACATAAAAAAAAAGAAACAACTTCACCTAGTGTCACAATAGCCTACACTATACATATAATATAATGAAAGAAACAAGGAAAAATTCTTATATGCAAAATTATACATAAGTAATATGCAAATATGTAGGGACTCAGATAAGGAGACCCAGTGAAAAATATAGTAGTAATCTCAAATTACTACATCCCTTCAGCTCTAAAATGAAAATCACATTTTCATATAGTTAAAGTGGAGTTTTAAATTTTGGGAAAAGTGGCAGAAATCCAACCTTCTTCCTTTGTGATTTCCTTGATACTAGCCAGACATGAATTTTGGTAGCCATTTATTGTGGGATTTGGTTTGTGGTATTGAAGGAAAGTCTTGCAAGTCAGCTTTGTAAACTATGGAAACACAGTATTCCATGCCTCTGTTTGACTGGTATTTCTTGAGTTTTCCCACTAAAAAGTTTAAAAATATTATCAAAAAAACTACATCTCCCTACTATTGAAATGTAAATCAGTCAATTGTGTGTTTCGATTGATATTTTAAACTGATTGTACAAATGTATATAATATATATAGTATTACAGTGTTTACTATTTGAACTAAAATTTCCTTAAAACTGACATTTTTCTACTTTTAATGTTTGCTCTTCATGACTGAAAATTCTTCCCAATCCTGGTGGAGTACGGCAAAAAATCAGGGTAGTTGTGATACCTAGAATTAGAACATCCAGAGTTTAAAATATTGTAGCGTTTGTGTCTTATAAATATTTATCCCATACATATATTCTACTGGAATATAGAAGAAAAAAACTTATTTATTTTGATTAGATTATTATTCACAGAAATGTAGTTAAATTAACTTGACATTTGTTGGTAATATTATTAAATATTTTTATGTTACCATTGTCTATATTTTTATACAATTCGGACCAAATAAATTATTAATATCACAATATTCATAAGAAGAAATAGCTCATATACAACATTTAATATTTCCAAGCGTATTAAGAAGTAATATAATATCATAAGTATTTTAAATTTTATTTGATTCAGTTCCAATATTTTTCCCATTAAGATGTAATATTAATTTAGAATAAAGAAAAATAAAATTAACAAAATATATTATAAATTAGGTACATCAATATTTAATACAAAAAAATGTATATTATTATGTTCTAATAATAATTATTTTTATTATAATAATATGAAATACTTAAATCTAAATTTAATAATATTAGTTTTATCCAATATTAAATTATTATTAATATTTGAGACATATTAGTTTACTGATTTTTAGTTAAACAGCTTATACTCAATCAATCATGTTTAAACTCTGAAAACTCTTATGAAAACCGACTTACGCATAATATCCTCCACAAGTTGGAGTTTGCATGGTAAATATTAAATTTTAAATTAAGTTGTCTGTCACAAATTTGTCTATTGGTTACTACAAGAGCAGTCAATTTTTGCTGATCACTTCCAAACTCATAAAAACAATCACATTGAACTTAACATACAGCCCACTCTACAGTATACTCAAAAACCAGTGAATATCAAGCATTCAATTACAAAATTGCTGTCGCAAATAAATATAAGGAAATTTTGACTGATTTGTGGTAAATCAGCAACAATCACTATCCATATAATATAGACAAGCATCTATGTAATAAAAAAAGATACATACCTTTATTTAAAACAAGTTGTTTTTCAACATATCTTGTCATACCTAATTTAAATTATCAATCTGTAAAATAAAAATACGAAGGTACTCTCTTTAATGTTAGAGAACTGACTTTTTAGAATGGTATAATTTAAAATATACATACCATACCTTTCTTTTTTTGCTGCTGAAGAAGAATATTCAATCACAGTTGTTAACAGATAAATTATAACCCGAGACATAACCAGAAACTACTATTTGCTTTTAGTTGATGAACTTTCTTTGATAAATTTCTCAAGGTTCTTGTCAATTAAAATACAACTAGATAAAATAAATAAATATTATTTTACTACTAAAATATACCTCCTTTTAGATGTCTGAATTTGAAAATGACAAATCCATACCTACAACTCAATGATGGGACCTTATTGAAATTGTTTCTTTTATAATTTATTTGTAACATATGATTTTCTCTTGAGAACCTTTATTTGTTGTTTTTTAGATAGTTAAATTTATTTTACATTTTGTTTATATTATTTACGGTATCATTTTTCAAACTAGATTTCCAACAGATTCTGTATATTATGTTGCTTTCATTAAAATAAGAAGCACAAACACAATGGCTCTTCTTCAGTGTCAAGGCTTTGTTCCATTTACATTTTTCAAACTCATTTGTCGGTACCATTCTTAATGTGGTTTTTATCACAGTGTAGCGAGCGAATAAACCAGACATTTGGGTTTATGAATATAATATTCATACATTAATATACTAATGCCAATGTAAAACATCCAAAAGATGAACTGTTGTTTAACTACTACATCATGTAAATTACAGAAAACTAAACAAATATTAAAGTTAATTGGTATGATTGATTGTGCGCATATTAAACATAATTTAATTTAACTGTTTAATGATAGGTAGGTAATTAAAATTCCTATCTAGGTTAGATCACCGAATAAGATTGAATATTGAAAAGAATTTTATAAACAAATAAGATTCAAAATTTCAAACACCGATATAGATAATATTATCTATATGACTATATTTGAAGATTGAAAAGATTGTGTTATCTCTAAAATACGGCTCTTTTAGTTTTTATCTCGGTTTAAGATATATCTATCTTTTTTTTTGTACAAAAATACATAATATATACAGATAAATCTATTAATAAGTACCTTAGTCATTCAGCTTTAACCAGGAAAAATCGTGGGACTGAGGAAGTGTACATGTATTTCATATTTATCTATGCAAAATAGAATTACTGGCAGGCTGATCGCTATTGCGTAGTACGAGAGTATTTGCAAGTGAAATGCATTTAATACTGTTGTAATCTTTGTTTGAGATTGGCGCTGAAACATTCGAAAAACTCGTGACATTCACCTATACAGATTTGCAAAATTCCTCACGTTATGAGCGACAGTAAGTAAAAGTAAATATTTTATAAAATATATGCTGTTTTTGCCCATTTTGATATTTTCGAAAATATCAAAATTAAGTTTATTGATTATAATTATTTTTATAATAACGGCAGTTATTCGTGAATGCAGTGACCGAAACTACAAATTACTATTAGAATACCTACACTAATTCGTTAAACGTATAACATTTATTATTTCACAAAGTAGGTATTCACTTTTAACGAAAACAATTGTTTTGATAATTTAAAAAACAAGTAACTCTAAAATAGAGTTATAGTTTATAATAATTAAAAATTGTATACTTTGGAATCGAAAGTGTTATTCAAAATGTTACCGTAGAAAACTCATAATAAAGTTGTAATTGAATACAATACAATATGTACATTTTACTTAAATAATCATAGGACGAACTTCTTTGTAGTAACTAGAAATAAGTAATTTGTGTTTTATGAATAATAAGTTTGTACATAATTAATTTAATTTACTTTCCCTTATTACCTAGTGTACTAATAAAATATAATTTAAGTATCTATTTTGAAATTTTTTTATTTTTCAAACAAATTCAGCGCTAGCTACAAATTTAGAAGCATTGAAATTGGCTAATCATGATTTCTCTTTTTCACTGTATACAGTAAGTATTTTTAATATTTTTTTTTATTAATTTGTTACTGTACTAAGGTATATACATATTGTGTATCAAATTGTAATTTTGTTAAAAGGAACTGGCCAATTCAAATTCAGGAAACATGTTCTATTCTCCTTTTAGTATTCATGTGATACTGTTTATGGCCAGCACTGGAGCAGTTTCAAAAACATTTGATGAAATTATAGCTGTATTACATTTAAACGAAATTACTTATTCACCGGAAGTATACAAAAATCTATTAGAAGATTCAACAGTGAGTATAATATGTAACAATAAATTCATATGCATTATTGGCAAAAGTCAAAATCGATACTTGGCAAAATGTCATATTTCGGTTTTTGCCCTGGTAATCCAAGCAGCGACCAACCTTATTTGGGCAAAACCATAGCGTCCATAAATTTCAATTCTTAATAGCAGGTAGGTATCATGTTTTTTTTAAATTCTGAGTGAAGCGAAGGAGAGCATGGTTTTACAAAGATGTTTTATTAATTTTTTTTTGTGGACAACTTTTCTACTAGAGAACTTGCTCCAATTTTTACATGTAGCACTTTTTCTGAAAGGAAATCTGTGTGGGAAGGTACTTTAAGGATGTCATTTTTTGATTTTCTCAATTAGAATAATTGGAATTTCACTATAATATGACATATATATATTGTTGATAAAACAGTACTATCAACAACTGAACTCCACTCTGAATCGTTGTTCGTAAAACAATGGTTTATCATTGCTTACAGGTATATATTAAAATAACTATAACAGTGGCTGCACCCATTCCCATTATCTTAGGATGTCTTTCTTTTTTTAATAATAAATTTAAACAATGATAACATGAATAGAACTCAATGGAGAAAACATTTTTGGGAAGGTCAAGGATGAGGTGGTTAGATGTGGTTAGGAATAATACGGAAGCTATAGGATTAGAGCCAATAGGAAGATTTTGGCAATAGATAGAGATGACTGAAAAATTGGTTTTGAGACTGAATGTTTTTGATCCATTTGGGTTCCATATTGTGATCTCATTTACTAATTTATTCTTTGTCTTTCACTCATATATTATCCAGCTTATCCTTCGATCCTTTGTCCCTCATTGAAATTAGTGTCAATATTTAGAAAGTAATTAGCAAAGAATTTGTAAGTTTGGTTTTGTAAATTAAATACGCGTACCATAGTTTGAGAACCGCTGATCTATATAGCTATTAAACCATCAGAAAAACGATCAGCGATGAAGCTAGACTAATTGTATTTATTTTATAAATAAATATATACTTAAATTATATAATTTTATAAAGTATGATTAAACAATCAAATCATGTTTTTTGTAGGTATACACAATTTTTAAGATTGGATAATAGGAATCCTATACAAAATACTGTTTTCATAAACTCATTGGAAGTAATTGTGTGAATGTTTTTCACATAATATAACTGATTTGTCTACAGATAATTTTTGACACTATAGCTTTTTCTTATTCTGAGAAATGGGCAGTTTCTGTATCAGTGTCAGCCTGGCAAACTAAAAGTTACTGGAGCGTTTATTTTAAGAGATCCTATAGATGAAAAATTCAAAGACTGAAAAATAATGTAGTATTAGATAGGATGTCATGTCAAAATTTATTTGAACAAATTACTCCATCTATCTATGGAATTTTGAATATAGGTTGTCATTTGAATTAAAAAGTTGATCCTCCAAAAGGGTGTCTACAAGTTTCAAACCCACATATAATTTTATATTCTCTATTTTATATATCTATAGGAAAAAATTACTGTAACGAAATTCTATACACTGTGTATATTCAAAAAAGTGATTTTCAGAGACATTTCTGACATTTCATTTAATACATATTTTGCTAGCATAATTATTAATAGTAAATAATCATGTAAGCCTGTAAGCCTGGGTAGTAAGTAATAAATATTATACTTGTGTTTATCTTTAAATTAAAAATAATTATAGCTGTGGTTATGTTATGTAATAAAATCATCATAAAATGTCCCAAACCAAAAATGCTACAATATTTACAATTAAATATTTGCATTGCCAATAGTTTGTATAACTTACAAGATTTACACATTTAAATATTTTACCAAACTTGCAAACTAAGATAATATCTTAATCAATATATTATGTTGTAAACATAATATCTAACTTTGTGCTAAGGTTTTGTTTATCATATTAAAACATTTACAAGTACATGCAAAGCAATCAATTTTTTAGTTTAATAAAAGTTTTCTTTTTCTATTGTACGCATCTTTTTGAGTAGAAGAAATATTAATGTTTGATCAGTTTTAGGTTAGAAACCCTGTTTATAGTTTTATTTATTTTTCTGAATGTATAAAATTACATTCTATTTGTTCAAAAATTCAATAATGTGATAATGAGTATATAAAACTATTATATAAATTAATGTTGTACCTATTATTTAATATTATTTTAGAGTGAAATTGATAATCTAAAGTTGGCAACTGGCATGTTTGTTGATACATCATTTAATGTAAAACAAATTTTTGTGGAGAACTCTGTAAAATATATGAAATCGTCTGTGGAAAAATTGGATTTTGCGAACAATCCAGAAACACAATGTCAATATTTAAACAGCTGGATTTTAAATAAAACAGATAATAAAGTTAAGGATTTATTTCCTGCAGGTTATTGAAATGTTTAAAAATAATTTGTGTTGTACCTAAACCAGAGGTTCTCAAACTTTTTTTCCATGTACCACCTATGACTGCAAATTGAACTGCTTATTAAAAATGTCTATTTATTTATTTCCAAATTATAAGAGTAAAATACAATATTCTTTAATTTGTAAACAATATGCACATATAATATAAAATAGTATTAGAATTGTTAAAAACATTTGTACAAATATTTATTCATTCATTTTATGTACTACTACCATGTGGCCTTTTGTGTACTACCATGTTGTCTATCAGATACCAAAGTTTGAGAACCACTTATATAAACTATTTATAAGATGCTAACTATTGCACAATGTATATTGGTTTCACAGGATCCATCAATCAATCTACTGCTTTAGTATTGGCCAACGCTGTGCATTTCAAAAGTGCCTGGGAAAATAAATTTACTTCTACAGAAGATGAACCTTTTTTTTTGACTCCAAACAATAAAGTAACTGTTAAAATGATGACTTTAAAACATGGTTTAAAATATTATCATGATAATGAGTTAAAATTTGGTGCTGTTGAATTACCTTATCAAGTATATATTGCGTCATATGTATTTACATTTGTAAAGTGTTAATAATATTTAGTTATGATTGATTTTAGGGCCATAAATTCAAAATGGTTATTTTATTATCTGATGCAAAAGATGGTTTGAAAAATCTTGAGACCAATATTTCAAAAATTAAATTGAATGATATGTTAAAAAAAATGACCAAGTACAGTGTTACTATCAAACTACCTTGTTTCAGATTAGAACAATCTTTTGAATTGAATAAAACATTGTCAAATGTAAATATATTAACAAATTTAAAGATACCATTTTTGTCAAATTTTCCTGGAAAATAGAGAATATTGTGTCTGTTATATACAGGGTGATTCAAAATTTATGTTACAGTCATTTTATCAAGTAGCTAAGTATATAGAATAGAGAAAAATATAAAATACAAAAGTTTTTTGATTTATAAACATATAAAATAATTTGGAGATTTTTTTTATAGTCTTATCTACAGCTTTTGACATTTTGAAATTTAAATAGGAACCTTTATTGAAAATTCCATACACAGATGGAGTATTAGGTTTTGGTTATTTTTAGCGGCTTTTTCTGGACCAAAAGAGTTTGGAAAAAGATTTTTTTTAGAATTAAAAAGATAATTGGTGTTGAATTTCAATATGAATTTCACCATGTCGCTTTAGAAGAAGGGTGTTTTTAGCTTAGTATAATTATACAGATCCTTTAAATGAAGTCAGGGGAATAAAATTTTGTATATGTTTGGTGTAAGTACGAATAATGTGTTTTTTGGTGGTTATATATTTCAACTTCTTCCCTAAATATTTTTATGCTCAGATTTAATGTTTTCACAGAAAATTGCAAGTTTTGAATGCCCTTAATGGCTCATGAAAGTAAATAACTTGGTTAGAATGTGTGTATATAAATAGAATTGTCAAGAATGTGTCCTTAGAAGGTTTGAACTTTTGTTCAATTTCTTATTATTACTTAAAGGTATTAGGAAGGTTATAGGATAATTTTATTCCCTGTAAAATTGATGGAGTTTTAGTTCATGAAGTTGGGGTGGGGGTAAGATAGATGTGGTTAATGGGTGTCAAGTAAATGAAAATCAAATAAAAACAAATTCAGATACTTATTTAGATGAATGAAATAAAAAAAATAAAACATGAAATATTGTTATGATAACTAGTCAACTGGAAGAAAATTTGACTCTAGTAATAGAGCTCAGCTGCTTATATTTATATTAATTTAAATTGTTATATGTTTATAGCTTGGATGTCCATCAATGTTTACATCAGCAGCAAACTTTTGTAACATTGCTAATGGTGGTGAATTGTATGTGAGTAATGTTGTTCATAAAGCATTTGTTGATGTTGATGAAAAAGGAACAGAGGCTGCTGCAGCTACAGGTAACAAAATATCCATATGTAATTTATTGAGATTTTGGTTAGGTATAATTCTTAAGGAATGGTAAAAAAAAAAAGAAACTAAAAAAATACAATTTATATTTTTAACAGTTTTTATATTTGGGAAAAACTGGAAAAAAAAAAAAAATGTAAAATAAAAATGAATTCTTTTTTTTCGGTAAGGTTTTTCTACTAGAAATATTGTATTGAAAATTTGAGTGTAGCATGTTTTCCGAAGGAAAATTTTGTAAGGTTGGTGTGCAAGAAAGTCGTTTTTTCAGTGTCATTTTTAAATAATTAGGCAGAACCAAGAAAAACTTAGCAAATAAGATTTCAATATTTTAAATTTTATTTATTTGTTGTAATTGGGTTAAAAATATTCATAGTGACCTGACATGTGTTTACAGAATACTAATATTGGACTTTTTTAGATGCAGTAAAATTTTTAGTGGCACAATCTCCCCCGTATCAACTTTTTTTATTTTGTCTGTATGCAAACATATTTTCCACCAAAAATCTTGCTCCAATATTTTGAGATATCTATAAACTTTTTATTTTATAGGAACTTTTTTGTTGCATTTTGAATCTGCATGCATTGGCGAGGAACAAAAAACAGAAACATATTATATGCAATGATAGTTGAGTTCTATTATTTGAATTCTTCCCATGATTATACCCCTGTCCAACGCTTTTTATCCACGGATAGTCTCTCTGACCGTTGGCACTCTGCATGCATCTCTTTTCTATCCAACCTTTTTTCTCTAAAATTAATTGCCCCGAGCTTTTATCCCGCATCACCTTTAATGTTCCCTGCCGTCGTACACGTTCATCAATCCTATATCATATCTCTTTATCTTCATCTAATTACGTTCTTTACTCTACAATTATCCATCTTATGCGCACCGCTAATACCGACCCTTCTTTTGATTTAACTTTTTAATTAATTTTCATTACATTTTCTTAATCTATATATATATATATTTATTATATAATATTCTATTGCATAAATATTAAGCATGTACTTTGTAATCTGGGCTAGTAATAATAAAATAAAAATCGAACAAGTAATTTATCCTTACTTTCCATGGAGTATGAAGCAGCACAACTTCTTGATACGAACGATCTTATCAACAAGTTTTCCAAGGTTTTAACTTGCAGAGATTCTCAACTTTAATTTTGTAATTTTATTTTGTATATAATTATTAATTTTGTTTTATTTGTAAAAATGGTGTAATTTTTGTTTTTAATAAGAAGATTTGTTATTGTAAAATTATTATAGGTTGATTATTATTCATTGCGAGTGGTTTTGTAAATTCGGGGTAAGTATGTTACTGATACATTTTATACGAGGCCTTTCTTATGGATTTGCCGATTTTATTTAAATCCTTAAATCCGTCACTGGTTGTAAACTATCTATGTCTATCTTTTTTTTGAATTGAAAAACTAGTAAAGATCTCTGGATCTAGCAGGTTTCATAATAATCGAGAAAAACCAAAAATGACGTAAAATAAAAACACGTAGCGATAATATTGCATAAATTAATAATTTTACGAGCTGGTTCTACAATCGTCACCACGACCTTGCAACACCTATAGCAGTGGCACACTTGTCCTCAGTATCAGTTCTTTTTTTTTCCCAACCTTTGTTCTAAATGTAATTATAGTTTTTTATCAACTATTTCTTCGTGATTTAAAATAAATTATAAGCTATGAATCTTTTTATCTTTACATGCCTACTTCGTTCGGCGTGTATTCACATTATATTGTAAATGAAAAATCATTTAACTATTATCAGGTATGTCAATTAAAAAGAAGAAATATTCAATGGTAAATAGACATGAAGATTTTGTAGTTGATCATCCGTTTATATTTAATATTATGACTAAAAATAATACAATTATTTTTATGGGTCGAATGGCCATAATTGATTGATTTATTAGTACCAAACATTATTTAAGGAGGAATATCCCAAACATCTTTAAATTTTTTTTGGTGAAATTATTAAATTAAGTGCACTTACTATAGTTATAATACTAAACAAACTAAAAAATACATAAACATTTGCTTGTTGATTTTTTAAATGCAGTTTGAAAGCTGAAATTTTGGATTTTTAGTTAATTTTCATTTCTCTGAATTTTGTTATTAGAAATCTGCAACTAAGAATATATAATCTAGATGTGTTAGGTACCATCCTTTCGGTTACAGATTATTTTATTTATCTTAATGTATGAGTCTTTAATGATTTTATTGCAATTGATGAAAGATGTGCACTCCTATAAAATTCTTCGATAACTCAATGGGATATCCTCCTTAAGAATGATGAACCTTGTAAAATTATTTTTAAATATTGTTATTAATTAACGTTAGTACTTGTTGGTATATGAAGTGTGCGTATGTATTGATTTAAATTAAAATTAAATATAACTTGATACCTGTTTCATAGAATAATACATAATATGTAGTTTTAGTAGACATTCAAAAATAATTAAAACACATTTTTTTAGTTTGTTTTCTAATTATTTATTTATTAAACGATTATTTAAGTATTGCATATTTTAGCAAAATTATTTATTTATATATTAATGGCTTCGGTTAAAATTAATTTATATTATATTTAATACTTATATCAATATTTGACAAGTTTTTAATCTCCTTTATTCCTTTTCTCATTTATCCTATTATTTCTCCCTTTTTTCTTTAATTAAATTTTTTATACTCATTGTATCTTATTGTTTGCCACGAAATCGTAATCATTATTAAATGCTCGGTGGATTTAAAGATTTAACACCCTGTAGTTTTAAAATTATTCTTCCCCTTAATTTGTTTTGTCTTCATTGACTGGAAACATAACACAATGTTAAATTCTGAGTGAAGCGAAGAAGCTTATGGTTTTACACAGATGTTTTTTTTTTTTTTTTTATCTGTAAACACTTTTTCTACCAGACGGCTTGCTCGGATTTTTAAGTGTAGCACCTTTTCTGAATGGAAATTGGTGTGGGGAGTGTTATGGACTGATTTGACAGTCGACAACAAATAAATAAATTAAGTGAACACTCACTAATTATTGAATAATATTACTACTATATTTTAAATTTAAGAAATCAACTGTTATTACGAATAGAGAAACGTACATTTACGGAGGTTCTACCGATCCCGACTGCCGTCGTACGTCGTTCTTGACGTCGTACCAACCGCCGGATAGGTAAAAAGGGTTAACTCAGCGCATTCCTTTTTGCCTGTGCAATATATATATAAACTATAATTTACACAATATTCTTATTACTAACCATTGGTCCTTAAACCTAACTAAAATACCAGGGGTTCATAACAGGAGGTACAAAAAGGTAAGGATGTCATTTTTCGATTTTCTGAAGAGTTTTGTCATCAATTGCGAAAAACCGAAAAAAAATGGGAAAATTTATAAAATATAATAAATATAATCTTACAATTTTTTTTGTGGACAAATTTTCTACCAGCAATTTTACTCCAACTTTTAATGATAGCAATGTTTCTGAGAGGAAATTTCACTGGGAAGGAACTCTAGATAGATCTTTTGATTTTTTCAGGAGTTTTATCGTCAAATTTGAAAAACCGAAAAAAACGGAGGTAGAACTGGAAAATATACGAAATAAATTTGTATAATATTACGAAGTTCTTTTTTTGTAGACAACTTTTTCTACTAGAAATTTTATTCAGACTTTTTATGAGAGCGATTTTTCTAAAAGGAAATTTCACTGGGGAGGTTCTTTAGAGAGTTAGTTTTTCGATTTTCTCAGAAGTTTTCCCAGGAAATGTGAAAAATCGGGATAAAACATGGGAAAACCAGGAAAAACGTAGGAAAACTGGGAAATTCGGTACAACATTAAACAATTATTACTAAATAGAGCCTATTTAATTATATTATTTTAATATGGTATATACATTGTTGACAAAGCATTATTAACTGAACTCTGTTCAAAATCGTTTTTTCGTAAGCAATGGTTTATCGTTGCTTACAGATATACATTAAATTCCCGTCTGTATCCTATGTTCCCAATTTCCCACCTACACCCGTCTCTTTTATCTTATCTTTCTCTTTTACCTATTTATGTTTAGATAAGAACTCTTCCATAATTTAAATTAAATTATTGTAGAATAATGTGTATACCGTGTAGCCTTGAATACAGTACATTTGATTCGTAAATATTCAGAGATATGGTCGATGTATTTATGAATCTGGTGGGAAAACAGAAATAATACTTGTCGTGTTTTACACTACACGTATATTCTACGACAATTATATTTTCATTTATCTTCTTTATCTTAGTCAATATCCCAAAAAAATGGGGATAATATATAAAATATTAAATATTCACATATTCTTGTCTTCTACATCTCCTTAAATCCTTCGATATTTCCTTATCTTGGTACTTGACCACACCTCATACCGTCCCTAATAACATCTAGTCTGCAATTATTTTTGAATATTATAATATTTATGTATATGGTATATACATAATTGATATTTATTTTTTATTTAACACGCTATGTTAAATGTAAGGGAGATCACTTCTCAGACATTTTCACCTAGGGCAAAACTAGCTCAGCCAACTGGACCCTTTGCGCGGGTGATCATACTTCCAGCTACGAAGGATGTCCAAAATATAAGGCACTTTTCAAACGTCACACAACAACTCATTCAAATCGTCAAAATCTGAACACATTACTCACATTTACCATTTTCAAATTATCACTTTACCATTCCAAAGCTTCTTATACCCCCGTCACCGATTCTAATGATATTCCATCATCCAATAACTCTATTAACAATAGCCCTTTTTCCAAATTTATTTAAAAACTTTCTGCACTAATCAATCCCTTTCTTTACCTTCTTACAACCGTACTGCGTAAACAATATATTTACTTTTTAAGAGTATTAAATTCCGAGCCCTAGTCATCAGCAACAGTTTGAACCAAACATTTCAAGTAAAAAGGTTTTGAGTATCTGCATTGTCAAAAAATGAAGAAGTGTTTACGCTATATACCCAAGTATATGCTCGACTATACCACTGATAATAAGCTGGTTTATTAATCTATGGAACATGAGGTACCTAATTTATTATCTTAATACTTTAATATAATATACCTACCGATAGGTAATGCTAGATAATGCTAATCCGGAGTTTTATCATTCCTATTATGTCGCACGAATTGAGTACCAAAAACTATTAAAAAAAAACTTAAATTATTAACATTGTATCTGAGACAAACAAACTCGTGGATCAAACATACAAGTGGGTAAGTGTGTAAATTCTAATTCTACGTAAGTACTTATGCTCGTATCATATGTCGTAGGCCATATGGGAAATTGGTCAGGTTGCATGTTAATTCTATTGATATTTTTTTGTAAAAGTATTAAAATACCGATAAAATAAAAAGAGTAAAATGATTGTTACAATATTACGAGTATAATGATTGTAGTTCTTAAAAGGTTTAACTGCTGTTAGTCTGTTTGCAATAAGCCTGCAAAACAGTAGGCCGAGTACTGCGTGGGTGAAGTGGATTGATTTTGGGACATAAAATAAGGTACTGCGTATTTTTACAAAGATATTAATGGAACTGCTTGTAATTAAAGTATAGCTCTTTCGACTTGCTTATAGCTAGAAATTAAAAATAGGTTTTATATAAATACAATTAGTCATATTTTTACATATCACCTTTGGTATCAGATACATATACATGGTACAATGTTATTTTTATAAACCAAAGTGATAGTTATTGTGAACACCATGTTATTAGTAGAAAAATACATCATTAGATCTGATAACCTTAATTATTCGTAGGAATTTGTTACGTTCAGTTCTATAAGCAAATCTGTACTTTTACTTTTTTATCCTTTAACTGTTTTAAAAGGTCACTGGGAGAAATTGTCCCGATTTCGCTGAAAGTATTATGTTAATCAATGAATTTGGAAAATACATGTTTTAACAGTCCTGGTGTGGTTAACGTGTACTGTATACTGTTCTGTTACGGACGTATTTTTAAACTCACAGTCAAGTTTAAGCTGAAATAGTAAACACATTAACTTTATAAATTTATTTATTTTAGTTGAATAAATTAAACTACACTTAATTAAATCCAAGTCTACTGGCGTAAATGTGCTTGCAGATGATAGTGGTAAGATTCGTCTGAAAAGGCGTTCCGGCGGCCGGTATATATACCCTGAATCCCTTAGCTAGATATACTTAGAACTTGCTTTTTGACGTGTTATTGCGTAGTCGAGTGATAACCTCGTATGTTGGCCCCTGCTATCGGGTCTCGCGAGAATACGCGCATGAGTATTTTATTAAATAGAGTTATAGAATTATATATTGATCATATTGATTTATTTATTCTTGCTAAAATAGTTCGTTGGCGGTCGTTCGAATTGCGCTGGAGCCTTGGTAGATAATCGCCCGGGCCATCTGTTGCGCCCTAGATTGGCCGCGACTGAGGTGGGTTTAGATATTCGTCCCTGTCCGGAATGTAGATTTGATACCGAATAACTATCGCCTGTCTAATTTGACTTGACGAATGAATTGTATATCATAACGTTATGGCCGATACTTTATATTAACACCCTATTGCTGCGCTGTGTAATATAATATTATAATATTTAAAGGGAATAAGCCGACACCCGTAACAGTTCCAAAATGAAATGTTTTGCATGGATCTCCTCGGTATATTTTTTAAGGACAGGAACAGCAAGCCCTACAGTCCTGAGATTGAATTGCTCTAATAGCTGTGTTATTTTAACTAATTTGTTTTGCTTCCCCAGTATTTTTAGCTGATTTTCCTTCGAATCCGACACTCAGCTTATTAAATCATTAAATTTGGTAGTACTTACACGTTGTATCTATCCTAAAGGCCGTACAAAAGCTGTGCTACCTTGGTAACCTCGGAATGGATGTTCCTTCTTTTCCGATGGCCAATTAGTTCGGTTAATTTATCGATGCAGCTCCCGTTTGTGTCGGTAACCTCACTAACTGCGAGGCGATGACATACCTAAGTCTCTCTTACGGGGTGGAGGGGGCAAAATATATTTTCACCCATTATTAAAATAGCCAATTTCCTAAACATTTAAAAAATATAAAAATGCACACATATTGTTACATATAATTATACGACCTACGGGGGGGGGGAGCCTTCTTTGCCCCCTACAGGTACGCCACTGCTGTGAGAGCTTGTTCATCGTATGGTTTCCATTTAAGATTTCTAGTAGTCAGCTCTTTAATTATAAAAGATTCCTCCAAAATATTTATTACAGTCCTTATAACTTGACTGTTTATAACTGGGCTTACGCAATTTGCTATTATGACGTTTTCGTTTAATTTCTGGTTTCCGAAGGTAGGTAACAACTTAAGATATGTTCCGTGTCCTCGTCCACCGTAATGGACAACACGCAGCAGTTATACGCAGTGACAGGATTATTGGCTCAATTTCAGTAGATTTACGTTTTGGGAACACAAATAAATCACGACCTGTGTCTTAAATCATATGATCATCGTGTCCTAAAATTCTAAATTCGGGAACTCGAAAATTATTATGTTGAATTTTATGATAAAATTTCGTCTGCCTGTTTTAATTGACGTTATGACCGTATCAAATGTTTTGACTGCCGCTGACCTCCGTCAACAATAACTTGTTTGTTCAATGCCGACATTTTTATAATGTTCATATCAGCTCCTACAAATCAACTAATAATTTTATTTCGGTTCATTCGAAATAGTTATAGGAAGTGCATTTAGTGTGTTCTTTTTCCACATAAGTTACGGTCCTAACATTATTCTCGATTTCCTCTTTACGACGTAGTGCGATTGGTGCAATTGGCATTATTATTAGTACCAAAGGTTTCTTTTTTTTTCATTTACGTTTGCGACAGTCGAATATTACGTGATCATCTTTTTTACAATAACTATACAATTATACTTGACCACCCGACTGTTTGTTTATATTAAAATTACCTGTGTTTCGGAAACCTGCTAGGCGATTTTATATAGATACCTATATAACTTTCTGTACTATACAAATGAGAAAATTCAATTTTGGTTATAAATTATTTGTTTTTTTTTTTTTTTTTTTTTTTTAACGAATCTATATCAAATAAAGTTACGCAAAAAATCAATTTAGTTAGCATGTGTATAGCTGGGTCTAATGTACACAAGATTAACTCATGATTATGATAATATAATATTGTTTGACAATAGTATTATTTTGTTTTATCAGAGTGATAAATTTGTTTTTAATATTGTTACCTACATAATATTTTAAGTTTTTACAAAATATAATTATTTAATTAACTAGCTTATCTTTAGTAGGTGCCTAAAGTTTCTTACACTCGCTCGTGTAGGTATTTAAATTTGATTATATATTCTAATTTCTACATTTCTTATAGCAATACTAATCATTTTGTGAATTATTTATTAACATAATATAATATTTAACTAATAGATGTTTTTTCAACTATCCGTTAAATATTAACCAGATAATTAGTATTAAATAAAAAAAATATTCGAACATGGAAAGATGGTTAATACAATCTATAATGATATCTGTGTTTGGATTTCTCAAAGATTTTCGGCCAGAAGATCCTTATATAATTCAATACTTGACCAGCTCACCAATGAATTTTACAATTGAAGAAGTAAACATTATTTTATATTTGTTATTACGATTTATATAATTTTTTTTTTCTAAGAATTATAATGTTTAGTTTACTAATTATTAATTACCAAACAGTAAATATTTAAGAATAATGTAATTATAAAAAGGTATTCTTATACTTCGATCACTAAAAACTTTAATGGTAATTAACTATGGAATATTTAATTTATATATGTAATAACTTAAATACATTACATTTATATAGCGTATATTTATATTTAGAAATGGTTTTTAATAGATTATTTGTGTTATTATTTAGTTCACAATTCTGGACTTCTAAAATTAATATTTATAATATACTTATGCATATGTAATATGTATACAAAATACAAATTAAATTTTAAAGTATTAAAATATAACGAATCATAAGTTATGAGTAATAGCTAATTTATTCGTTTTTTAAAATACAGTTTTGATGGTTACTTATGGTAGGTATTATAATTTTATTTATTTTTGTTTATTATACAGATAATTCAAGAAATATTTCCAGTGTCAACATATACATGTGTTAATGTCACAATTATTATATTTTTGGTTACTGATTACTTACATTACAAACCTATTTTAGTGTTTGGTGCTATTTCAAGTGTTATCAGCCAAATATTTTTAATTTTTGCTCGGACTAAGACTAATATGCAGGTAGATAGGCAAATTTACCTTTGGAATTGTTAATACTCGTATACATGGATATGTATTATTACAGTTTAAAAAAATTCAATGCTCGAATTGGAGGGGGGGGATGGAGTACCTTAACTCATTTTTCAGAAATGTAAGCGTATACTTCTATTTGTTTGAAGTGGAACGCTTGGGGTGCAGTGGCGGTGGCCGTGGCGATCGCTCCTCTTTGGGCTGTATTTTTTTTTTTTTAATTTTATATTCTAAAATAATTGTTTATACAATATATTATATTAAATTTTTTTAATAAAATCAGCTGCTACCTTTTATCGTAAAAACACGACATTTTGCATTTTTATCAAAATACAATTTCAATAAAATTTGAACCTAAAGCAGTTATAAAAACAAATTACTACGTTGAACTTTTTTCCTACTAATTTTAATTTATCAAAATAATTTTAACTACATAAAATCAAATAAAATCCTAAAAAACTTGAAAATTTCAAATGGCTATAACTGAAAATTGCCAGAATGATTTAAAAATTATATTATTTCTGGAAAGATATACCTGTATAAGTATTCAGTGAAATTTCCGATCTCTATGATTATTTTTTATTGCATAATGAAACAGAAACAGTGAATGCAACAGTTACAAGTTTACCCAAATCTCCTTATCACACCAACTTTTACTAAAAACCATCACCTCTAAAGTCGATAAATGGAGAAATATTTCTGGTAGAAAAGCTGTTCACATACAGAAAATAAACGAACGCATTGTAATAAAATCATAGTGGTAACCATCATATTAGAATCTAAAACGGAGGTTTCCATAGTGGTTCATATCGACCCTCTGGGGTTAATTTTGTTTTGCAATGGGTCCATGTTAATGAAAAAAAAATTGGGGGTGCACTAGATATAAATAGGTGTCCACGTGAGTAATTGAGTTTGCATCATAATTTTTATGAAAAACACTTGTGGGACAATGCGGACGATAAACAATATTGTCGATAATGACTAACGTAAATATCGGAATTTAAGATAAAATTATAAACGGTACAAATCGCGGATTAAGATATATCTAATTAAGGTATATCTTAATTTTTGGGACACATTCAAACGTATATCAACGTAAGCCATGATTATTAATAATCCAATATCCACCGTCTCACTAATGACTACGATAAACATGATCAGTCAACGCTGACGGTCGGAAAAACTTGTACGTTTGTCGTTTAGTTCATCCGTGACAGTCGATCGTCTATCATACGTCGGTCGTCATTTTTTTAGTTTATAGTAATCGGTTAATTTTTATCCAATGATTACTACTATTAAATATGGGCACATGACCGAATCTAAAAAGAAATGTAGGCAATATACCGTAGTTCAGCTTCATTACATTACTGACGGACAAAGCCCTATCCATGTTCCTTATACGCAACAAAGTTTTTAGCAACGGATTTATGAAACCGTTCAAGCTAGAGGAACATGTGAGAAAGTGTTACCCTGACAAAAGAAGTAAAGATTTTAAGTACTGTAGAATGTTAAAGATCCCATTTTAAAAGATTCTATTCTGGATTTTAGATTCTGAAATAAATATTATCTATCATGTAAACAAAGGTTAGCTCGCAGTAAATAGTGTTTGTTTTCGGAAATTATAAATTACACCTACTGAATATGTTTAAAAATTGGTGTGGGAGGTGTGGAGGGCTAAGTCTTGTTAATTGCAAGGGACGCTAATTTGTTTGTGTCTTTATAGTCCTTCTTTTATTTTTCCAATTCGAGCATTGACTAACATAGGTATGACATTAATATTGATCATAATTTAATTTAATAATAAATTTAATTATTGACAATAAAATACTTCTAGTTTTAAATTATATATTTCTGATGAAAAATTTATTTGGCTTAGATAATGGATTTCTTTGACGGTATCATGATAGCTTGCGATATACCATATTATACATATATTTACACCGCAGTAGATAAAAAACATTATAAAATTGTTTCCAGTCATATGAATATGGCATGTCTTATAGGTCGTTTCTCTTCGGCTGTGCTTGCCCAAACACTTATTGATAACCATATATTAAAAGTGCAACATTTGAATTACTTGACACTAACTGGTGATATATTTTGTTTCTTTATTATTGTTAATAATTTTAATGTGGTAATTAACTTGCAAAGTAATTTAATTCAACATGTTTATTTTATTATAGGTACAACTTTATCATTATTATGGGCTATTGGATTACCTTCAGTTCAAAAAAGTCTATATTTTCATCAAGGCACCGAAAAAAAAAAAAAAATCACTGGTAAAAAAATGTATATTTATGTTTTTGTTCCTATTTTTAGTTTTACAGAAATAAATTTATTATATCATACAATCAATAGTTTTTATTATTATTGCATATGACATTATTTTGGCTAGTTTACGAAAAAAATTGGCGAATAAATTAAATAAATAAATCAAAATAAATTCAAGAACTGGGTAACGAAATTTTAAGTATTCATTAAAATGGTAAGAAGTTCGCAAATGATTACAAATGCAATTTTTAATTTTTCGTCCATTATTTCTGATATAACTTTTTAAAATTGTTCAATGCCTTCCTTTGAATTTGGTTTCATGGAATATGTTTACAATGTGTCTATTACTCACTATATTTACAGTGGGTACAGAGAATCTGACAGGTACTTCATTTGTATAGAGTATAGAATGTTATTTTTATGTGTTATTTTTTTAAGTGTATTATTAAATTTTTACATATGCCAAAGTTTAGATTCTGAGCGAGCGATGCATGTTTTGGTTTAACAGTGATGTTTATTTATTAATTAATTTTTTATACTATGTTCACAAATTATACCAGAAATTTTGCTCTGATGTATGAATTTGTAGCACCTTTGATTGAGTATTTTTTCTAATTATTAATTTAGGGAGGTTATTTTGATTTTCAAAAATTGGGGAATACGTAGGAAAATTGGGAAATTCATAAAAATAATGTTTTCATTATTTTCAATTTTCTTTTTATGTTGTAATATATTTCAAGCTTTTTTCCTTTTTAAGGGATATCATTTTTTAATTTTCCAGGTGAATTTCATAATAATGGACAAAAACCGGGAAAAATATGGAAAAAACTGGACTATTTAAGAAATTTATTATTCTTAAGCTTTTTTTTTTATGTGATTCAGTTAAAAATATTTGTAGAAACTTGAAATTTTGACAGGAAACTTATATAATATGCCTTTTTTAGACGTGTTAAAATTTTCAAAACATTTGACACACTTTTGAGCTATTTATAGATTTTTTTAGATAGATATTTTAATAGATAATATTGAGAGTTTTTTTACCTTATTTTTATACAGTAGGTACTAGTGGATGTTAGACCAAACAGAAATGATTAAAATTTTAACAGGAGTTTCATTATAAGTTGTACTTGGCGGTCAATAAAAAAATGAGTTGAATTTAATGTAGTATTTTTTTTTTTTTTATAAGAATTTTAGTATCTAAGGGGGGAGAGAGGCAAAATTCTCTAGATACGCCACTGTGAAATGTATGTGAAGTCGTTTCTAAGGTGAGACGCCTGGAAATAAATAAGTTATAATTTAATATTATCTTAAAAATATATATTGCTCAATAAAGTATGTGCATTTTATAAAACACTCATGCAATGTATGTATAAGATGTCTAGAATGTACACATTGTCCATTCTATATATATATATAATACTTGTTTAATATATTTAGTTATCATATCTCGATATCTAGTTAATGTTATCAACAATAATAATACAATTATTTAACATAAATACATTTATATAAACTTTTAATTGTATTCATAGATATTGATACATCTAAACCTAAAAATGTGTTTCAAATACTATGGTTGGACTTCATCACTGCTTTCACAAACCACAATGTTCTTCAGTGGTCGATCTGTTGGATTTTAGGAACATATTTTTATTATCAGGTTTGGATTACTTCTGTAATAATCAAATTTAATAATTTATTGAAAGTAAACTATATTTTTATTTAGGGATATTATTTACATTTAATCATTTTTTTTTTTAAATATTAATTTCACATTAAAGTATTAGGATCTGTAAATTTGTTCTGTTTCATCATGAATGTACATCTACATAAATGTGAAAACCAGATTTTAAAATTTGTTAATCATTAGAATAAAAATGGCATATTATGTATGCAACTAACATTTATTCAGTTTTCATATAGCAAATTAATTTAATTATTTAGTAAAGAATATCTTAGTAAACTTATACTATACGGGGTGATCAATCTATCATAAGACACTTATTATCTTGAAAAGTATTAACTTTTTCCGGAATTTATTTCCTAGAATATTTAAGAAACAACTGTTCTACAATTTTATATCTATGTTATTTTTTGTCACCCTTATTTTCGGGGGTAAAACCACTAACTACTTTTGATTTTCAAACGGCAACCTATATTACAAATTCTATAAATAGATGAAATATTAGTTAAAATAAATGTCGGTATTGAAATTATTGATTTCCGTAAATTCATTGACGAGATATTCCACTTTTAAGTTTAGATTGGAGGAAATTAGTGAATTATCATATGTGTTGAGGTGCAGCATGCGGCGTGTTAATAATGCACCACGACTCTCCCCCAACCGAAACTTAAAAGTGGAATACCTCGTTAATGGATTGACGGAAATCAAAAATTTCAATACCACAATTATTTTAACTAATACTTCATCTATTTATGGAATTTTCAATATAGGTTGCTGCTATTTGAAAATCAAAAGTAGGTAGTTATTTTACCCCCGAAAATAAGGGTGACAAAAAATAACATAGATATAAAATTGTAGAACAGTTGTTTCTTAAATATTCTAGGAAATAAATTCCGGAAAAAGTTTATAATTTCCGAGATAGCGAGTGTCTTACGATAGATTGATCACTCTGTATAAGTAACTATATTTAGATAAAAATACAAAATATTGGCTCAAAAATATGTCTTATCAAATTGGATATAAATGATACTTGCATCGTCATTTTTGAAACTTACCATAGTTTGATAAAAAATTACTACTGACTTGCTGAAAAATAAAAATGGAAAATGTTAGTGAAGCTCGTTAAAAACGAGTCTATATAAGTGTGTATTAATTTTTTATTACATAGTTATCAGAGCCTTGTTAAGCCATTTGGTGATCAGTGGCATACATTTTTAAGTGCCTCTCCAAAGGCATTACCTGGGGTTAATCCTCCATAATTTTGTTATATTTTTTTCACAATTTTATTAAATTTAAATTTTACCTTATTCAAACAAAATTATATTTTTAGTCTTGAATTTTTTTCTAGGTACCTACACAACTATGCATTACTAGGTTGCTCTTCTAATTACCAACCAATATTCATTAATACTCTAAACGTTTGAAAATAAAACATTAAAAAGTGATACAATCATATAGTGATATTGTTAATTTTATTTTTAGTTTTATATTAAGCTGGCCGCTTTACAGTTTTAAAAGCTTTGGTACCCCAAAGTTATTAACATGGCCCGGATTGTAACTATCATAAATATTGTATAAAATCACTACTTATTGTTAATTTAGTTTATGTCGTATTGCCAATCGTTATATCAACAAATATACTATGATGGTACAGATTTGCAAATAACAAATAATGGAATGGTTGAAGCAATCTATACAATAACCAGTATGTATAATAAATATAAATTCCATACATAGGTATCTAATAATAATAGTTTTAAACTAATTTTTATTCTTTTTAACAAATTTAGCTTTACTAAAATGTATAATATCAACTTATTTAGCAAAGCAAAATAAGCTTTCAATACACTGCAGTTCTGAATAATCTCTTCTCTTTAGATTTATTTTTAACAGGCTTTGTACAATGTAATTATATTATAAAAATGTATTTTTCAAAGGTACGCTGGGAGTTTATTTTGTTGGCATTATAAGAATACCTAGTTGGTGGTTAGTAGGTATTCTAACTCTATGCCAAGGTTTAATATTAATGGTTATGGCTCAAGAGCATTTACTGTCGTATGCATACTTGGGATATATACTTTTTGGGACATTTTATCATATTATGATTACTATAGCTAAGTAAGTATTATGATTTATAAAATAATAAATAAGTGAAAATTATTGAGTTGACTCTCAGAATTAAATATACTAGGTATTTAACTTCTTTGTAGAAAATAAAATATCTACCTATACTTGTAGGTTATACTATTAAGTCTTGTAGATTTATTCACGTGTTGTATTTATCCCAAGTCATATAGGATAGCTATAGTGGAAAACAAGTAATAACATTAATTATAAATCATTTAAAATAAATTGATGGTAGGCATGTAAAAATATGTTTTTCAAAATTTAACAATTTACATTTTCAAAAAAAATTAAAAATAAAAAATAAAAAAAAATTAATACAATTTAAATTAGGAATACATTTTTTTTAAATTGATTATTACTATAGCCTTATAGTGGTTGGTATTAAATTTCATTATTAATTTAAAGCATATTGTTCTTATTGTTTTATTTTATACATTGTCATGACACCTAAAAAAGTACCTAATATTAAGTTATCCTTAGATGCTTTTGAATCAAACTATATTAAAGTAGGTATCTACCTATTCTACCTTTTTTGCCTATTCTAAACTTGTTTAATTTTAAATTTTTTTCAGTACTTACGTAATCTAATACTTCATTATTTATTTGTATATACTTATAGGTATGTATCTGTTTGTTATCTACAAATGTTATTTACTGTTTTTTAGTTGTGAAGTAGCCAAAAATATTCCTGCAGACTGTTATGCATTAGTATTTGGAATTAATACGTTTACATCACATTTATTACAAACATGTGTGACAATTGTTGTTAACAGTCCAATAGGATTGATGTTAAATATTAGAACCCAAGTAAATAAATTATTATAGTTTATTAAAAAAAAAAAAAAAAAAAAAATCAATGCTAATGCATTAATACCTACACAAGTGTCATATAAATTATTAATGTAAATTATTTTATCTGGTTTTAAAATTTTATATTTATTAGTTTATAGTCTAGTTATAGACATAAGGTGATTCATTTAAGTGGGTACAATAATTATTTCGGAAAGATCACCTGATATATTTTTGGTATAGGTAAACCAGAATTGAATTTTAATGAATGTATTTTATCGTTTTATTTTTCAGTTTTATTTATATGGCCTAAGTTATTTAATAATTGGATTTGTATACACTATTAACGCACTGAGGTCAACAATTTCAAGAACAAGGATACAAGATATTTTTACCATAGCTTAATATCAATTAAGAGGACGTGATACACTCGTAATTTGAGCGTAAAGTCATAGTTATTGATTAACGAAACCATTTTTGTTAATAATTATGATAGATCAACAATTTTTTTTTGTTCCAATTCAATAAGAAGAACCTTAGCTGTGACGTCGCGTTTTTATTTTTTAGATGGTACAAAAAAGGTTTAAAAATATTAATTTTTAAAGTTTGTAAATATTTCAAGATTTTTTTTATGAATATAAAATTATTGAGATAAGTTTTTGGAAAATGAATAACGCTACGTCACAGACAATTTTTTCTTTATTAAAAAAAAAAAACAAAAAAAAAAAAAACGAACCTTTATAATTATTAAAAGAATATATTTGTTTCGTGTACAATATTTGTCTACATTAAAACGTTGACAAATAATTATTTCGCAACGTCATTTCTCGTGCGTTGTATGCGAACAGTTTTGTGTATCATGTCCTCTTAAAACCTAATCTATCCTATTAATTATAAAAATATGTAATATATTAAATATTTAATGTTGTAAATAAACGATCGTGTGTAAATGTGTGATATTAAATAATTACCACCCTCCAAAATAATTAGCATCTTTTTTCTCTAATCTTTTCCTATTATCTTTAATCTAACTGATCATACCTATCCAAAGTTTCTCCTCGTGATTATAGTAGTTGCAGAATCGAAGGTGTATTGCTATATACGAAATCCTTATTATTATATACCCAGTTGTCGTGTATATTACCCTGTTTTGCTACACATTTAGAAGTGGTAACCTTCGGGCTGAACACTGTAGAAAGGGCTATACACAACTTCAAAGTAATAAATACTTGCGATTGAAGCGGAGATCTACGCTTTATCCCGTTAACTTACGATCAATTTAGTATTGAAAGTAACAGTTGTGTACACTCCTGGAAAAGTGGCCAATAAAACTACGCGTTTTATGTATCGTATATTAAGCACTCATGTTTATTTCGGGTAATTTGCATAAATGTACACATCGCGACGATATATCGAAACCCACACATATCCATATTCCACCCCGCACACCCGGATAACAATTTATCGAGACCTCCTTTTTTTTATCTATCATATTACAGCTGACGAATTTCAGGTGAACTTCAAGTTGTTATGCGGATTAATAATATAGGTGAAAATTACTTTATTCCCGTAGTAGAACAGTAATTAGATTTTTTTTAATTTTAGGGCAAACAATTGCGTAATATAGGACATGGAAGCGTTCATTTCCAAATTTATTTAAACATATTCTCACACAGAATAGGACGGTCCTCGGTCAACACACAATAATAATCCATATTATATGGTTTGGTTATAACACATATTATAGTATACATGTATAATATGTGTTATAACATGCATGCCGCGTTGTCACAGAATTACATCTGGTTGTCCGCATACAGTGGTAACGTAGTGCTGCGTTATGTCGTAAAACCGTCGACAATCAAACGCACCCCTTCAACACTCGCCGTTTTATTCGAAACTTTCACTCTTACTGTTGTATACAGTGTAGTGAACCCACGCATAATAAAATAATTATAATACCAATAATAATAATATTTTGTAGTTCCGTATTACGCTTTTATAACCATTGACTCCCAAACTGACTTGATATTTGTCCGGTCTCCTATACCACCCGATAGACCCGTTCCTCTTGTCTTACATGTCTTTAACCCTTTTTTAATAGTTAACCGTCTTTAATTCTATTTCCACTCAATTGCATATGCTTTTTAAATTTGAATTTCTATTTTGTTACATTATGGCATATTTAAATTCTATTTTATATTATATTACAAATGGCGCCCAACGTGTCGTCGGACTATATTTCACTAAATTAAAACTAAAAAAAAACAGAAACCCTTATTGTGTAAATATTCCTGTTATTTTCGTGGTTTTCTTCTGTTATTAAGAAAACTGACCGCGAGGAATAACATACGATGATGATTGAAGTAAGATTATTGGTAGAAAAATTAAATTTTAATGTTAAAGTTGTTAAAAGTTTTGTTATGTTTTAAAGAATTTTATCTTCAAACACCACTTAAATAGAATGTTATTGTTAAACTAAACTGTTTTAGTAAAAACATCTTATAAAGTTATAATCTATTACATTATGACGAAGTGTTAAATTTTCGGGATTTTTTACTAATTGACAAACTTTAAAATAAAAAAAATAAAAAATATTACAGATTTTAGATTTAATATTTGATCATTTTTGTTGTTTTTGCAATTTAATGAAATCAGTAAATGAAGTTAAAAAAAATTAGCTTTTTATAGTTTCTTTTAAATATTTGTGATTAGTGTTAGAACTACGTTAAACGGAAAAAAATTAATAATATTGATTAATCAATATTAATTGATTGAATTCTCATAGGATAAAGATTAGATTAGTCTCTGAGAATTTAAAATTCCCTTAGGTATGTGTTGATTTAATAGTCTAGTCGAGCCACGGTACCGTGGCGATAGTGTTATTTAGGAGCCGTGGCTCAATAGGTATCTTTTGGTGGTGGTTGGTGGGTGAGTGGATCTCAACATCCATGTAAATGAAAAATTAATTTTTGATATTTAATCATTTGTTTCAGTTGCATTTAAGTGGTAAAAATAGAATTCTTCAGATTTACCAATTTAATCAGTAAACTGAGTAATTTATTTTTAAATACCATTTTTACGAATACATTCATACAATTGAGTTAACATTTTTAACAAAGTAAGTTTATCGGACTACATTTACTAATATGTAGGTACCTAGCTTCTAATGTAACGCGTAGGCATTACTGTAAGCGATGTAAGCTGTATGAGAAAAAAAAACAAACGGTCATCTGATTTATATAATACAAGAGTAGTGGGTAGCGTTTATTAAAATAGATCCTACCAATTAAAATGTACCACCACGCTACTGAAATGTTTTTCATTCCCATTAAAATCAAATTCCTATAGCTTATTTTTTTTTTTACCTATTTGTGTCTACCACCTAACACTTAAAACCATACAACATAGTCGGTCTCAACGTACTCTTATTGAAGTATAGAACTTAGATACCTTTTAGTCCCATTGGAATTCTCTTGTCACAAGAAAACAACTGATGCTTTTCTTCAATTGATCCAACTACACTTAAGTCTATTATACTTCCAATTTTCGTCAAAGCCCCCGTTCTTTGTACTATAGAATATAGATTTTAGGTACCTACCTAATTAAAACTTGAGTTTGAGATCTCAACGTTTTTCTAATATCCTATTAATATTCCACTAATATCCTGTGTATCATTAATCACCATACCTATCTAGAAGACTAAAATGCCAAGAGATGCTTTTTCCTAAAAAAACAAAAAAAAAAACGGTTTTCCCACATGAACCCATTGGCCATCAAATAAAAAATGAGGTACTGTTGCTGAACTGGTCTCCCCTTCTGTAAGTCAATCATGTCAGCTATACTTATACTTATTTTATAGATTGTAAATAAAGCTTTTATTTAATAAAAAATAAAAAAATTAGCGAAAATACCGAAAATTTAACGCTAATTGATCTAAAAAGAAATAAAATAATGACCGAAAAATTACCTGAAAACATGTGATATTAATTAAATCGTAATTTCTTTCGAGTCACATCCTATTCTGTTATTTGCATAATGAAATCGTGAACACCGTAAATTTGTTCGTTTTTATTTTACGTCCTTTTTTTTTTTTTTCGATTTTTCCTAATTATTAAGAAAACTGGTTGGGAAGTCAAAATACGACTTCCCTACTCATTGATCACATCTAAAATGAAAAAAATACGTTTTTGATAGAACAAGATTTCTGGTAGAAAAGTTATTTACAATCAAAAAAAAAAAAAATCCACAATCAGTAAAACCAATAATAGTAATACATTTCTCGCTCCCCTTAGAAGATGTAAATCCATTTATGAGAATGTTTATTACAAATAACAAAACCCAAATAACAAAAAAAATTAAGAAAAACTCCACCTATACCAATTAAAACCTAAGTTAATAGCGTTTAATTTAAAGAAGATTGAAAAAAAATTAATGTTAGAATAAGTATAAAAATTTAAATTTTACCTAAATTCAACGTTCAGAATACGCCTTTTTTGTTATTTTCTGTTTTATTTTACTATGTTCCGGGGAATTTCGAATAACCCTTCACATACCAATTTAAACGCATGTTTAAAACGTTTAATTTAAACCCCATTTGTGGCTGTATTTATATTTGACGATAAATAATATGTATCTAATGGTTACTTAATGGTTTTTATTGTATTCGATGATATTTCGTTGCAATGTATTTTGTTAAAATTGAAAATATTTCACGAAAATAGTTTCAATTGGAATCATTTTATTGATGTTACATTTACGGAAATGACAAGGATATATTATTTTATACCGGTAAAACGTACAAAAAGAGAATATCATTAAACGATATTCAGATAAATTAAATTCATATGTATTTATAAATACAGTATTTATGATCGATAGTATAACTAACCTATATGAGTTTATAAATAATTCGTAGGTTGTTTTTGACTCGTTTATAACTAATTCTTTGGTGGTCGTTTTTGATTCATGTAAATATTTGTTATTTGTAATAAGCTAATGGAAATCAGGCACTCAACCGTACTTATACTGATGTTCCGAGGTCGTTATAGCTAGGCATTAGCTATCTACATAACTCTTATATTATTTAATATTTATGCATCTATTTTTCTTTATAATATTTATTTTTCAATGGTCTGTTAAGCTCATAAAGGGTTATCCCATTCCGCTATTTTCCGATTTATATGAATTCAATTTTTTTTTTGCCTCGGTGAAAAAGCTTGATAATTTGATACGTATATTGTACACCAAGCCTCATAATATAAGTTATTATTTATTTTTACTGGTAAAAAAAAATCAGATAAATATGTAATTAAATATACAGGGTGTCCCACGATGATCTGCCATTTGAAATAAATTTTGTTATATTCAATATTATGTAATTTTTTTTTTAATAATTAGTGTCTTCGCGTTACAATTTATAAATTAACGTTTTTCTAGGGGGAGGGCAACATAAAATTAAAAATTAAATTATAATTTCTTTAAAAAAATTTAAAATAGCCATTTCGTAAAATAGATTTATAGAAAATTTTTTGATGGTTGAAACTTTTGTTAAAATATGGTCTTTTATTTTCTACGAATTTTTGAAAATCTGATTAATTTCCTTTTCAATCATAATAATATTGTTTATCAACATAAATTACCATTATTGATTTACTTTTTTAATACCCATTAAATAAAATATAATATTATTGCATGACATTAACTCACGGAAAAGAAAATCCTTGTCATATATCATAAAGAACACATTTCTGAAATAAAATTAAAAAGACTGCTCTAATTCAAATTTTGCTAAACATAAGCTTTGGTATTAATACAGACTTAGGGATATTAAATATCCAAAATAACATATTTTTAGTCTATTGGTTTATTATAAACAAACAATAAACCACTATTTTTAGAATAAATAAAAAAAGTTAAAAATGCATTTGTACAGCATTTCTTTATGTTTTACTGTGTAAAAACGTTCATAATCTAAACAAATATACATCAAAATGATCGTATGTAAAACAATATAATGCAATACGGCCAAATATATATTTTTACAAGTTGCTAGTGTTTATATACATTTAAAAAATATATGTCATAACAAATAAATATATACAGGCAAATTTATAATAATTCTCATTGTTTAGAATTTAAAAGAATACAATGTTAAAACTATATAATTAATAATAAAAAACTGATATAAGTAATAATAAAAAAATAATATAACTAATAAAAACCTAATATAAACTAATAAACATTTAAAATATTCGATTCAATTGGTTAAAAATATTTCTATAATACATTTAAAATGGTTTCATTTAGAAAATAAAATAATACAATGTTAAAAATTTAGCGTTTTTATAAATTTAAAAAATACATGTCTAACAAATAAATATATATAGGAAAATGTATAATAATTCTTATCGTTTGGAAATTAAAAGAATACAAGTTAAAAATATAAGTTAAAATAGTCAAATTAAAAACTAACTAAAAAACACAGTGGTGGAATTAAGTCTTCCCGAGATAAAATTGTCTTCAAACTTGATTTTCCTGAAGCAAAGTTTCCTGGCTATGGCGACACACTGAAAACCAAAAGTAGATCGAAAATTAACATCGATATGGGGAAAAAAAAAACAAACAACACATAAGAATAATAACGTATAAGAACGTGAACCTAACCGACCTCGTTTTTGTCCACGGTCCTTGGTAGATGTAGGGCCAGCTTCGGTGCTATTGTTTTCGCTACACGCACAATGGCTTCGCCGCCCCCGTTTGATTCACACAAGGACGAGAAGCTGTACACCTCCCGACCTAGGTATTCGGGGCCTCCCCACGGGGGCGACGTGACCACTACATTAGCCATTTGAACCGTCGTCCCGCCGAAAAAATCTCCTTCCTGGAACACTATTTTATTTTGGCACTGGTATATTCCGGCGTTGTGCCTCGCCAGTTTTAATTTTTTCGGATCTATATCCATCGCTATGACTGCGGGGAGGGACGAAAAAACAAATATTATATGATGCAGTTATACAATTAATATTATAAATGAATAATTACATACCCTTCCGACAACTAGCGGCCAGCTGAATGACGTTGCCGCCGGCTCCGCAGAATGGGTCCACTGCAACACCGTTTGGGAATTTACACCGGTTCGCGATGTGTTTCGCCAACACTTCTGGGCATACAGAGTAAAAACTCTCTGTGCAACGATAAACGTAAAAAAAATATAAAACTAAGTAAAATGAACGAAGACGAAACACGATGACGATTATATTATAAACCGCGTAAGAATTATAGTTACATTNACCGTGATCAAGAAGTATGCCAGAGTCGAAGCGTTCGAAAAGTAATTTTCTCATGATCCAGTATTTTTTTACTCGATCGAGTTCTTGCACGGTAGTCTTATCATGAAAAAAAAAAAAACAAAAACGATTGTCGTTAAACACGGTCCGTCGCAATTACGTGACAATACGCGCGATTTTGTAAAATAATTGTCAACACTAGTTTGAAACGTAAACGAATACAATAATTATGGAAGTCGGATAATTTTTTTTTATTATTATTTTTTATATAATTATCGTAATGTTTGAACTACGTGGAAATCGCGTTGTAAATATTTTATTGGATCCAAGTATNAAATGATTGTCGTTAAACACGGTCCGTCGTAATTTCGCGACAATACGCGCGATTTTGTAAAATAATTGTCAACACTAGTTTGAAACGTAAACGAATACAATAGTTATGAAAGTCGGATAATTTTTTATTATTATTATTTTTTATATAATTATCGTAATGTTCGAATTACGTGGAAATCGCGCTGTAAATATTTTATTGGATCAAAGTATATTATCATATTTCCGTATTACCTGGGTTTGGTCACAGCAAAATGACTTTACGCGGATAGCGTAATCTTCCGCCTCTTTCCTGTTGTACGCCGTTCTCTTCACTGGAATAATAGACAATTATTGAAATTGATTTTTATTAACCTAATGGCGATTTATTTATATTATAAAGGTATAAAGGAAAAATGCGAAGTTTCGATTATATATAATAACTATTATATTACGAGAATATTGTGTAAAAATCGACGAAAAAACAAAAAAAAAAAAAAAAAAAAAAAACAATAATCTACAGGAACAACTCCGAAACTATAATATATTTTATAGTACAATAACTTTGTGTTATAATTAACTACACATTAAGTACATATTACAGTATGCTATTGTAAAACTTTTTCCACGAAAAACAATTAGGTATGTAATTTTACATACCGTTGGTTTTCAAATGGTTCTTCGTTGTAGCGACGGTTAAAGGTGGAGCGGAACGCTGAAACAAATCACGACGATTTTCAAACAATTAATTATTTTATTGCTTGTATTAAACACTGGCTATCCTCAAAGATAAATATCGTTTTTCCTCTCGGAAGCAATTCNTTAACGGACAATAATAATTATATTGAATATAAGAAAATTATTACGAGAAATGACAAAACAATAATAACGTGATTTTTAAAGATAATTTAGGTACAATAGTTAAAAATAATTATTTATATAGAAATTTGGTACACACCTTTTCCTTACGTATTCTTTCATTGGTCGTCTCTTCGATTACTCTCAACGCCTGAAAATACACATATCGTAATAACATAATATAGGTTGATAAACAATAGTAACATAGGTATTAATTTGTTCATCATACCTGATTTATGCTATCGTATTGTAAACGTGTCCCGATGTCACGTTTCAATTCTTCCACAAAATTTGAAATTAAAATAAACGATCTCGATTTTGAACTGTTGTTATCTAGAATACGTAAGATTTGTTCCATAGCGGGTTCCCAATAATCTTGATCATTTCTAAAAAAAAAAAAAAAAACACAAGAATATATTTGATTTAGATTTTTATGAAATGAAATAAATCAATAATTTTTAAAAAATCATTTACGAGACGAGGCCGCTTTTAATAAGTCCGATAAAAAGTTGGCCCGCAATAGTCATGTCTTCTGTTTCGTTCAAACTGTACAATTCGGCCGATAAATGATTTAACGTATGAGTATACATTGACTAGAAAATAATTATCGATTTTTATTTTATTCGTATTACAAAATTATGGTTTCGCTATCTCTGAGACACAACGAATAACGATAATATTACACCTGTCCCATCTGCAGTTTGAAAATCATNCTGTTTCGTTCAAACTGTACAATTCGGCCGATAAATGATTTAACGTATGGGTATACATTGACTAGAAAATAATTATCTATTTTTATTATTCGTATTACAAATTTATGGTTTCGCTATCTCTGAGACACATCGAATAACGATAATATTACACCTGTCCCATCTGCAGTTTGAAAATCATGAACATCAAATAATCCAGGACTTTTCCGACGTCTACAATTTTCCGCACAGACAAGCCGTACAAACGCTCGTAGCACGATATCGCGTCGATCGATATCGTACTACGTTCTTGGTTAGCAGTTGTATTTCCAACACGGTGGTTGGCGGCAGAAGCCCGCTTTGGCACTTCTGCACCTTTGGTGGTGCATGCGATTGATAACGACACCTGGGGCGAGCACCGTCCCCCAGCCGCCGGCTCTGAGGTTTCCGAGGCCTCTGACACAGTAACGTTTATTTCTGTTTTGTTGTATTTCATGTTTTGATTTTTAAGGCAAATTCTAGCCTGCATTTTATACCTACTGCCAGGTGCACTTGTTCGCGACCGCTTATTCCGCCCAATCCCAATCCTTAGGTCACGGGCGTATATCGCGGCTACCCTACATATCTGCAAGGCATTCCCCTATCCACAGACGCGGGGACGCGCCCGATGGCATGTGCAATGCGCACGGGTTGAAACCGGGTCCTCCGACTCGGCTTTGCTTTGCTTTGGACATCGGATGGCGGTCAAGACGCCCGCAGTCTTGTCGAAAATCTGCGCAGCAACTACCTGAAACATTAAACACGAACAAATCATTAAACCTACGCCACTGGTCGTATAATAATAATGCGTTTGCGTTGAAACACTCAAGAATACTTCACACACAACATTACAGATTACGTTTAAAATAATTGTTCGAATAAAATATTAAAGTTCGACGAACAGAGAAAAAAAAAATTATTAATGTTGATGTCATGCCGGTCCGTTAGCGAATGAGACTATTTCGAATACGATTTCCGTCGGTCGAATATCGCGTTTACATTTTCCTTCCCATGGTAACCGTTGCATAACGGCTGATATTGTTATTATTACAATANTATTTCGGCCTGCTGCAGGTTACTAAAAAATCGAGAATTATTTATTTACTTTTTTTTTTTTTATAGCTCGGAAATTTTTTTTCATTTCGTGTCATACTTACACTCGATTCCAACGAGACGAAAAGTTTTGATTTTTGATTTCCCGTGCGATGGTTATAGTTATCTCGCATATACTCGTCATTTATACGGCAATGTTGTAAAATATTTAAATATTTATATACCTATTCTAAATAAATACATTTTTTCAGTTTTAGAACGAAGCGACTTGAAGTTTGGACAGAAAACTTATATTTGCTTTTTTACCGAAATACATACCGAAAAACGTTTTGGAGCCGAGTCGGATTCGGTGAAAACGTTGGGTTAAAAATGATTTTATGTTAGAAATCAATGCGAGAGGAAAATCCAAAACACGACCTCCTCGACGAAGCGCGTCTTCCGGTCGAAAAATCGTTTACAGACCGGAAGCAAAAGCGTAGGAAGCACGCCGTGTAATTTTATCGTCTCGGCTGTAGACTATAATAAAATAACGCGCGCGGTGAAAATATTACTATGTTTACGAGCGAGTATATGGATACTCGAATAGTTTGTAGTAAACATTCGGGTAAGTATCTACATGTATAATGAGAAAAAGTGATTTTTATTTTTTACCGTTTTCGCCGGCGGGCAAATCGCAACAAAAACAAAAAGGAAAAAAAAACACCGTTTGTTGTTTGTGAAATATTAATTTCGCGCTCGGGGGTCGTGCGTCGCGTTGAACGACTCGGCCCGCGTTTTCGCGCGTCCCGTCGAATTTCAGACCAGTTTGCGCTGGCGAATTTGTCAATATTTGTTTTTCTATTTGGCTTTTCCTTTGAAAGTTTTNGATACTCGAATAGTTTGTAGTAAACATTTGGGTAAGTATCTACATGTATAATGAGAAAAAGTGATTTTTATTTTTTTACCGTTTTCGCCCGCGGGCAAATCGCAACAAAAACAAAAAGGAAAAAAAAACACCGTTTGTTGTTTATGAAATATTAAAATATTTCGTATCTGCTAATTATTACAAACAATTGTCGAAATACTATAAAAGTATATATTTTTTTTTTTTCAAATGAGACATAATAATATATATTATATTATATAGGCGCAGTCAATATACCCGAACACTATTATACACAACTGTTACGTCCCGGTGATAAGAAAAAAAAAAAATATAAAAAAAATAAAAATAAAATGATGTAGAGACAATAATAATATTATTTTACAATACCGGTGTGTGTACGAAAATCGAGACACACGGCGCGTTTCGAAATAGATTTTATTATTTCGAAAAGATAATACACTCGCGCGCGCTTATTAATGAGATTTTCGATTGCATTCGCGCGCGGGATGACCGAGTTTTATCACAATATAATAATAATAATAATAATAATAATAAAAACAATAATATAATACAATATAATAATATATCGACGACAGTATAATATTATTATTATTATTATTATAGCGGCGTGCACTACGTAGTATAAAGTTATTAGTTAAAAAACAATATCGACAGACATCTGTAGCCTGTAATAATTTTCGAATATTATATTATTATTATTATAGGTATACGTACCTATATAGCCGGTAATATAATCGAGAGCCGCGAACAATGCGATCGCACGGGGACACAAAAAAAAAAAAAAAAAACAAAAAAAATTATTATATATCCCGTCGACCGACGACCGCGACAAGTGACAAAACCGTCACTTTGTATCAATAATAACAATTATTTTATTGTGCAAGATTGGTAAATTGCATAACGTGCAATAGTATAACATATCGAATTCGATCGCATCGTATCATTATATCCGAAGCGCTTAACGTTATCAAACACAAAATATCGGAAACTATGTGTGTAGAGCCGGTTCGGAACAATGCGACAACACTCGCTAGTACGCTTATGGAAATGTAAAACTCGACGTAAAAAAAAAAGGAATAAATGAAGTCGTACGGGACACGTGCACTTCACAGGGACGGGATTGTTCCGTTTTGATAACACATTCTAAATACTCCGGAAGACCATTTATGTAGCGACGCATGAAAATGAAACCTGCAGTAATGCAAGAGGATTTCGAATCCGGAAATTCCTCACCGTTTTACTATACTTGAACCCTGTTACACTGTGCGCTCAACCGACGCCTACCTTTTATCAGCGAGAAACCTTGAGTACGCTTGTAATGTATGCAGAGAAAACCAGCAATCAATCAAATACGCATTATTGTTATCGATGACTGTCCCAAACGCACGCAAATTGTTTAAGAACAATCTTCGGTACAGCACGCCGGAGAAAACTTTGTAGTAGCCTATACTATTGTGCTATCCGTGCCATTATAGTTTATTAGGCAGATAGAAACTTTAAAACCCGATTTCGGCTTGTATTTTTTGCCAATTGCATTATAATAATTGTTGTAGCTACATTGGTGATTTAAAAAAAAAAAAAAAAAACTATACATACGATAATTGCATAATGTTTATTTACAACATTTATGCATTTCTAGACAATAAGAAGAATAATACTCATAGGATATTAGTTTTACTATGAGATGTGTGCTTTTTTATTATTTATTCAAGTATGTTAACAACAGTGTTTCAACGAAATTCTTGCTCCAGACATAAACATCAGAGGTGGTTTCGATAGAAAACGTTGTCTAGCCAATGCATCAAGAAAGCCATTTTACGATTTGTGTTTAGTTTTCTATTGATTCTTCGACGAGGAACCGGTAAAAACTGCAATATTTGCGCAATAATAATGGTTTCTGCTGATTTCGATTGGGTTTTAATGGCATAATTCTGTGAAAAATATCTGAGATTTATATACCTGATTTTGAAGATTTGAAAAAAACCTGAATTAATTGAATTATTAAATCTGCAATTGTGTACATGGAGTAATTTTAGAATTACTGTATGATATTTTTTTTTTTTTTGGATTTGGGGAACAACTTTTTGGCTCTACAAAAATATAGCAAACTTTGATAAAATACTCACTGCGAGTCGTAGTATATAGGTAGTAATCAAATTTGAGCGTCCATCTTAAAGCCTGTCTTCGAATTTACGACTCGATTAGTTAAAAAACACGAACAATTATTGTAATTAATTTTGTATACTTCTAATTATAACAAGTCGCATTTTATCCACATATAATCGATCGCGGAAATACTTGACCGAAATCCGAAATTCTATACTAACCAACCAGACGGTAAGTATAGAAAAAAAAAAAAAAAACAATTACCCTATATTATATCCTTTTTTGTACTAATATACATTCCCGGCTTTTCATCTAAAACAATGCGGGTCTATCTTGGATTAGTAGTTGCAATTTTTTTTTTTTCTCCAGCTTTCGTCGTCTACGGCGCGACGAAGGGAATTCCTTTTCGCCCGTGCAGATATTTCGCGATAAAAATATAATCACACACACACACACACACACACGGAACAACGACGACACAACAACAACAACAATAATACGTATACGTATACCAATACCTAACCCAGCGTTGTGCATCGGATATTGTGACGGCGACGGCTACCGGTTTTGTATCCCGTACATTATATTATAATAATATATCGCACACGCGAGACCGCTCGGCGGAAATCCTCGAGGCGCAGTACAATACGCCGCGTTTTGTTGCCCCTTTGTTTACAATTTATGGCCTTATGCATTATGGACTTCTTCTCGGCTGTATCGTTACACGCGTACGCGCACACAAGCGCGTGCATGAGGTGTCGGGCACCGCAAACTGGAGTACACACAGCTGCTGCAGTCGTCGCAGGTATGTACGCGGAGGTGTTTTTAACGCGTGTTTTCTGGGTCGTCGGGTCTCTGCGCGAGGGTCACGTGCGATATCGGCCGATAATGATTATGTTTCGCGGGCCGAGCAGCCGCGGTACGGGGAAATAAAAAAAAAATTAAATAAATAAAATATTCCGGGATAAACACCATTGTACTGTCCGTGGCGTTCGCGATAGACACAACAATAATAATAATAATAATAATAAAAATAAAAAATAAATATTATATCGCTACCGCGGTGCAACAACCGCGTTCGCAGACGAGGACGACGGCGGCGAGCGCGCGCCGCGCACAATTCGGTTTAAAGGTCCCGACCGCGAAGTTATGCGGGCGTGTACCGTACCGAAGTGACCATTTGATCGGCCGCGATTCCTCCCTCTTCACACACGACCCGTACATCGGAAAAGTGTTTTATAGCAAGGTCCCTTCTATTTAATTTTTAAAAAAAAAAAAAATACGTTAATTATAAAAAATAAAAGCCGATACTGCTGATGGGTGCGCCACTTTTTCAAGAGGATATGACATATAGTATTTTAATTTACATTCGTACGTAACGAAAAACCATTGATAATAAAAAACGATTGTGAGCAAAATATATTGATATAATATTGCTAATATTT